TTTGCACCTTTGTTTGCGGTATACCATCTTTGCCGCAAGTTTATTGTTTTCTGTTTGGTATTAAATTTTTAATTAAGATCCATTTATTACACCTTGTGATCCGTTTATTTGGCAATCAATAATGGCAGTCAGCAGGGTTTAAGAACATTTGTTGTTCGACCTGTTAGTCAAATGCGTTTTGTTAAAATATACTTTTTCACTTTTTTGGTCTTTTGGAAAATGTTGTTTGTGCTGTATTTAGACCCCTCTAACGAGAAATTTGTTTTTGCATGCACACGTATAAAAATTGCAGTTTTTATCCAACGCAATCATAGGTTTGAACGTTGTTTTCATTTTAGACTTGTTTATAAATAACTATATATATACAAGTTTTACCTCAATTTAGGATAGACTCTTGAATTTTGAAAGAGTCAAAATAGGATGAACGGATCATATAAACCCGAAGGCAAATATAAGACAAGCCCAAACGAAAAAATATCAACAAGTCTAAATTGAAAACAACTTTCAAACTTATGATTACGTTGGATAAAATAATTTAATTATAAGATCTGTTTTGTTACATCTTGTGATCCGTTTATTTGGCAATCGCCAATGGCAGTCAGCAGGGTTTAAGAACATCAGTTGTTCGACCTGCTAGTCAAATGCGTTTTGTTAAAATATACTTTTTCACTCATTTGGTCTTTTGGAAAATGTTGTTTGTGCTGTATTTAGACCACTCTACCAAGAAATTTGGTTTGCATGCACACGTATAAAAATTGCTGTTTTTATCCAACGAATTCATAGGTTTGAACGTTGTTTTCAATTTAGACTTGTTTATATTTATAATAATTACCGCAAACAAAAGGTGCAAAAATTAGTACACCATATCCGGATTTCGACAATTAATGTCTCTTCAGTGATGTTAGGAATCGAAACGGTATTTGGAAAGCCATACAATTTACCTCAATTTAGGATAGACTCTTGAATTTTGAAAGAGTCAAAATAGGATGAACGGATCATATAAACCCGAAGGCAAATATAATACAAGCCCAAACGAAAAAATATAAACAAGTCTAAATTGAAAACACGTTCAAACCTATGATTGCGTTGGATAAAAACAGCAATTTTTATACGTGTGCATCCAAACCAAATTTCTTGGTAGAGGGGTCTAAATACAGCACAAACAACAGTTTCCAAAAGACCAAATGAGTGAAAAAGTATATTTTAACAAAACGCTTTGACAAGCAGGTCGAACAACTGATGTTCTTAAACCCTGCTGACTGCCATTGGCGATTCCCAAATAAACGGATCACAAGATGTAACAAAACAGATCTTATTATTAAATTATTACCAAACAGAAAACAATAAACTTGCGGAAAAGATGGTATACCGCAAACATGAGGTGCAAAAATTTGTACACCATATCCGGATTTCGACAATGAATGTCTCTTCAGTGATGTAAGGAAATCGAAACGGTATTTAAAAAGCCATACAATTTACCTCAATTTAGGATAGACTCTTGAATTTTGAGGAGTCAAAATATATATTTTCGTTTGGGCTTGTATTATATTTGCCTTCGGGTTGATATGATCCGTTCATCCTATTTCGACTCTTCAAAATTCAAGAGTCTATCCTTAACTGAGGTAAATTATATGGCCTTCCAAATACTGTTTCGATTCCTAACATCACTGAAGAGACATTAATTGTCGAAATCTGGATATGGTGTACTTATTTTAGCACCTTTTGTTTGCGGAATACCATCTTTTCCGCAGGTTTATTTTTTTCTGTTTGGTATTAAATTAAAATTTAAGATCCATTTTGTTACATCTGGTGATCCGTTTATTTGGCAATCGCCAATGGCAGTCAGCAGGGTTTAATAACATTTTTTGTTCGACCTGTTAGTCAAATGCGTTTTGCTTAAATATACTTTTTCACTCATTTGGTCTTCTGGAAAATGTTGTTTGTGCTGTATTTAGACCCCTTTACCAAGAAATTTGTGTTGCATGCACACGTATAAAAATTGCGGTTTTTATCCAACGCAATCATAGGTTTGAACGTTGTTTTCAATTTAGACTTGTTTATATTTTTTCGTTTGGGCTTGTATTATATTTGCCTTCAGGTTTATATGATCCGTTCATCCTATTTCGACTCTTCAAAATTCAAGGGTCTATCCTAAATTGGGGTAAATTATATGGCCTTCCAAATACCGTTTCGGTTCCGAACATCACTGAAGAGACATTAATTGTCGAAATCCGGATATGGTGTACTATTTTTTGCACGGAATTGTTCTCAAAACTCGTAGAGTAAAATATAAAAAAAAATAATAGAAGAGTATATGATGTAGAGTTGAGCTAGATGATGAAAGCTCAATAAATGACAAGACTGTCTCAGTTTAATACTGAAATGTAGATGTTTTGGCCTGGCCAGTCAAAATATGTGCTTGAAGGTATGATTCTTGAGAGTTGATTAGAAAAGATAGATTAGATATTGATAAGTAATGACGAGAGGTACACAACGAGGCACCTTCCGAAAAAGGCTTGCGTGTACATGAAATATTCCCCAGATCGGATAGTAACTTAATGTTGTGATTGATTGCTCAAAAGAGATAGACACATGTTTGACCTAATTTCTGGTCAGTGTCTATGGAGCAAAGCTTGACAAAAACGGATTTGCTAGAGAAACGTTTCACAATGTTTGCAAGCCCGGATATGAGTATAAAAGTGGGAATAATTCTAGGCAATGTCAAATAATGTTGTTAAAACTCAAAGAATAAATAGTAAAGAATAATAAATAAATAGAAAGAGAAATTTGCTCAATAGAGATAAACACGAGAGTGAACATATCATTGGTCGATGTTTATTAAGTAAAGCTTAGTAATAGCGGGATTGCTGAAGAAATATTTCACAATATTTGCAAGCCAGAATATGAATATAATGAGTGAAATAAGTATGTGATACAAGATAGGGCTGTAAAAATAAAAAAAACTAAGAGCAGAAAAAAATAAATAAATATTATTTAAGAATAGATAGGAACGACAAATTGGCTCAATAGAGATAGACACATGAGTGACCTAACTACTGGTCAGTGTTAATGGAGCAAAGAATGATAAAACGAGTTTGCTAGAGAAGCATTTCAAAATGTTTGCAAGCCTGACTATCAGAATGAAAGGAAAAACCTGAAACCAGAGTTGACAAAAATCAAAGTACAAAAAGTCTGTAAGTGTAGGTGGTTAACATGAATGAATTTATTCGTGTATTTCTTTTTGTATGTTCGTCAGCTTAAAAAAATGAATTGGTTCTAGTTGAATTAAACCTTGCAGACGAATGTATTTGGGGACCAAATCCGTAAAGGTGGGGGCAATGTAATGCCAGCTTTCCCCCCTTTTTATAGTAAACCTATGTCTGTATAGTTTCTTGAAATTATTGAGCATAAATGATAGATGTTAGTGAGATGTCTAATGTTGCAAGTAATGTCAGACTTATAATTTGTTATTTTGGCTGTTGTTTCAATGATACGACAGATTTGTGTATGTTAGTTTGTTAAGAAGTTTTATTTCACGTACTGATTCCATATTTTCGCGGTAGTTACCTTATTAGAATATAAACTCAAATAAAACTCTTCTAATGATCTACTTATGTATTTAAAGTCAAAACCCATCTTTATTGATGAAGATCAATCCATGTTTACAAATGATATCAACATTACGGGAATTTCCCTTGTGTGATCCATGGTTGCCGATTGGTAAACAATATGTAACAAGCTCTGCCATTGGTCAGTCGGAAGTATAAAAGCAAAAGCAACAACAGAACCGAGGGAAGTAACAAATTTGAATAGAAGCTAAAATGTATCTGATAATCACAACCTAGCGTTGAAAGTAAACTGTTTTTATTGAAGGTTGTCGGTGCCAGTGCTAAATCGGGTTGCTGGTGACGGTGCTAATTATAATGTAGTTATATAGACGGTGCAAATTAAGGTTGTCGGTGACGGTGCTAAGGTTGTGGGTGACGGTGCTAAATCAGGTTGCCGGTGACGGTGCTAAGGTTGTGGGTGGTGGTGTTAATTAATATTGCCATTGACAGTGATTAAGTTTGTTAGCGATAGGAATTATTTTATGAATGACGAGACTAAATAATATTGCCGGTGAGGGTGCTAATGTTGTTAGTGATAGTAATAAATAAAGTTGCGGAGGACGGTGCTAAGGTGGTTAATGACAGTCCTAAGTAAGGTTGTTAGTGACGGGGGTAAAATTGTTGCTTCTATATTTAATATTTGTTTTAGATGTTTTATGATGATAAGTCGATGTTGAATACTGTGAAATGGTGATAATATCCTTAAATTGAGATTATTGAAAGAGTCCAAATAAGGGACCACCGGGTTACTTAACAGTTGAATTATATATTATTAGCTGGTTATTATCAAAAGTTTGTTTGTATACTGTAAGACCAACCATTACCGGGGACCCGAACAGACCAGTGACAGAGCCTGCCAGACCCATTCTCTCCGTCGTGGATTATTTTTGATATTAATAAAATATGAAACTTTATTTTATTCAGATATTGTATTTAACAACTGAGAATATATATATAACTACAAATATACGATTTCCCTTTCTGTAATGTGTTTTGGTCCGACGGTAAACAGTGGACGTCGAACCTTACACTTTATAGAACCTTTTACTCTCTTTTTCTTTGTGACCCTGTGTTCTCTGGTGGCCGACTCTAGCACCAAAGAGGCAGTGTTTCAGTATAATGTCCTCTTCTATTTCTTTTTTTAATTTGGGAAATTGGGTGTTAATGGAAAAGTTCCAATTGTTTCTATTAAATTTATTCACAGCTTTTTATACTCATTAGAACTAAAATATACATATTGTATAGACAACTGTCTATTTTTAAAGACTGAATGTTGCTCCCTAGATGCCATTGTGTTATTTTTGTTTTTGTGTCACTGTCTCATTGATGGTATACCCTACTTCTCCTTTTATCAATATTGTAAAGGGAAATTCTCTCATAACAACAACCACATTGTATAAAATGTTTTTATTTTTTCATTACAAGTAACACAACAAAAATGAAGTCAATTTAAAAATAAAAGAATAAATATGTATATTTAATGAAGTAAAATAGATGAACATAAATTCAGCAGATTCAATTTATTCCACATATTGATTACATTACAGATGATATCTAATTTATCATTTAGTTTACTGTAAAATGAAATGACATGTAACGTCATGAACTTTAGTACATGCATTATAAAATGAAATGGTTCTATAAAACATGTCTGTATTTTAATCCATTATTTAGCCCTAAAAGTGGGAGAAACAAAAATTTATAGCAAAAATCTGACCACTTGCAAAATAATTCATTTCTGATGTCACACTGCCAAACTGAACAAAACTGTCCATACCTACTAATTCTATGCTTATTTTTTTTAATAAAACAAAATGTGAATTTTAAGCATATTTTTTTCTAAACTAAAAGGCTAATTTTATGCATATTTTTTCTATACTAAAATGTTACTTTTATGCATATTTGGAAAACATGTTGAATTAAGACCAATACATTTTCAACACAGATTTCCAGGTGTCTTAAGTGGCTTAATATCAGATAAAATCATTCATATATTCTCCATTATTGAAAAATGACAATTGTATGACAAATGTCACTGTTATACATTCAATAAATTTCTTGTCATATCACAATATAAAATGCTAAAATCTACAAAAATGCTAGCACATACTGAGCAGAAAATGACTTCCCATCACTAATGATGGAATACCACCTGACAGCAGAATCTATTCAACCATGACATGCCATAAACTTATCACCCCCTCACAAATCTATGTGATCATAAAAAAACATAAGCTTAACCCTTTAAGAGATATCTTGGGATATACCCATCTGCTTTTCCCCTTCAATATTAATTATAAAAAAGTACCTCTCAAAATTTTCAGTTTACAGAGAAAATTTTCTGACTTGAGATACCATTTAATATTTACATGATGTAAAACCTATCTATATTTATTTGCTATGCTAATCATGATTTATCTTCTCCTATCTCTCATATCAGGTAACATTCTCCGTTCAGGTGATCTCCGTCTTGGCCAATCATCCATTCTTCCTCGAGGTGGTGGCTGAAAATAAAAGCAGTTATCATAACAAGAAGTTTGTCTTCTTTTTGCATAAGTAATACATCACAGTTAAAAATCAGTATCTAAAATCTTTTTATTTATGTTTTTAAATTCTTTATTTTTTTAGATATGTAATTTTTCTAAACATAAAGAATTCTTCCAAGAATTTAGATGACCGAAACAAAATTTCTTTATACCCTACCATGAATGCTACTTCATAAAGGTAACAGTCTGCAGAATTACATGCCATGCTAGCCTACCTGGGCACATTATTCCGATTCCTGACTGACCAGTCTTTTCTCTTACTCCAAAATGCCATAGACTTAGTGGAGAAGCAGCAATATCAATTTTCAAGTTTTACATGTAAGTTTGATCCAGCTATGGATGGAACCCAAGACCAACTGCACTTGGGGTGAGCCAAAGACCACCAATGCAGTGTTCAACAAAAAATAAATCAACCACATATTCATATATCAATACAACCAATTATATCTAATTATAGTTAGAACATACAGTTCTTCTTTCTCTATCTAAGTTTCTTCGAGGTGGCGGTGTTGGATCTGATTCTCTCCTCTTTTCTCTTTCTTTCAATCTTCTTTCTCTTTCTGCCTCTCTTTGCTTTGCTTTTTCAGCTGCCTAAAAATTAAAATACAAACATTAAACATAATGCAATAAAAATATAAACTTTTTTGAGAATTAAGTAACTTTATTGTAGTAATTAATCATTTTTTAAGACGTTTCAGCTACTGGCCTTCCTTCGGTTTCTATATTATCCTTCTTGACTACATGGTAGACATTTCACTATCAGAAAACATCTTAAAACATGGTTCAATTACTACAATAAGGTAATATGTGCTCCCTATTGAAATTTCGAAACACGAAAATAAGTAACTATCAGGTTGGAAACCTCATTAGAAAGAATTTTGAAAGGTGGTTATATTTGCCAGTCATGTCCTAAAGGAATAGATGCAGAATCGTAAGTCTATAGTTTCAGGATGAAAAGTGTTTCCAGAGAATGCATAAACATGTAGGATAGTTAAATAAAATGATTTTGTTGAACTTTACTTATAAAGAATTGACATTTACACCACACTAAGGCCAAACATTTCTGGATTTCATCTACATTAATGCCTGTTTTCATAAAAAACAAGAATGTGTCCATAGTACACAGATGCCCCACTCACACTATCATTTTCTATGTTCAGTGGCATGGCTTCCAAAACGGTCGTATTTTCCGGACATGACCGATAAATTATAAATATGACTTGTTGTGCCAAACCTGAAACGGACATTTAACGTAGGTTTGCCATATTAACATAATTCAGAAAAAAATTAAAATGTTTGCGATCTTTTTGACCCGACCTTTTGCCTTAAACAGCTACATTTCCGGTCATAAAAGTGACATGGTGATAAGTACTATCAAAACAAATCCTATTTTAATACCCTCTCATTACAATCAAGGTTAATTAGTTGTCAGACAGTTGGAATTTACGTGTTCAGGTAACAGGTAAACTAATATGTACCAGACATTGATCGGTCTATTTGAAGATATTTCTATAAATTTCAGCGATTTGCATCTAATTAGTTTAATCAAAAAGATTTAAATTATCAAAAATATGTATACAAATATGATTTGATGAAAATTTTTAAAAGGTAGTTATAAAGGTTTTAAGTGAAAAAATCGTCAGCACCACATCGTTTGAACAAAGTACACACGTGCGCATGTGCGCAGTTGTGAGATTTAATTATGCACCCAAATTCTTCAAAAATACTAAAATTATCATTGATACCTTTATCTAACGTTCATTTCAAGTATTTTCTTGAAGAAATAACGTTAGAAGGAGCTTCTTAAACTCGATTGTGCTTTTTAAACGTACACAGATTTTTCGTATCCGTCTCTGGTCTGTGTTTTACCATTGTAAAGTCAACATCCGGTATGAGAAAATGTACCTTCAAAAACGAAAGTAAAGATTTTGACAGGGATGATTTTGCACAAATAAAGATTCTAAGGCAGATATTAGTTCGTTAATGTTGCACATTTCTAATGATGCACTATCAATTTAACAGTTTACATCAGTACAGCCAATTTGTATCAAAAGTCAAGTTTAATATCGTTTTTAGGTCAATCATTCATTGTTTATATGATGCCCAACTGATTAGCATGATTGCCTTTTGTTACATAGTCTTAAGGGATCAAAATCGGGATAAGACAAAAAATGTCTGGCTGGCACACATATTTTTTGGAAGCCCTGTTCAGTGGATCGTAAAATTGGGGTCAAAACTCTAATTTGGCATTAAAATTAGAAAGATCATATCATAGGGAACATGTGTAATAAGTTTCAATTTGATTGGACTTCAACTTCTTCAAAAACTACCTTGACAAAAAACTTTAACCTGAAGTGGGACAGATGGACGAATGGATGGACGAAGAACAGACGAAAAAATTTGCAAGGGTTCCGCGGAACCCAGTGTCTCGCCTACTTTTGCTGTTAATCGCAGGCTCAACAAAAATGAGGAAAAAAATTAATAAAAATATTCCTCTCTATACTATCTTTTGATTGTAAGTAGCTTCTGTCCAAGTTTGGTAAAAATCCAGGATGGTTTTTGAATCTAATAAATGTTTTTAAAACTTTAACTGCAGACTGTATGTAAAGTTAACTGGAAGAAAAACTAAGTCCATTTATAAGTAAAATACGGAAAAAATGGAACAAAATTTTATCAAAATTTCTTTCTAGATACTAGCTTTTGATCATAAATAAGCTTCTGTCCAAGTGTGGTACAAATCCAGGATAGTTTAAGAAAGTTGTTGAAATTTTAAAAACTTTAACCACAGAGTGAATGTAATGTTAACTGGCAGAAAAACTAAGTCCATTTATAAGTAAAATACGGAAAAAATGGATTTTTTTTTTTACAAAATTTACTTCTGGATACTATCTTATGATCATAAACAAGCTTCTTTCCAAGTTTGGTAGAAATCCAGGATAGTTTAAGAAAGTTATTAAAATTTCAAAAACTTTAACCACAGAGTGAATGTAATGTTTCCTGGCAGAAAAACTAAGTTCATTTATAAGTAAAATACGGAAAAAATGGATTTTTTTTTTTTACAAAATTTACTTTTGAATATAATCTTATGATCATAAACAAGCTTCTGTCCAAGTTTGGTAGAAATCCAGGATAGTTTAAGAAAGTTATTAAAATTTCAAAAACTTTAACCACAGAGTGAATATTTGCGGACGCCGACGCCGATGGAATGTAGGATCGCTATGTCTCGCTTTTTCGACAAAAGTCGAAGGCTCGACAAAAAAGGACACACAGACAAAATAACATAATGTCACTCCACTATCGTAGGTGGGGCATAACAATGTGGAAAATTGAAATCTATGCTAATTTTAATAAAGAAACACTGATCGATACATTTTAAACAAGAAAAGTTTTTGTTTTCCAGTCATTGTTTTAACTATATGTTGTAATAATGGCTGTTAAATTCTACTTGGAAATTTTAGCTAGAAAAAGGGCTATACTGGATCCTTTGAAACCTACTTCTTTCAAAATAATTGAACATACTTCTTTGGCATAATATTGTTAAGGTTAAAATTACCAATTTGTTCACAATAAATTATGCAAATAATTCATTTAGTTTATACTGTTGATTCATTATTAGTGGGTAACAATTTTCATGGAATTCCTGGGTGTAGGTAACCGATCATTTTAAATGTTCCTATATTAAAGATATAATGCCTGAATTAAATATATGACCTCAGCAGCAGCCTAACAAATCTGCTATCTTTTACAACCCTTTGTGAACATTCTTCTAACTTGTTTTTCTCATTCAGCATTAATAAAGACTGTACCATTCAGTTACATCAAATAACATCTAGGGGGCATAACTTCTGCTTGAACCTTAGGGGGTACCCAACACTTTCACTACAATAGATTTTGCTTAAATTTTCATTAAAATATTTACTTTGACCTATTGACAAAAAATAAAAAATTTCAAGAATTTTGAACCTCACAATTTACAGTAAAAATTTCATTGGAAATATATCAGTTTGACAAACACTAATTTTGATCATTGAGCAGCTTGATTTGTCTTCACTAATAGCATGTGATTAAAATGTTCAGCTGATTTTTAAAGCGTTAACTCATTAGGTGTTCTGTACCCCTTAATGTGTAAGCTAAAATATTCTGAAGAAAACTATCTTTTTTACTGGTCTGGCCATACCTGTGCTTCTGTTAATGGTAAACAGTATATACATGGAGTAGTTTTTGTTTTCTATCGTTTGTCTAGCCATACCTGTGCTTCTGTTAATGGTAACCAGTATATACATGGAGTAGTTTTTGTTTTCTTGAACAGATCATCCAATAACTTGGCAGGAGGTTCTTCATCTTCTTTTTTATCTATAAACAAAGCAAAAAATATTATTGATATAATGGACAAAAGACAGAAAGGCCAAGTTACAATACTTATAGTTTGTTATTTGAAAGGCCATATAAAAGGTTATGACAATAGCATTTAACATACTTTAAGGGAGAATATATTTGAAGACCAGTACAGACAAACAATACATACTGATATGTGCAAATTAGCAAAACAAAGGGAATCAAGTCTCTAGGACTCATTACCTTAGATAAAATTCCCTAAATGTGTGCATATAAGAAGGTGCTCATCTTAAATGTATATTCAGTATTCGCACATTTTAGACAGTTGGAAGGCTGAAATGGTTACTTCCATTGAGAATAAACAACATTTTTCAATCTCCAAAAGCTGTCAAAATTTTTTAATTGTGTAAATAAAGTGAAATGCATATCTTCAATGTAAAAATAAACATTCCAGAATGTTTGAAGACTCTAGGTCAAAACCTGCAAGAGAAGTTTATTACACCAAAAAGGAGGTTTCCCCTTCGGCCCCCCATATTCAAGTTACTTATAACTAAATACATTCATTTTGCCAATATTACTGAATTTGTTCTTCAAAATAATAGTCACAAACAATAACTTTATAAATTAATGGTAACTCTTAAATGACATTTTAAGAACAATAAAAAGATAGCTGACTAGTTACAATACCTGTTTTTTCTTTCTTTGCAGGCCTTTCCTTATCTCTTTCTTTCTCCCTACTTTTCTCTCTTCTGCGTCTATCTTTAGTTGGTGAACCACTAGAGGGTCTACGTCGTCTTTGAGGATCTTCCCTTTCCTCTGACTGTCTGATCTTATCCCTGTCCCACTCTCTGATTGGTGGAGGTTTTTTCTTCTTTGCCTCTTCTTCTTCTTTTTTCTTTGCTAACCTCACTTCTCGTTCAGCCCTCCTTTTCTTTTCTTCCTCCTTTCTAGCTTTAGCCTCTTTTTGAGCTTTTTCTCTGGCTAATCTTGGTGCTTCCTCCTCATTTTTGTGATAGTCAATCTGTTAAAATAAACAAGGTTTATACTTTAAACTAGAGGCTCTCAAGGGCCTGTGTCCCTTACCTGATTCTACTTTGGTTTTGGAAATCATGTAAAAATAGATTAAAATCATAACAGATACCCTAATAATGATTGACAACTCTTGGCCAGCACCTCATAAGGAACATTCATGCCAAGTTTGGTTTCAATCCATTTAGTGGTTCTCTAAAAGAAGACATTTGTATGTATTGTCCATAGGGTCCTATGTTAAACGAAGTCCCCCGCTGGCGGCCATTTTGGATGATGGATCAGCTACAAAGTACCAACACTTGGTTAGCACCTCATAAGGAACATTCATGCCATGTTTGGTTTCATTCCATTCAGTGATTCTCTAAAAGAAGACATTTGTATGTATTGTCCATAAGGTCCTATGTTAAAAGAAGTCCCCCACTGGCGGCCATTTTGGATGATGGATCAGCTACAAAGTACCAACACTTGGTTAGCACCTCATAAGGAACATTCATGCCATGTTTGGTTTCATTCCATTCAGTGATTCTCTAAAAGAAGACATTTGTATGTATTGTCCATAAGGTCCTATGTTAAAAGAAGTCCCCCGCTGGCGGCCATTTTGGATGATGGATCAGCTACAAAGTAACAACACTTGGACAGCACCTCATAAGGAACATTCATGTCATGTTTGGTTTCATTCCATTCAGTGGTTCTCTAGAAGAAGTTCAAAATGTAAAAAGTTAACGACGACAACGCCAAGTGATGAGAAAAGCTCACTTGGCTCTTCGGGCCAGGTGAGCTGAAAAAAACAGTATGTTTATAAGTCTTTTTTAAATGAACTTTCAAAGAGTTATGCAAACAGCCTGGCCTTAATTGCAGAAATTACTTTTGAAAACTAAAAGCATGATTCTAATCTCAGCACATCACTGTTGTCAATTAAAACTTGCACTACACATCACTGCTTAAGTGTTATCAGTCAAATAATTTTTTTATACCTCCCTGGAAGAAATTTTGTCAATGAATATCATGCTTGTATAAGCTGTGTGAAGTTTCTTCAATAAGTTGTTTCATTTCACAGAAGCACATTGTAAGGTGTAAGACATTGCTGTTTTAAAGCTATAGATTCATTATTATTTGTGTGATACAAATTTCCATGGGTATATGTGAACCAAAAATTCAAATGTTCTATAGGCTTGTTTACAGATTAATAAATTATCCATGAAAATACAATTTTTTCTCAATCCGCGAAAATTGGTACCCACGAAAATAAATGCAGTAGATTGAATAATAACTGAAAGCATTATTTATATTTTGCAATTACAACAAATTTCATATTACTGGAAATTACAAATTTTGGTTAATATTGGTGAAGACTTGATATAAACATTGCAATAAGTGGAGGCAGGTCAGTAAAGACAGTGATATAAACTTACCTCATCAGGTGTGGCATAATCAACTTGTAATATTTTAGGATTAGATGAGGGCCATTTTTTTCCGTGTAAAGCTTTCCTTGTTTCTACAGCTTGATCTTCTGTCTCAAACTACAACAGAAAATAATAAATACAAGTTAAGTGGATTCTATCAAATTATACATCAACATTCATGGTTTTTCTCTTATACAAAATAAATTCTACATGTAAACATAAAAAATAAATGGAAAATGTGTCCCCATGGACACAGATGATGCCCCCGCTTGCATACAACATTATAAAGGGACATAACTCAAAAACAATAATATGTACTAGATCTGAGTTTTGAGGTAATAAGTATTGTGTATAGGTTTCATAATGTTTGGTTGGGGCAAACTTAAGTTACTGAACGGAAACTAAAAATTTTGCAAATTTTCGATTTATAAAGGGACATAACTCGATAATGGTTAAAGTGACACCACCAAAATTCAACTTGATCTGTGTTTTGTGGTAATGAGCATTGTGTATAAGTTTCATAACATTTGGTTGAGGCAACTTAAGTTAGAGAACGGAAACTAAAAATTTAGCATTTTTTTTTTCATTTATAAAGGGTCATAACTCAAGAATGGTTAAAGTGACCCCACCAAAATTCAAACTTGATTTGTGTTTTGTCGTAATAAGCATTGTGTATAAGTTTCATAACATTTGGTAGAGGCAAACTTAAGTTAGAGAACAGAAACTAAAAATTTTGTAATTTTTTCATTTATAAAGGGGCATAACTCTAGAACGGTTAGAGTGAAGCTACCAAAATTCAAACTTGATCTGTTTGGTTTAGGCAAACTCAAGTTAGAAAACTGAAACCAATTTTGGAATAACAGACGGACAAGGGTAAAACTTAATGCCCCCTCCGCTACGGCGGGGGCATAAAAAATTAAAGACGCCGATTGAGTAGTTTTGAGTTGATCACTTAATTAGTCTTAATCCCTACTTTATGCACAATAAGGCTCATTAATGCATGATTACAGTTAATTGGTTTCACAATAATTTAATAAACTATACCAATGTATCACTAATTATTTATCATGATGATCAAAGATAATCTTAGGTAAAAACTCAGGAATAAGAATGTCATAAATCAATACAGTGGTCAGTGACCGGAAATTTAATTACACTTGTATTGTCAGATGAATTCTTAAATCCATTTAAATCCCTGAGGTCATGTTTTGACATTTATGTATTAGTTAGAGATAATAATGCAATATGAATGCTTTTGTTAACCTTGGGACTGTAAATTTGTTTCAAGTCAACCGAAATTTTGACTCATCCAATTTCGACACATCAGAAGTCGAAATACATATATTTATATGGCACAATGTTCAGGACCCCAAGAAAATTTCGACTCATCCGAAATTTCAAGTTAACCGAGTTTGAGACAACGAAAGTTAATTTTCTTTTAGCATAGCCTAAATTAACTTTATCCTTGTAGGATAGCCTTAATTAACTATTTTCTTTCAGCATAGCCTAAATCATCTTTATTCTTTTACCAGAGCTTAAATCAACTATTTTCTTTAAGCATAGCATAAATCAATATTCTACACTGTCTCTATGGCAATATGCTAGCAAGATATACAAATTAATATTGATAATATTTTATCAAGCCCCTCTCATCTTTTCCAATTCTATCTATAATTTATCAGAGACAAATCCTGAAACTATTGAAAAGAAAAGTTGTTTGCATACCTGGTGAAAAGAAAGGCTTGTTTTCATCAATAACAAAATAATTCTCTGAAAAAATATTTGAAGAGAGGATAAGGTTCTACCTAATGGAACACAATTTCCAGCAGCCCTATCCCCACTGCGTCCTCCTTGGATTATATTCTCTTCATGCATGAATTGATAGAATCTATCCAGAATTTATCATCTGTCAATGTCCCTACCCCCACTGCATCCTCCTTGGATTCTCTTCATACTTACTGTAGCATAACAATGTGACTTGATAGAATCTATCCAGAATTTATCATCTGTCAATGTCCCTACCCCCACTGCATCCTCCTTGGATTCTCTTCATACTTACTGTAGCATAACAATGTGACTTGATAGAATCTATCCAGAATTTATCATCTGTCAATGTCCCTACCCCCACTGCATCCTCCTTGGATTCTCTTCATACTTACTGTAGCATAACAATGTGACTTGATAGAATCTATCCAGAATTTATCATCTGTCAATGTCCCTACCCCCACTGCATCCTCCTTGGATTCTCTTCATACTTACTGTAGCATAACAATGTGACTTGATAGAATCTATCCAGAATTTATCATCTGTCAATGTCCCTACCCCCACTGCATCCTCCTTGGATTCTCTTCATACTTACTGTAGCATAACAATGTGACTTGATAGAATCTATCCAGAATTTATCATCTGTCAATGTCCCTACCCCCACTGCATCCTCCTTGGATTCTCTTCATACTTACTGTAGCATAACAATGTGAATTGATAGAATCTATCTAGAATTTATCATCTGTCAATGTCCCTACCCCCACTGCATCCTCCTTGGATTCTCTTCATACTTACTGTAGCATAACAATGTGACTTGATAGAATCTATCCAGAATTTATCATCTGTCAATGTCCCTACCCCCACTGCATCCTCCTTGGATTCTCTTCATACTTACTGTAGCATAACAATGTGACTTGATAGAATCTATCCAGAATTTATCATCTGTCAATGTCCCTACCCCCACTGCATCCTCCTTGGATTCTCTTCATACTTACTGTAGCATAACAATGTGACTTGATAGAATCTATCCAGAATTTATCATCTGCTAATGTTCCTGTTCTCCTCAGTAAATCCTTCAGCTGTAGTAAGGTGAAAGGTCGTACAAGATTCCTCAAATGGACAATTTTAGTAACAGGATTCCTTGCTGGTGATGGTGACCTTGATTTGACCTGGGAAGGTTCTTCTGTTTCAATGAGAGGCTTCTTATGACTTACTCTTCGTATAACTACTTGTTCAGCTGAAGAGACAATTTTTACATTATTATTTTTTGGCAAATTACAAAATGTCTTTTGTTTTAATATATAAAAAAAAAGATTTATTCAGCAAACAAAATCCAAGTGGTATCAATTTCAATATATCCCCTGGGTATTTAAAAGCATGTGAAATTATTGCAATACAACTAGGAACAACATGGATTTTTTTATTTATATTTCATAATCACAGCTTTGTAAAAAAAAGTTTTTTATGCTTTTTTATAATTTTTTAATATTCATATTAAATTAAGAACCTTATAAAACAACATTTCAAAAAAGCAAATATTGGTAAGAAAGTAAACAGAAATTTCAATCAAAACTTGTAAAGTGTACAGTACCATATAACATGCCACTTTTCATAACCCTTTATAATGACTTAGGTTAGTTGAGAATGAGAATTTATTTAAAGTGTTTCTTGTAACATCTTGAACATATCTAACAATGTTACGGGATACCCTGTAAATTATATGAGTCGTTGTAAATCCAGCTTGTATTATTCTATTATTTCTATATATTTTAAGATGTATTAAAGTGTAGTAAAGAAAGGCAACACAGAAACTACTTATATAACACATTTAAACTGTTTAATGATATAAAATACAGATGATGTGTTCCTCTGTTTGTCATTTCCAAATCTATCTTTACAAGACACATTTAAAGGGCAATGATGCGTTTTCATGTACACGCCTTTGATTGACAGGTTTGACTGCATTTAAAAGCTGAGTATAACATTTAATATAATTTAACCAAGTAGATAGAAACAAAGGATCTATCAAGGACAACACGACTGGTCAATCTCAAACATCTAAGAGTAAATTTTCTAGTTGCTCATGCCCAAAGGATCCTTAAAAAGTACTGGATCTTTGCTCACTTTCAAATTCATCTGATATATTGCTGATGTTAAACCCTTAAAATACAATTCATTAAAATCAAATGAGAACTGTTGGTGTGAAATCACATTCACAGTCTGATGGATCAGCATTTCAATATCCCGCTTCGTGGTCAGGGAGACAAAAATTAAAAATATTTCATAATAATGGATAACAAGCATTCTGTGAGTATTGCCTGGCAATACATAATAGTCCCCTACAGGTTAAAAATTCATTGTACTAGTCCCCTACCGGTTAAAAATGCATTGTACTGGAACAAAATGCTAACTTGATCTACAACTTGTCATGGTGTAAACTATATAACAAATATCAAGTCAATATCTTCAAGCATGACGAAAAAAAATGTGGAAAATTGACTATTTGAGTGATTTTTCTAAGTCCAAGGACCATAACTCTGCACAAAATTATTAGACCGAAACAAAATTCGAACTTGATCTGTTACTTGTCATGATAAAACTATATACCAATCATCAAATCAATATCTTCAAGCATGACAAAACAAAGTGCGGAAAACTGATTATTTGAGTGAATTTTCTAAGTTCAAGGACCATAACTCTGCACAAAATCGTCAGACCAGAACAAAATTCAAACTTGCTCTGTAACTTGTCATGATAAAACTATACACCAAATATCAAATCATAATCTTCAAGCATGAAGAAAAAAGTGTGGAAAACTGATTTGCCTGACTGACAGATGGACAGACAGACAGACAGACACAGAGACGTAGTGCAAACCTAAAGTCCCCTTCGACTTTGTCGGTAGGGGACTAAAAAGTCTAATGCAGTGCCCCACCAGGTGTGTTGAGTAAATTTGGAACACTCAGTCCATATCAATCAATGATAGTTTTAAACTAACAATAGGATGAGAAAACATGATCTTGTTATAAGCCAAGGTTCGTGTTGAAGGCCGTACTTTGACCTATAATTGTTTACTTTTTATACATTGTGACTTGGATGGAGAGTTGTCTCATTGGCACTCATACCACATCTTCTTATTTATATGTATTTATTCATTTTTGTTTACCTTTCTTAACTTTTCTCTCATCCTCTTGAACCTCCATATCATTTTCTTCTTTCTCTTCTTCCACAGCCTCTCCCTCCTCTGGTGAATCGGGAGCTTCTCCTTCCTCTAAGTCCTCTTTAGCCTGATCATCTTTAACTACCTATGTAATAGATAAATCTTTATGTTAACTAATGTAATATGCTTCAAATTTTAGTTGAATATTAAGTACATCTCATACCTGTGAATTGTTTGTGTATAAATTTATCATTTTATTTCAACATATTTCACTATCATATCACAGTAATTTATTCCAAAAGACCTTTAAAGTCCTGAGAAAATATACAATTATTGAAATTTAACCCCTACCTTCCTTCCCCTTAAAAAAAAACCCAAACAGAATACTGCATGACATACTTTTTATCCACCTTACATACTTTTTCAACACCTTACTAACTTTTTTAACACATATGTTATTTGTAACATATACATTCAATATAACAAAGTCTTTTGCTAGTCTATTGTATCTTTTTTTATTAAGCTATCCTACAATAATATTTATACTTAACAAGCATTCTGAGAGTATTGCATGGCAATACATAGTCCCCTACCAGGTAAAAATTCATTATACTGGAACAAAATGCTAACTTGTTCTATAACTTGTCATGGTGTAAACAAAAAGAAAATATCAAGTCAATATCTTCAAGTATGACTAAAAACAGTGTGGAAAACTGAATATATAAGTGAATTTTTTCAAGTCCAAGGAACATAACTCTGCACAAAAATATCAGACTGAAACAAAAATTTGAACTTGATCTGTAACTTGTCATGATAAAACTATAAACCAATTGTCAATCAATATCTTCAAGCATGATGAAAAAAAGTGTGGAAAACCTATAACACTTTAACATTAGATATGATGTAATACAAAGTATATCTATTTTCAAATTACAATCAAATATAATTAATAGTTCCAAATGTTTTTTCTTTCATTTGTCACAAACTAATATAGATTTGTAACTTATCTATAAAATGTCAACAACTTTTATCTACACAATGTAATGTAATGAAATATATACCTTAATATAAATAGATTATTATCTAATTAAAGGATTTCACTTAATAAAAAAAATATATATATATATACATGAAGGTGTGAGCCAATGCTCCGTGTTGAAGGCCGTACCTTGACCTATAATGGTTTACTTTTATAAATTGCAACTTGGATGGAGAGTTGTCTCATTGGCACTCATACCACATCTTCCTATATCTATATATGTAGCATTCAGAAAATTAGTTTATACAAAATAACATATAAACCTGCCACAAAATTCCTCAATCAATTTACCAAAGAATGTCCTTTAAAAAAATGAGTTATCTCCCTTTGTACATATATATGGTTTAACATAGTACTCTAACATTAGTTATGGAGTTTTTTTATGGCCCATAACTCTAAACTAAATCATCAGACCGGAACAAAATTCGAACTTGATCTATAACTTGTCATGATAAAACTATGTACCAAATATCAAATCAATATCTTCAAGAACAAAGAAAAAAAGTGTGGAAAGCTGAGTTGCCGGACTGAAGGATGGACAGACGGACGGACAGACAGACAGACGGTCAGTGTGCAAACCTAAAGTCCCCTTCGACTTCGTTGGTAGGGGACTAATAACATTAATTCAATTTGGAAAATTTATTAGGGCTATTCCATAAACACATACATGAGACCCAGGGAAGGTACTTTGAAATCTCCACTATGGATTGGCGTCAGGTACAGTGAAAATGTAAGAGTAATTCTATTATCATAAAATATGCCTCTTATAAGTGGTTACTCAATTTTGTAAGTGCCTTCCCTATGTACCAGGAATGCTTTAATAAAACAGTCCTTAGCAGAGCTGAAATTGTCATTCCCAACCACTCTCATTTTTACAGAAACGGCAAATTTGATGCATTGCTTCTTGAAACCCAGAACGTTATGTCTATGATAAAATATTGAGTTGCACAATACCAGTAGTTTAGTGGAAAATTCTAACCAAATAATATAGCAAATCTTAATCTTTGGTCATTAGGACCAGTTTATGATGAAGTAATCAGAACAACTAACTTAATATAAATGTCACAACAGGTCCATGACATCACTGTTCTTGGTTTCAATTTGTAAAGAAATTTCTTTTAGCGCAAGAGTACACATCTTATTTCAGCACAAGTATACACATATCTTATTTCAGCACAAGTATACACATCTTATTTCAGCACTAAAGTGTACAGATATCTTACCACAGTCCTCCTAATTGTCACATCTCTTTTGTCTTCTTCCACATCAGAGATCCTGTCATCATCATTACCTAGGTCAAGGACAGGTTCTGTTAACTTGATTTCTGGAATCAATCCCTGTAAAACACATATCAAATGTTAACCAATATTCATACAGCTTCTGCTGTTTTTTTTTAGGTTTATGATGTTTTCTTTGGTACTAAACACGGAAAATGAAATAACTAGTTTAAATATTCTATTTTTTACTTTAAAGATTTTAATCGTATTATATTAAAGTTTCATTTTTTTTTTCATCTAATCCTTAAAGCAAGCAAGTGAAGAATTCCAAGATCTGCATTCAATTTACTAATATTATATAAAAATGTAATATAGAAGGATATTATCACTTGTTATGTACATCTTTAATTCTAATAAAAAGATTTATCTTCTTGCCACACATATCTTTTAATTTCAATATGATTTTTTTTTTACTGTGGTCTTCCTTCACCTTCAGCGAGTCTGTAGATATATTGTAACTAGATATCCTCTTTGCTCCGGTCGGCTGTCCAGTCTTGGATCCCCATTTCCTCTTTCTCACTGGTTTCTCTTTCACATTTTCCTTATCGTCTTCTTTTTCTCCTTCTTCTCTGTCAATACCTGAAATTAAATGTGGCTGTTGTGGTTGATTTTTCATTCACAAATGAATTTCTTATTTAAAAACTTTCTAAGATTCATTATAGTTATCTTTTCATTCAAACTTTTCAGACACAAATAATTACTGAAGAAAAATTGACTATTGGTCATGTTGGTTGGTGCTTCTTTTAATTTTTGATAAAACTAAACAAAATTTACAAATACATTAAAATCAAAGTAATTGTCAAAGATTTCCTACCAATTTTCTATCATGAAAAACTCCCAAAGGAAAAAATCCAGTGAGTTCAAAACATTGTATTGACAGTCTCCATTCTGTGGGCGTAAATAATGATTATTGGATTTGAATTTTGTTGCAAAATAATTTGATGACCAGTAACTATCACTTTTAAATATATAATTTCCATTTAATTAGAACATTAATGTCATATTTTGCTATTGTGTAGCAGGGGAGAAGTAGGTATGTCAAATGAATCAAATATCACCATTCCACCATTAATTTGGAAGGTCTCCTTCCTTCTCTTATAAATACTTTATGTCACTTGAAATCAACCACTTACATGTACTGTATTGAAGAGGAGAAAAGACTTTTTTATCTTGAAATTTTGAAATATTTTAAATTCTTTTGAAAGAAATTTTATATCTAGTATTCTACATTGTAGAGAAAGATAAGTTTTATTGCTCTGTCTTAAAAAGTTTCCAAAATCCAGTACATGCAGTACATCACAAGTCAATGACATCATGTCCCCAAACATGTGTCTTCTGTTAATACGTTCAAATAACAGAAAATTTCGGTATTTCCCTGTCTTAATAAGATCAAACAAAACCAAATTTTTATAAATGAAGTAAAAATATTTGTCTGAAGATAACAGCAGTATGTTGTATTTACACAATGCATCCCCTATAATGGCTATTGCATGAAATGTCAAGTAACAGTTTACACAATGCATCCCCTATTGCATGAAATGCCAAGTAACTGGTAACTGACTGTAGATTGCCCTCAACAAGAAATAACATATTTTATTTAAATTTAAACACAAGTGAACCAACGCCTGGTAAATCTTCTGTCAGTAGATTCCATAAAGTGGATACCTCGGGTACGCAGGGTCGTTACGATAAAAACATAAAAACATATTTTATTTAAATGTTTTATTTGAAAAAGGTTAAAGTACCCGGAGAACGCAGCAAGTAAGCAAGCTAATTATAAATGCAAATGTTCTGCAAAACAATAGGAAGCACAATACTTACTGGTGAGGTGAAATTTTAAACCGTATTTTTACGCTATTATATTATTCGAAAGTGTTATGGATGAACGGATTAGGCGATTCCCTCTCATATAAGCATTAATACATGGTGAAACACCAATACCTCTTTCAGCAAAGACCATGCTTTTCCATGCCCTTCCATGGGATTGTATTGTGGGTTTTTTCAGGTGATCTTTGTTCAATATTGTTAATCTGTCACGTTTTTTTTTGTTTGTGGCTTTGTTGTGTTTCATACTTACAATGTAGCCTTTACAGGCGAGTGTACTGACCTGGAGACAAGATTTTCTTTTTCATCTTCTCTGGTAATTCTTCAGATTCCATCGTTTCGTCTCCTTCTGTTTCCTACAGAAAACACATCAACATATCCCTTTCAGCATTTTGTTTATGCATTTCTTATACAGTCATAACATTGTAAAGTTAAACACACTACATCAAAGTCTATATAAACTTCATTATGTTTTATTCCAATACTATCTTTATACATATACAATACTGTAATGACATTCATTAGATACCAAACTTCATGTATTTCTTAATGTAACCTAAGATCACAAAAATATCCTGAAAATATTCAACTTCCAAATAATGTAACATGTGTAATTCATTTCTTTGTAAAGTTTGTAATTATAACTTATAACTAACCAGTGAATTTTTGTCATACACAAAATTTGGTACCCATGAATAATATATAACAATGTAACAGGATACGACTGACCTTAATTTGGAGCTAGCTTATCAAATATTATTTGCCAAAAAATAATTATGGTCTGTGGTGTCAAACGTTTTGTTTTGCATTGAAAATCAATTCCCTGTAATTGCGGAGACAAACAGCTGTGTAAACAATTGCTTTAACAGCACCTATACTTATAATTTGATTTTTTTTCATGGCGAGACAAATGAATTGGTCAAATGTATCAAGCCAAATATACTAAAGTTTAAATTATTTAGAGAAATATATGCACGTACTGAAAATTTTTACATTTACTTTTCAAATCCACTTTTTATATATGTACATAACATGCTGCTGTATGATCTTGTTTCGTTTCATTTATCATTATCATAAGTTCTCACAAAAAAGTGGTAAAATCATTTTATTTTTCTGCATGAAAGATAAATTGGGAAATGTAGTTTTAACCTAAACATATTCTATTGCTTTTAACATGTTTAATAACTTGATAATCATATCAATTTTTGGTAAGGGTTTCTACATGCATGTGCATATATAGCATCTGAAGAATAAGACATGAATTAGTAACAATTTAACACATTTATCGTATACAATCACATGTTATGTTTTCAAGGGATAATATCAATTAAATGTTATGGACAGGATGAAATAAATTCCAAATTTTAGTTATAGATTAAAAACTGTTTGATATCAGGGAAACTTCAGACTTTTTCTATTATTAAAAATTAATAATGATCAATTAAATATCCCATGAATAGGATTTCAATGATATTGTTACATTTTGCCAAAATTGTTGTTAAATTTGACTTAACATGCGACTGTATGAATTATTAGAACGTAAGATGATTAACACAAAAATTAACTTCTTTCAAACAAACCAGGTGGTTACTGCCTTTTCTGCTGCTCCCGCTGTATTTAATTGTAAACAGGGAATGGGGTGAGTCAGGGAAAACCCATGTTGTCACTTAATTAGATCTGCCTTCTAACAGTATAAAGATTCAGGTAACCTAGCTTGCTCTGAATTGTTCATTTGATCTCAGATTCAGTATTGTCATCAAACTATTCCTGAATTTTCATTCATAAATTCATTGTTTCGTATAACTTTTAAATAACTAGGAACTGTAGCTGACAGTTATTAGCATGTCCCTATGCAATGTTTATACTGAAATTACATCATGGCAGGTTACATTTTACTTTCACGTATAACGTCACAGAGTAATCTATCATTTTAGATTCTAAATGTCAAATCATAGATGATACAAAAATAAGCCTTTTCAACTTGTTAGTGCCAAATGAAAGAAATAGGTAAAATGTTTTTAAAAGTTTGTAAGCAAATTTGGCATAACTCATTCAGTGATCGGCAGTATGAAAGAAACAGCATCATTACAGTTTAGTGCACAACATCTATTCTATGTTGTGGTGGTCTTCAGAGCAGATTGCCAGTTTGAGGTTAACAGTTCTTCACAGTACAAAAAGTCTCAGTCCTGTTATTCCACTAATCATGACATAACACTGAATATCCTACTGGCCAATACGTAGTGTTGTAAGAGAATAACTATTGAAGTTTCCAAATTAGTAGGAAGAACATGTAATTCTTAACCGATTGACATCAAATATCCATTTCTGCACTACTTTTGCATGTAATAAATTGAATGTGTTAAGAGATGAGAAGGAAGTTTTTTAGCTGATGGTAACAGTATGACAAGTTACCAATTGTCCATCTTTCAAATTAGTAATCAAGTGTTAAAATCCACATCCTTTAGTCCACTTCCACAATCAACACTGAATAGTATATATAACAACTGCAAGGTTTTTAATGGTGTGTGGATTCAGAGTCAATAAAAGTTCATCATTTCAGGTCCAGTAAATGGCTAGTTTGAGACTAGCAGATACTTTATTCTCCAGAAAGTCAAGATAAACGGACAATACTTTCTAGCATGTAAAAATTATTCAAATTGTTAAGTTTGAGACTATCAAATGCATACTAAATGTAGTTCAAACAAAATGTTACTCCTATCCAGTTACTCAGAATTGCACAAACAGAAAGTATTCGACCGACAGATGGAATAAAACGCAGTTTCTGAAAAGTTTATTTCAATCCATTAAATAAGAATCAAGCGACCTGTTAGTTTCAGACTAACAGATGTCTTTTTTACAAGTCCAGATAAAATGTCCTCACAAACAGGTAGTATAAGAACTACTGGTGCATTCATCCAAGTCTTGATAAAGATACACACCTTATGAAGTCCAGATAATTATTCACTTCAATCCACTTAGAATGAATTCAGCAAACTGCTAGTTTCAGACTAGCAGCTGCCTACTCTACACAGTTCAAAATTTCACTTTACATATAACGAATTTGACTTTACATAGTCTGAATTTGACTTTAATCCACCTACTGGTATAAAAGCAATGTTATAATGTCATTCTGAACTTTTGTATTTTGCAGTCTTTTTCAACAAAGAACTTGATGTGACAACCTTGACCGTGGGGCAGGGGTTCGGGACGTGAAGAGAAATTCCTCAGTTTGGTCTTTGTTCATCCTTGTACCATTCGTCTCTGGCTCTAGTGAGTTGTGAAAAATTTATTTAAAAATTGTATTCTAGAGAAGGAGTTTACTCAAATACAAAATAACATTTCAAATTATTACAATTAACCTAATTCACATGAAATGGCAATAGTCTACAAATAAAAGAGAAACAGGTCTTATCCCTTTAATTTAAAGTTCTTATTTTTTATTATCAATTTTATTATTGGGATAAATAAATTATATTGAGTAGTTGCCTATACTGTGTCATCAATGATATTGCATCCAAAAAGAAGTAATCAATTTCTTAGAAAACTGTTAGACATTTTTCACATTTTATACCTATTAAATTAAGTTTTGATTTAGGAAATTATGCATAGGGTAAATAATGTGGTTCAAATTAAGAATACTGAAAGGAAACTATTGTATTGTTCAAATTAAGAATACTGAAAGGAAACTATTGTATTGTTCAAATTAAGAATACTGAAAGGAAACTATTGTATTGTTCAAATTAAGAATACTGAAAGGAAACTATTGTATTGTTCAAATTAATTTGCAATTTATACTGAAAATTTGGGTTAAGATCAATAATGTTACTTGTGGTTCTAAGACAAAGCTAAGTCTGAACTAAAGCAAGAACATGTACTACTGCCATTTCCATGAGTGTTCTTTAATTTTCCATGAACTATTTCGTGAAACTTTTACAAAATAAATATTCAAAGTATAGTTTTTCACAATTCAATCTTTGTAATACTCCTTCCCTACTTGTGTAGATCTGAACAGATTAACATACCTTTTCATTTACAGATTCTACAGTAGTATCTGGCTTAGTGTCACTTTCTTCTACCTCCATTGTTGAAGAGCTCCTAAAATTAAATTATTTAAGGAATGACTGTAATATTTTTTCTGTCTATGAAGAAATAACATCAAAAATGTGGTGCACACTGAATAACCCGCGTAGCAGGTTATTTTAAAGTGTGCACCACATTTTTTATGTTATTTCGAATAGACAGAAAAAATATTACAGTCATTTCTTATAATTTAATTCTAAATTCCATTTTAAACCGGAGTAAACCATGAAAAAACGTTGATGACGTCACGGTCACATGACAAAATTATGTCTATGAGCTGATAAACAAAACAACGTCAGCCAATCAGAAGATGCGTTACATCCAAAATTAAATTATTGCATTTTATACAAACAAAATATACATAGCAGGGCGAAACACAGTAAAAAATACTTTAATTTAACATTTTTATTGTTAAAAGTAACCAATTGTACTGATTTTTAGAATGGGATAAATTATAGCGGTTCTGAAATCTGAAGCAGGACTGTTTTTATATAGAAAATCTCAATTCTGGTGCAAAGTGAATAAAATAAATGCAAGCTGAAGCTCTTATTGCTTAAAAGTCATCTTATCAAATATTTCTTACGTGTCTTTCTTTACTTCCTCATCCTGTGTGGATGTTGTAGAAACAGGTTCATCCACTTCCATTTTTGCAGGTTTCTGAATCTGAAATGTAAAATATATCCTTCAATAAAACAAGACGCTTTCTCCCTAAACCGATTGTTTGTTAGATAGGGTTATTGCTATGTTTTATACATGTGTACCTTTCCATAGCAAAATGCCTGACAGCCAAGGAAGGGTAAAACTCATATTTTCCATAAGAAACTAATAAACTATCACATACTGACAGACATTTCTTTTAACTGACTTTTCCCTTTAATTGTAATGTTTTCTCACCCTTATTTACACTAAGAAATAGAAAGTAACGACCAGTTGAGAACTTAACATTACAACAAAAGATATGTGGGTGTTGTTTGTCCTTCAAGTTAGGATTTTGATAAAAATTGAAATATTTTCTTTCTTTTGATACAATCTTTATAGAACACTTACAGGCAAGGATAAATATATATAAAAATTATACCTTTTCAGGCACTGGTGATGGTGACCTTGACTTTGAACTTGATGATCTGGATCTTCTTTTGAATGGTGGTGATCTTGACCTTGATGATGACCTATTACCTGGTGATTTTGACCTCGATCTTCTTTGTGATTTTGGTTGGGTTGCTGCCTCTCTTGTTGGTGACTTCGATTTAGACCTAGACCTCGATCTTGAACTATTAAGAAAGTATCATTATAACTGAAGAACTTATTCTTTCGTAGATGGATGTTATAAAATTGTTAATGATCAATATATTAGAACATCAGCACATCATTTAGTGACTTTAGTATTGATGGCTGACCTTTGATAATCTCTTTTAAGTATTATGTTTTCTAGACTCTAAATAATTTGGAGCTTGACATAGTGTATAGACACTGGTATAGTGTTGAACTTTGTTAGAGCTTGACATAGTGTATAGACACTGGTAAAGTGTTGAACTTTGTAAGAGCTTGACATCGTGTATAGACACTGGTATAGTGTTGAACTTTGTTAGAGCTTGACATAGTGTATAGACACTGATATAGTGTTGAACTTTGTTAGAGCTTGACATAGTGTATAGACACTGGTATAGTGTTGAACTTTGTTAGAGCTTGACATAGTGTATAGACACTGGTATAGTGTTGAACTTTGTTAGAGCTTGACGTAGTGTATAGACACTGGTATAGTGTTGAACTTTGTTAGAGCTTGACATAGTGTATAGACACTGGTATAGTGTTGAACTTTGTTAGAGCTTGAGATCATGTATAGACACTGGTATAGTGTTGAACTTTGTTAGAGCTTGACATAGTGTATAGACACTGGTATAGTGTTGAACTTTGTTAGAGCTTGACATAGTGTATAGACACTGGTAAAGTGTTGAACTTTGTAAGAGCTTGACATCGTGTATAGACACTGGTATAGTGTTGAACTTTGTTAGAGCTTGACATAGTGTATAGACACTGATATAGTGTTGAACTTTGTTAGAGCTTGACATAGTGTATAGACACTGGTATAGTGTTGAACTTTGTTAGAGCTTGACATAGTGTATAGACACTGGTATAGTGTTGAACTTTGTTAGAGCTTGACGTAGTGTATAGACACTGGTATAGTGTTGAACTTTGTTAGAGCTTGACATAGTGTATAGACACTGGTATAGTGTTGAACTTTGTTAGAGCTTGAGATCATGTATAGACACTGGTATAGTGTTGAACTTTGTTAGAGCTTGACATAGTGTATAGACACTGGTATAGTGTTGAACTTTGTTAGAGCTTGACATCGTGTATAGACACTGGTATACTGTTGAACTTTGTTAGAGCTTGACGTCGTGTATAGACACTGGTATAGTGTTGAACTTTGTTAGAGCTTGACATAATGTATAGACACGGGTCTAGTGTTGAACTTTGTTAGAGCTTGACCTAGTGTATAGACACTGGTCTAGTGTTGAACTTTGTTAGAGCTTGACCTAGTGTATAGACAGTGGTATAGTGTTGAACTTTGTTAGAGCTTGACCTAGTGTATAGACAGTGGTATAGTGTTGAACTTTGTTAGAGCTTGACGTAGTGTATAGACACTGGTTTATTGTTGAACTTTGTTAGAGCTTGACGTAGTGACTTTAGTATTGATGGCTGACCTTTGATAATCTCTTTTAAGTATTATGTTTTCTAGACTCTAAATAATTTGGAGCTTGACATAGTGTATAGACACTGGTATAGTGCTGAACTTTGTTAGAGCTTGACATAGTGTATAGACACTGGTATAGTGTTGAACTTTGTTAGAGCTTGACATAGTGTATAGACACTGGTATAGTGTTGAACTTTGTTAGAGCTTGACCTAGTGTATAGACACTGGTCTAGTGTTGAACTTTGTTAGAGCTTGACCTAGTGTATAGACAGTGGTATAGTGTTGAACTTTGTAAGAGCTTGACGTAGTGTATAGACACTGGTTTATTGTTGAACTTTGTTAGAGCTTGACGTAGTGTATAGACACTGGTATAGTGTTGAACTTTGTTAGAGCTTGACATCGTGTATAGACACGGGTATATTGTTGAACTTTGTTAGAGCTTGACATAGTGTATAGACTTGGGTCTAGTGTTGAACTTTGTTAGAGCTTGACGTAGTGTATAGACACAGGTCTAGTGTTGAACTTTGTTAGAGCTTGACATAGTGTATAGACACTGGTATATTGTTGAACTTTTGAACATTTTGAACTTTTAATTTGTTTTTTCTTCTTTGGTTGTAGTCCTAGAGGCATATACCCTTTATCTCTTTTTATTCATATAAAACAAATCATCATGACAGTTCACTACCAGTTAGTAAAGAGTGGCAAATACTGAATCCACTCTGTTAAATCTCTATGCTTCATGACACATGTGATATTCCTGACTTATTCATTTACCAAGAAATCTAGTGTCCTTGGTTTGTTGCAATAAGTGGTTTGCAGAGACATATTAAGCAAAGGCTTGTACAATTTGTATTTGTTGCAGATTTTTTTGTATGGTTAATCAAGGATATTAACAAGTTGTAGTTGCTTTGATCTTTGAATTGAACAGCATAAAATATCATTAATCAGTCAAACTACTCCCTCCAGCAAAGCAATTTTCTGTTACCTTGAAGAAGACATAGATCTCCTTTTCTGTGGTGATCTTGACCTACTGCTACTGCTGCTACTACTACTAGATGCTCTTGATCTTCTTGGTTTCTTGGACTTTTCCCTGTCACTACTGCCACTTTCAGACCTGCGACGCCCACTGGTCTTTCCCCCCTCCTTGCTGCCATCATCTGATTTCTCACCAGATCTACTTGATTTTTGTATTTTGTTATCTTCAGGTGATTTTGATCTCTGTCTAACAGGCTCTGCAAATAGAAGACAAAATGTTTGATTGATTGATTGGTGTTTAACGCCACTTTCAACACTATTGTGCTATTTCGTGAGTCAGTTTTTATTGGTGGAGGAAGCCAGAGTGCCCATAGAGAACCACTGACCTTTGGTAGGAAGACTGACAATCCTAGTCAATTAAGATTGGAGTCAAGTGCACCTGCTCCATGCGGGATTCGAACTCACAACCTCAGTGTTGACTGGCTAGTGATACAGTAGTTTGACTACTTAGACCACAAAGCCACCGAGGCCCCCTCAAAATGTTTGAAATACAATGTCAAGCGTGAATAAAAGAAGATAAGGGGTATACCAATTAGACAGTAATCTTAACAACACAAGAAACTAAAGGAAACCTATCATGTTTAAAAATGTATTAATAAAATTACGGAACTTCAAGGTAAATTCATCAACAAGAAAGTCCATAAAACACGATAAAACCAAACTGTTGACTATATCAAACAACAGAATGACTGAAAAGGACTGATGTTATTATTCATTTTTTACTTTGTAAATTCAACCATGGAAATGCATATTCTATAACATTGTTTACCTAAACAGTTGAAATCTAGTGTAATTAAAACAATGATTTTCTTAATAATTGATATCATATTTTATATTAATCAAAAGTATAATGTAATTTGTTAATAAATACAAACTACACCTTTTATAGATGATTTAATATATAAATTGCATATTGCTAACCCTTAATCAGCAAGAAAGAGCAAGCAATTGCAATACAAGTTTTATCTAATCATTGCCTAAGATCATGATTCTATTCCAGTTTAATTGATTTGTTAATTTATCTAGAGTAAGACTTTTCAATTAATAAAAATAGGGCTGAGATGACAATTTTAAACACTTCTGTTGGTGTATTAAAATCGTTTGTATTTTTTGCCAAAGCCATTGTTTTTTTCCGAGCAACCTTATTCTCACTAAAGAATTAAATCATCTTATCCTAACACATGCAAAATTCTTTAAGAATTTATTGCATTTAATTACAAAAAAATCTGTAATAAATGAACACTGTTATCTGACTGAAATATCTCATTATATTTTATACCCATCACCAATATTTTATGTAATTTGATATCATTACCATTAGATGTTTCCTTTGATTCTTCAATACATGTATTTTTGATTTCTGTTTTATTTTTACTGTCTTCACTTTTTTCTACTTTTTCTGAATCCTTTGCATTCTGTGTTTCATGTTTATCTGTATCCACATCTTTTTCGCCAATACTTGAATCCACAGGTTTACTTGAATCTATAATCTTTTCAGTAATACCTGAATCCTTGATTTCCTCAGCAACCTTGACCTTGTCTGTGACTTTACCGTCCTCAGCAACCTTGACATTGTCTGTGACTTTATCATCCTCAGTAACCTTGACCTGGTTCGTGACTTTATCTTCCTCAGCAACTTTGACCTTGTCTATGACTATATCTTCCTCAGCAACCTTGACCTTGTCTGTGACCTTTTCCTCCTCTGTAGACTTTTCAACAGTCTTAGCTGCTGGCTCATCTGGTTGTGTTGCTTCTTCTTGTGGAAGAGAAGACTTTCTCCATCCTCTTTTAGGCCTTGGTTGAATTGGAGATGTCACTTCAGCCTGTGCTGTTTCATCTGCGTTGCTGTGGCTACTTGAATTTGACCTTCGCCTTGAGGCTCTGGAATCACCAGCACCATCTTCTGATGTTTTCTGAGAAAAAATATCTTACTTATGCTTAGTCTGTGAAGCTTTAGATAAAATATGAGGCTAATTTCTAATATGAGCAAAAACTGATGAATAATAATAAATGTTATGGTTAATATGGTGGTGATATTTCATATTGAAAGCCGGCAATTGTCATGATTGTGGCCGATTCACTCTGAAATCTCTACACATTCATTTATATAATGCATTAATTGTTATCTTACTGAATGCTAGTGGGAAAATTTTTTATTTAGAAAAATATTTACAATTCCATCTCCACCAGCTTTTTATAGCTAACTTTACAGTATGGATTTTGCTCATTGTTGAACGCTGTAAAAGTGACCTGTAGTTGATACATCTTTGTGCTTGGCCGCTGGTAGATATTTGTCTCATTGGCAATCATTTCAAATCTGATTATTTTTATAATACAAGACAAATTATAAAGGGACGTAACTCAAAAACAATAAAAGTGACGCTACCCAAATTTGTACTAGATCTGAGTTTTGTGGTAATAAGTATTGTGTATAGATTTCATAATGTTTGGTTGGGGCAAACTTAAGTTACAGAACGGAAACTAAAAAAAATGCAATTTTTCCATTTATAAAGGGGCATAACTCTAGAATGGTTAAAGTGACACCACCAAAATTCAAACTTGATCTGTGTTTTGTGGTAATTAACATTGTGTATAAGTTTCATGACATTTGGTTGAGGCAAACTCAAGTTAGAGAACGGAAACCAATTTTGAGACGTACGGATGTACATACGTACCTACGTACAGAGGGCCAAGGGTAAAACTTAATGCCCCCTCCGCCACCAAAAGGGCATAACAAATTACTAGCCAGCAATGATGGTATTGATTTAAAATTTTCTTGTGTCATTAAAATTGTATGACATATTGTTCAATTAGCACATAATACAAATGAGAGTAAAATAAAGCCTGGTCCTTATGCACATTTACTTGCAAGATGTAATTTCTATTTTTTTTTTTTTAGGTCTCAAAGAATTGAAATTTAAATTGCTCAGACAACACTCAGAAAAATATAGTTGAAGTCTTTGGCCTAACTGTTCCAGCCAAGCAAATGTTAATTTTAAAGGCTACAGATTTAAAAAAAAATTCCTTAACAAGTTCGGGTAATATGAGTTAAGTTATCAAAATGGCCCCCTGCCCCCTCTGAGTTCATCTTGACATATGACACATTATCTTCCCCTTTTCAAATAAATGTGCACACTGTGCAAGTTCAATGATCTCCCCACTAAGTGCACAGATTCATATGGTGAATTAGTTTTATGAGCACTTTCATTTATTTAGAACTTATATAATGAATCACATAAATTTTGGAAGGTCATTTTATCTCTTTCAGAATAATGAATGGGGTCTTTTTGTTGATGGCATATCTGAACACAGAATTCTACCATTGATTAAGTTTTGATTAAAATCAAGCAAGCAATCAGTAAAGTTGTAAGAGTCATGGGCAAATGGACAGCCATGCCAGGTAATAACTTCTTAAGTTGTCTACACTGCTAACCAATTACAATAAAATCTGTTTAAGGTCACAAAAAAACATACTAGGTTCTCAGGCCCCGCCGCATCTCTAAAAACACTCCCGTGTCAACGATTTTTATTTTCGTCGGAATCCAGAATTTTTTCATATCCAGTACGATAATGATTTTGTGATTATGAATAACTTAACAGAGTCATCTGTGGGCTTGACGAAAATTGTGAAGTTACGTTTCTATTGAGGTTGTTAATTAACATTGACTAGACATCGTAGAGTGGAGCGAGATGACTTTAATTTCTTGCAAAAACTCATATACAAACAAAGTTTTGATGCCATGGTGCATCATATTCAACTTTTCCTCAGAATGTAGCAGTGGATTTGATGAAATTTATTGAAAAAAAGAAAGACAACTTTCTTCTTCTGGAAAAAGATGGAAAAAAAAAGACCACCCTCCCTCATCCATATTTTTAAAAAGTGGCCCAAGAACCTAGGCATTCCATTTTTTGTATGGCCTAAGGGACAAAAGATTAGCTTTCATGATAACATCACAAGTTTTGACATGATTAAAAAAAACTTATTCTCTACAAAAGGACAATATCTAACAGTATCAATCACTTTGTTATTATGCATAAAAGTTGGATAGTGTAAAAAGTTTCAAACCAAGGGAAGAGAATATTGCTGATTTCACTCTATATATAATTAGTTACCTTTTGTTCTGGAGTTTTTCCAGCAGAAAGATCTGGTTTGTCTTTCTTGGTTGGACTTTGACTCTCTTCTGATGCACTTTCATCTGTAAAATGTCACAAGTACTTAAATTACTAGAGAGAAATTAAATTTCATTTGTTAATACATTCAGTAAGAAGGATTGGTAATTTGAATTGCATTTGATTTCTTTCAGATTATTAATTTATTTTTTTCATAACTGAGTTGCTTATCAATTGAATTATGGAATAATAGTGATGAAGTCTTTGATTTTTTGTTCTTTACAATTGTACATATCTGATAAGTGAAAGTTCTATGACATTTTGTACAAAAGGACAAGTTGGGTAACATGTTTATCACAAACACTGTCTTTAAATCTATAATCTTACCCGAAAATCTTCTTATTTCTTCCTGTCTGTCTGCCAATAACTTTTTCTGTTTTTGCAAATATAATTTAATAACATCACTCTTTTCCGATTCCTGTGAATTCAAATTTATGCAAAAATTAAAGAGGAAACATAGAATGTCCATAAAAGACAATGAACATTAATATGCTAAATTGTAACCAAATAAGTAAGCAAAAAAATAATTTGTTTAATGAAAAAAAAATTGATGAAAAGCACTGTCTTTTTGAAAGCAAATTCTTCATAAGGTTTAAAACTTATGACTTCAAAGTAGTTTTAAGAATATCCACTAACCATAAAAGCAATCAATAAACCTAACCTCTTATTTGACATTTTCTGACATAACCTAAGCCCTTGTTTGTATCTATTCAGTTTTAAACTAAAACCTTAGTACATGCAAGGGGATTCAGTTAAATATCATTGTTGGTTAAGATACATGTAGTATTTCACAGTCAATGCTTACATGTATGTTAGTGTGTAAATCACTCTGAAATATATTTTTTTTGTTTTGAACAAATGTGATATAATAGTGATAGTTATAAATTAGAATGTGTAATCTCCCCAATCAGTGTTTTACTCAACACCAAGAAAACGATTTTTAACTAAATCATGTTATTTGTACTTTAGTATATATTCAATAAAAGGATGATTGCAAAAAGTTTGTACAATTTATCATAAAAACTGGGTACAAAATGTATATGTAATATTTCTTATGTAAAACTTTTTTTAATTTATGTAGAAGTAAATTGTGGTATTCATCTATATTACTGTTAAAAGATGAAAGTGTGTAGCCTGTTGATAATCATTTGTTTATGTAGTTACTGTTGTGTCTAAGATTGAAAGATAGAATGGTATCTTTTTCCACAGGGGGACTTTGCATGAAATGAATGAAAAATCTATGCTTGAATTCTCCCTTTATTTTAGCTCTATCCTTCAGACTTGTACTGAATAAGTCTGAATTTGTTGATAATTTTTCAAAATGGTTATCAAAATTAATCAATTTCACATCCACAACAATTAATTTCAAGGCACTAATAAGATACATGGAAAAGGTCCTAATGTTAACTTGTAGTTTTATTCAGAAGTACTCATTTTCTTACCACTGTGGTTATTGGCTCATGATCATCTTGATCTAGAAAGAAAGACAACCATACATATAAACAATATTATACATGTAGTGTACATTAAAATAAAAATACAAAAAAAGAATCTGGAAATCTTTCTCTCGATTTCTCTCATTTTACTGTTTTTTTTTCTTTTGAACTGTTTCACATTTTTTCATTCCAGGACCTTTTCAGCTTACTATATATATATATGGCAAGGATTTTCCCATGCTTTTTGAACACTGTATGGTGACATTTAGTTTTCTTACATCCTTTTTTGTGGTGGATAGTTGTCTCATTGGCAATCATACCACACCTCCTAATTATATATTTCTTTGAGTATTACATTTATCATTATCTAGATCTGGCAAACAGAAATTATATTTTGAATGATTTCAGGCGTAATCAATGTATCAGTACATTTTATGTATACATGCACTTTTAAGATTATATAAGTTTTAATAACTTTAACATTAGTCCAATTTTTATCACTTGCATTGATTTTCTTAAATGAATGTTAAATATGGATTTGTTATACAACTTGTGTACAACAAAAGGTCATCTTTTCCAAACAAAATATCAATAAGCAGTTTATTCAAGCAGTTGAAAATTCTTCTGAATATATGTAAACAAAATTTCTGATTTGAAAATGAAAAAATCTATGCTGTTTTAGCATTCTAAACACGGTCAATGGTCTGATGGTTAGTTTTCACATTGGCAATCACCTAGTTATCTTTATTTCTGATAAAATCTTTTGAGGATCCTTTTTGCTACCTGTTGCATGAGAGTTGATAAGTGTTAAAGCAATAATTTAATTGTTGCGAAAACTATTTGATGGTTCTGGTAAAGAAAACTCAATCAATCCAGTAAAATTTACATACAATACTGTGATCTCCTTATTCATGCTGACAAATAATTATTCTGAAATTTCTTCTGCATGCAAATCAAGAAAAAGTCATTAAAAACAATTGGTCTACCAGTTTCTTACTTTCAGTATTTTCTTGTGTGTCCTGTTCTTCTCGTAGGAACTGAAATAAATTAGACAAATGAGCATGGTAGTAAGCTTATTATTCAGTGGTTGCCATTAGTTGCAAAACCAAGAAGAACAATAACACCAACTTAAGTAAAACTCAAGTTGTTAGAGCTTTCAGGTCCTTTATTTCAAGATCTGTCAACATAACAGTAAAATCTGGCCATCCATCCCCATCAAAATGAAATTATCTGGAAATTGGTCTACTACATGTATGTTTGACAATTGAAATGAAACTGTGTATCATATCCAATTTGGGTGATTAGTCCCAACCTGATTATTTGTTGATCTGTATAAATGTTTTATGTCATGTAGTCAACAAACTGGTGATATAATATTTCTTATTCCACATGCAAAGCTGTACATTTGTTGAAACTGCATATGCTGATGTCATATTTGTTTACTTTTAAGTTTTAAAAGCTCTAAAGTGGAAGATCTTTCTTTGGTGGAAAGTAGAAAATGTACACAACAGTATAAAAGTAAATTTCTGGCTTCAAAAGGTTTTGTGTTGCAGATTTCTATATAATCAACATTGTATTCCGAACTTTATTTTCAATGATTTTTGTTTTTCTTTTAGCAGTCAGGGGTGCTACTTAAACAAGTGATTTCATCATCACTTATTTCAGTGATTTTATAAATTCAGTTATCACCTATTTAAGTGATTTTAGTGTTTTCTTTGATCTTCAAATGCTAATTTCATTGATTTTCCATATTTTCACTATCTTTTCTATAATTTTCCTACATAAATCAATTATCCCTTTTTCTTTGTATATTAATTTCACCAGTGCGCTTGGGCAGTAAGTTAGTGCGCTAAAGCTTTTAAAAGTACCCTTGGGAATTTTTCTGTAATCAAAAATTCATTAACTACTCTTACTATCAGACAAAGATCAACAATATTAGGTAACATGATTGGTTTCCTTTAGAGTTAGAATGATCTACTTCAAGGTTATGACCTGATCTACAAATTATTCCAGTTTTTGCATATCTTAAAAAAACTGTAAAAGTGTCAGGCTTATCAAGCAAAAGACAATTTCTGCATGTACATAGTTGTTTTTTCAATGGAATTGTTGTCTTTTTAACAATAAAAAAATCAAGCTTGTGGGAAAAATATCAAGAAAATGTTATAAACACTTATTAAAGTGATTACATTTTAACTTCTAAAATTACTTGTTTCAGTGATTTTAAAAAGTCTGTGTGAAAATTTTTAATATTTCACAGCCAAAATCACTCGAGGAAGTGATTCTGAAATCACTTGTTTAAGTAGTACCCCTGACTGTTTAGAAAATTAAATTATTAATAGTTGATAAATCTTACAATCCATATTCAAAATTAATAAATCCAATAATTAACCATTATCTGTATACTACAACATGCCAGATAGCTTGAGAACTTTAAAAAGATTACATTCATACATTGGGTAAACAAAACGAACAGTGTGCAACAAGTGCACATATATTCTTAACTTTTGTCACATCGAAAAACTGTGTATTATATGAAATTGACAAAAGGACATAAAGGCTGAAGGTTAATAACTTAAATTTGCAAGGGTTGTGCTAGCAAAAATCATAGAGCCACTTCTTGGAAAATGTTATTTTTGGATCACCTGAACTTGGCGACCACAATACTTGTATACTAGTATTGTCAACAATACTCGTATATAATTAATGTACAAGTATTGTATACGAGTATTGTCATAGTATTGTTTATATAAAATATAAATACATTGAAGTAGAGTAATTATTACTGCCTTTACTCCAAAATATTCAAAAGTAATGTAATGATTTAGAAAAAATATGTATTTCAGGATAAATAAATTAGAAACATTTATTCATTTTTTGTAACGAAATGGTCAGGGTACGAAATGGGAGGTACGATATGGTTAGTGTACGAAATGACTATACATAGCAACATAACGCGTCAGCATACAGACATGGACACAAAGACAATTGACCAGATGAGAATCAACCTGTTTACAGCTGCAGCATATGAACGTTTCTGATTTATTATTGTGATTTCTTTGTACATATCTACTTGTGTAATTTATTGTGTATTAACTCTGGGACTATTATACTAGTCTCAATTTTTATATCTGTCTAAATGCATTAGAAAAAAAAACACCAACAAGATGTTAATAAAACACATCAATGAATAATAACAAACCCTATTGATTTTATAATTTTTTTGTACAATACTTGTACATTAATTATATACGAGTATTGTTGACAATACTAGTATAGAAGTATTGTGGTCGCCAAGTTCAGTTGATCCTTATTTTTACTCTGTGAACTGTCAGCATTAGTTTTTGAAATTTCTACTGTAAAAATACTCTATGCAGAAAAACCTTTGAAATAGCTACAAACCTAAAGCTATATTGACAGTATTATTGTTATAACATTAACAAGGCGAAATTGATAATAAATAAATTTTTATAGGGATACATATTTAATAATTTCATGTATGAAAATTCCTTGTGTTATTTGGCAGACAATATTTTTCAATAAATAAATACAAAGTTTTTCAAGGTTTTTCAGGTTATTTAGGAGATTCGATGTACCACTTTAAAGTTTACAATTTGTGAATTATCTCCCTTTGGTCGCAACTTTTGCTTTGTTTACAAAATTGAGTCTAGTTTTTTGACATTTTCTACTGTACTTAACAAGGTAAAAGTGTGATATAACTATAATGAAAAACAAAGCCATTGAATATACCAATACTATAAGCAATACTTCGAAATTTCTAATTTTTCAATAAATGCCTGTACCGTGTACGGCCCCACTACGGGATAATTGCAGTTTTTTAGTAATATTATCCCATTTGGTTTCTTTTGCATTACCGTTCTTAGTCTCTCTACAATGTCTACTTTATTTCCACTCTTAGAAAGGCCCCTTTTATCACATTCTTTCTTTAAATCTACCACGCGATAGTCATTTATGTCTTTCCCCCTTAGAGTCGGAGCATCAGTGTCCGCCATTGTTGACATGTGCAGTCGTAGATTTCCGTAATATTGAAAACTACTATTATTTTAGATTTATTATTAGCTTAAATCAAATTAAACAAAGACAAAATAAAGTTTAATCTTCATATAAGTATATTTACTTAGAAAAAAATAACTACATAAATATATTTGTTTTATCTATCGATAGTTTCCGTATCCCGGAAGTGAAAAAAAGCTGTCTGCAAAAAGATTGAAGATGCAGGTGCCCTAAAACAATAATCTGTTAAAAAACAAACAAATATTGAGGATGGCAGCTGCAAATACGACATTCACAACAGTGATGAGAACAGTAGCAGATGCGTTAAAGCTAGATGGAGACGGAAAAGTTCAAGTATATATCAAAACTCTTGGAAAGTTTAGGATAATTATACCAAAGTTCACTTATTTAAGTTATTATAAGTAGAACAATTGAAATATTTATGAGGAAACATGTATTGAAATTACGAAATTTCAAGTTTCCTTATATTCCCTGTAATGTATTTTTAATTTCAATTTCAACTTGCACCTGTATAATTATTGGCATATTGCTTACACGGACTGTGGATTGAAAAGCAAACTAGACCTTCAGCAAGGATTTGTATGTGGGATATATAAATCCTTGCTTTCATTCATGATTCTTCTTCGTCAAAATTATCTCCCCATTACACCGACAAATTTGTTCAATAAAAAAAATGGAAGCCACTGTAGGGATGACACGCTGTCAATTAGCCCTAGTAAACCAATAAATTTATCCAAATAGCATCATTACAATCTTTATATGACAGTTGTATTTTAACCCCTTCGCCCCCAATCCCGCCTGTAGTCGTGATGGCGACCACCATTCTTTGATGGCCTGTATGACCCTCCATATTTTTTTAGAACTGCCCCAGCTCAACTGTCTTGACAGCAGGGACTTTAACCATGCAATTCATGGTCCATAAAGTCTTCTCAGATGTGTGTTTATGAAAATATGGCAACTTTAATGGCCTTTTTAGAGTTCAAAATTGGAAAAACATGAAAAGTAGCCCAAATCAGGTGGGGGTGGGAGTCTTTTGATGGCCACTAGGTTACTGGTATGGGCTGTAGGTATCAACTTTTATCATAAATACTTGCATAGATGGTACAGGAACACAAGGAGGTATAATATGGCCAAAAGAAATGTGGTCTGTAAAATCTAGGTCACTTTTTTGTCAGAAATCGGTAAAAACGGACATTTAGGCATACTTGGCTAGCCAATAATAATTCCCCAGCAAGATTCGCAAGTCACATTTACTTCCAGTCAGTATGGATAGACTGCAGTAACTGTAAGGTAATACTTGAATGACAAAGAAACACAGTTTAGTCAATGTTCACCTCTCAAGGTCGTATTAATATCTAAAAATAGACTGAAAATGACCATTTTTCATTAGGGGTGTGTTCAAACCCACCAGAAAATATACCACCTCCCACCCCACCCATGCCATCTGCCCTCAAATCTCAATACATAGTTTGATAGATCAGCATCAGTTACAGCATCACAGAGCTCCAGATAAGAATTCACAAATTGGGGTTTTTACCCACCATTTCTTTATGTAATTGGGTGATAAAGTTTTTTAATTGCATTATCAATTCCAATTCACCCTTCAAGCAAATATCAAATTGGGTTTTTCACCACCAAGCTCCTTAATGTATTGGGTTTTTTCATCAACACAATATTGAATATTTAGGCATGTTATAATCACATTATATCAACCCCAGATGTGTTTCCATCTTAAATGTGTTTCTTTCTTTGTAGAATATGTGCTAGCTGTTTTATTTGGTTTATCCACTGACGAGCAATTGTACATTTAATTGTGTCCCGTTTTAAACGTTCTGTCAGTTTTGTATTTTCTCAAAACTTATGTAAACTGCAGCTGGTGTCACTAGTTGGACAGGAACTAATTGCCTTTCTAGATCCCATATGATCACCCTACAGTTTAATTATAGTTGGGGTAGGTGTGGCTAAGTGTTTAGATTTTTGTGTAATATATGTGAAATTTAGGTGCTGTAAGAAAGTTTTGCCAGTCCTTTCACCTTTTTGCCAGATCTACTTTTTAATAAAAATAAAAAGTAGTTTCCAGATTTAAGATATATCACAAAACCTTGAGGTTTATAGGGTGGTTTATAATGACGGAGACCACATTCAACTTAAATTTACAAATAATTCTGCAACATCAAGTAAATAAATGACAATGTTATACTGCACTTGCAAATAAGACAACTATCTTAAGCATCTAGAACAATTAGACCAAAACAAAGAAAGTGTCAAGCTGCATTGACGTAAAAAACGGATATGTGTATTCACTCATCAACTAAAATGAAAAAAAATAATATATAAACTGTTTTCGTTTAATTCAATTTACATAAATCTGGGTTAAATTGTCCCTTATCAGAACTTTTGGTTTCCGATGCTTTCAAACTACATATCATGTCATAATTGATTTGGCCTTTCACTTTTTCCAACTGATTTCGTTTTTGACGGAACCCCGTGTTTATCGCTCTAGCAATGTTCTCGTTATGGTACGCAAACACGCCCATGCGTTCAATGGCCGCTTCCTAAAATCACTAGCTGAGTCTTGTTATCATCATAACTTTCCCTCAGCTATCAAAAAGAAGCCGAAAACATGCTTCTATTCAATATTTTTACCGGACATTTACTTTCGTTTTAATTCATTGTATGTTATGATAAATCCCGAGCAATTCGAAAAAATATGACAGCATGTCACACGCTAATTGGATAAACGCCGAGAAGATCGAAATGTTTTCATAAACACGTGTACCTTTTGAGCAACGAAAAATTCCAACAGGGACCCATTACAGCTACTTGATGGAGGGCTCTATTTTTAGAACGAAAGGACATTTCCAATTATAAATATTATAAAAATAGATTTACGCGACGACTGTAATCAAGTAAGGGTAAATAACGCAAACGATAGCGAATAAAAGCGTTAAGAACCCATGTTTTTGGCATATAATTGGGTTTTCCTTTGAATTAATTGGGTTATTGAACCCTGCAATGGGCAATTGCATTGGGTTTTTAATTATTTTTATTGCGTGATCACGCAAATACGCAGCTTATCTGGAGCTCTGGCATCAAGAGTCTACTAATTTGCATAAGTTTGCAAATTTTCGAAAATGCCTGATTTTCAGAAATCTCTTGGGGTCGAATGAGTTAAAAGACAAATGTATATTTAGTTATTAAGCATCATTTACTGTACTTTTATGCCTTTTGTCAACGTATAACTATTGTCTGATCGGTTGTTGCTGGAAATTTTCGAATGTTAAAAAAAAATTTTTAAACTTTAATTTGATATTGCATGGAAGGGTTAATTCTCTAATAAAAAATTATTTTTCGTTTATTTTATTTCAACTGGATATCAGCCTGCTTTATAGTATCTCTATTTGGTATTCTGCGACACTTTGCCCCTATACAACATTCAAAATTTCTTTGTGTCATCAGGCATTTTGTCTTGTGACTTCAAAATACTAAAATTCATATCAAAACAAGTTTCTGGTGATTTTGTTGTTAAGGAAATGCATGAAAATGTGTATAATTTCAGAGCTCCAGATAAGCTGCGTATTTGCGTGATCACGCAATAAAAATAATTAAAAACCCAATGCAATTGCCCATTGCAGGGTTCAATAACCCAATTAATTCAAAGGAAAACCCAATTATATGCCAAAAACATGGGTTCTTAACGCTTTTATTCGCTATCGTTTGCGTTATTTACCCTTACTTGATTACAGTCGTCGCGTAAATCTATTTTTATAATATTTATAATTGGAAATGTCCTTTCGTTCTAAAAATAGAGCCCTCCATCAAGTAGCTGTAATGGGTCCCTGTTGGAATTTTTCGTTGCTCAAAAGGTACACGTGTTTATGAAAACATTTCGATCTTCTCGGCGTTTATCCAATTAGCGTGTGACATGCTGTCATATTTTTTCGAATTGCTCGGGATTTATCATAACATACAATGAATTAAAACGAAAGTAAATGTCCGGTAAAAATATTGAATAGAAGCATGTTTTCGGCTTCTTTTTGATAGCTGAGGGAAAGTTATGATGATAACAAGACTCAGCTAGTGATTTTAGGAAGCGGCCATTGAACGCATGGGCGTGTTTGCGTACCATAACGAGAACATTGCTAGAGCGATAAACACGGGGTTCCGTCAAAAACGAAATCAGTTGGAAAAAGTGAAAGGCCAAATCAATTATGACATGATATGTAGTTTGAAAGCATCGGAAACCAAAAGTTCTGATAAGGGACAATTTAACCCAGATTTATGTAAATTGAATTAAACGAAAACAGTTTATATATTATTTTTTTTCATTTTAGTTGATGAGTGAATACACATATCCGTTTTTTACGTCAATGCAGCTTGACACTTTCTTTGTTTTGGTCTAATTGTTCTAGATGCTTAAGATAGTTGTCTTATTTGCAAGTGCAGTATAACATTGTCATTTATTTACTTGATGTTGCAGAATTATTTGTAAATTTAAGTTGAATGTGGTCTCCGTCATTATAAACCACCCTATAAACCTCAAGGTTTTGTGATATATCTTAAATCTGGAAACTACTTTTTATTTTTATTAAAAAGTAGATCTGGCAAAAAGGTGAAAGGACTGGCAAAACTTTCTTACAGCACCTAAATTTCACATATATTACACAAAAATCTAAACACTTAGCCACACCTACCCCAACTATAATTAAACTGTAGGGTGATCATATGGGATCTAGAAAGGCAATTAGTTCCTGTCCAACTAGTGACACCAGCTGCAGTTTACATAAGTTTTGAGAAAATACAAAACTGACAGAACGTTTAAAACGGGACACAATTAAATGTACAATTGCTCGTCAGTGGATAAACCAAATAAAACAGCTAGCACATATTCTACAAAGAAAGAAACACATTTAAGATGGAAACACATCTGGGGTTGATATAATGTGATTATAACATGCCTAAATATTCAATATTGTGTTGATGAAAAAACCCAATACATTAAGGAGCTTGGTGGTGAAAAACCCAATTTGATATTTGCTTGAAGGGTGAATTGGAATTGATAATGCAATTAAAAAACTTTATCACCCAATTACATAAAGAAATGGTGGGTAAAAACCCCAATTTGTGAATTCTTATCTGGAGCTCTGATAATTTTATATTTATTACGTCTACATCTATCATTGTCTATCATCATCATACATGTCATAACAATTGGTGAATGATTTGGTGTATTATTTTTTCCTTTCAGAATCGATTGATTATATCTCCTTTCCACATTTGGCCACAGACCACAATTAAATTCCCCTATTAGTTCTTTATAATGTTTTGTTTCATTAAAAAAATTGCACCATGCATTTTTGTCAAATCTTTTGTGTGTGTAATGTATAGTACTAGTCCAAAAATATATCCAAAATTCAGAAAGATTGAATCAATGACTCTTACAAATTTAGCCAATACACATCCATACCCCTATGGACAAGTCAAGAGATGTTCCGAAAACTGTAAATATCACCTTTTTGCACCTGGCCTAATCACTCTTTCCATATCAAAATCAGTTAAAATACAACATCCAAAAGTTTATTTCACCTCTCTTCTTTTATTTCCACCCCAAAAAAACTAAGAAATGAGTGAGGAAGGGAAAGAAAAAAAATTAAGAAAAATACACTCTAATTAAAAGGAACTATATTCGTGGACAACGAAAAGCGGGATCATTAATTGTGGTCTTGGGCCATTTGTTTACCCTATTTTTCATTTCTGTTTTTCCCTTTACCCTTGCACTGTATGATTGCCAAAATTCTAACGAGAAATATATCATGGTTAAGGCCACTGCATATGGAAAAGCTTTCGGCAAGTTAGTGGATGGGAAGACAACAATTCAAAAGCAGTATATTTTTGAAGATTTGGATTAAATAAAGGATTTTCTTTTAAAAGAAAGTCTATTTACACATGTTTTAAATTCAGTTTATACATGTGATATAAAACATATTCAACCATTTTTTTTCAAATTTAAGATGTCACATAACTTTCAGTGTTTGAGTAATTGTTATTGTTGGTACCAAATTAAATTTTCTATTTCTATTATACATACTTAAGTAAACCATACTACAGGTGCATTTCTCACCTAATTTTGAGAGAATTCTTCAATGCCTTTTTTAGCTCACCTGGCCCAATGGGCCAAGTGAGCTTTTCTCATCACTTGGCGTCTGTCGTCCTCCATTGTCGTCGTCCTCCTCCTCCTCCTCCGTTAACTTTTACAAAAATCTTCTCCTCTGAAACTAATGGGCCAAATTTAACCAAACTTGGCCACAATCATTATTTGGGTATCTAGTTTAAAAAATGTGTCCGATGACCAGGCCTGCCAACCAAGATGGTCGCATGGCTAAAAATAGAACATACATGTAGGGATAAAATGTAGATTTTGGCTTATATCTCTGAAACCAAAGCATTTAGAGCAAATCTGACTTGGGTCAAATTGTTCATCAGGTCAATTTCTATCTGCCCTGAAATTTTCAGACAAATCAGACAACCTGTTGTTGGGTTGCTGCCCCTGAATTGGTAATTTTAAGAATATTTTGCAGTTTTTGGTTATTATCTTCAATACTATTATAGATAGAGATAAAATGTAAACAGCAATAATGTACAGCAAAGTAAGATCTACAAATAATTCAAACATGACCAAAATGGTCAATTGACCCCTTAAGGAGTTATTGCCCTTTATAGTCAATTTTTAACAATTTTTTGTAAATTTTTGTAATCTTTTACAAAAATCTTCTCCTCTGAAACTACTGAGACAAACTTAACCAAACTTGGCCACATTCATCATTAGGGTATCTAGTTTAAAAAACGTGTCCAATGACCCCGCCTACCAACCAACATGGCGGACATGGCTAAAAATAGAACATAGGGGTAAAATGCAAGTTATGTTTATTATTTTTTGAACCGTTATTAATAGAGAAAATCTGAATGGAGCAAAAATGTTCAGCATAATGAGCTCTGCCAATTGTCCATAAATGTCAAAACTGTAAGACAAATTCTTATAGGAGTTATTGGCCATAAATGACAAATTTTACCATTTTTTTTCATTTTTGCCTATTATCATGAAAACTATGATATTTAGAGAGAAACATTTTTTTCCGTTATGCCTTATATGATTTAAATTATAATAGATAAATAAACACTTTAAATCACAAAATGAAAAATGATCAGCAAGGCAAGATCTATTAAAAAGTCAAATTTCTCCGATATTGTTAGTCATGTTAGTAGACTGTCACTCTTCATAGGAGTGATTGCCCTTAAATGAGGATTTTTTTTACCCTCTTTTGTGTTTTGAGCAAAAACTAAAGAAGATAGAGAGAAACTAAACAGACTAAAAGATCAGTTGAACAAGATCAACAAAATAGAGATTTTTGTCATGAAGTCTATTCTTGTCTACAATGTTGGAGAGTGTCCTTTGTTTGATATGCACATAGACCAAGGTGAGCGACACAGGCTCTTTAGAGCCTCTAGTTAATATAACTATCTATCCATATTTCAAAAACATGCAAACTTAACATTGTAGGCCAGTAACTATATGTCATCTTGGCATTTGGATACCAGAGCAATCTCCGACCAGATTTTACACATGGTCTTCAGCAATAAACTTGTGTGTATACCAAATGTCAAGTAGTTATTGGTAACGTCACAGTACCCAATGGCACAGAGTACCCAATTTGCACCCATTTTGTAAAAAAAGCAGTAGAAATCTTGGAGTCTAAGCTATTCAATTTTGAATTATTTGCCATTTTGCACTCCTTTCAATATATATTGCTAAATTTGTTTAAATATACACAAAACGGTCACATTATATATCAACAGATGATGTATCCACTGATTGAAAAAAGTAAAATCTACAGAAACAGCACGTGGGACATCACAAAAAGTAAACTTTAAAAAACGAGCAATTAAAATATGTTAATTACAGGTTTCTTGCAGACAATTTGACAATAGACTATGCTTACTATGCATTTTGCAAAAATGTTGAAGAATAAAACGAACATCAGTTAATCACTTTTTACAGATATGAAGTTAAGCATGTACATGGCGCATTTAGGGGGGAGTAGGGGGTCCAGGGCCACCTTCTGGAGCTCCATATATGATAAATGCATAGACTTTTTACAAGTATCACTTAAAAGGTTGGGCTTGCCAGGGCACCACCCTAAGCTATTAAATGTTTGCAAAGAAATGCATTTCAAGAGAACTTTTTGTGTTAAAAATGTAATTTTACCCGGAGAAGCTGCATTAAGAGTTTTTCAGAGTTTGCAAAATGATGGACAATTGAATCTCACAGTTAGTTTTTGTTTAGTACCCTTAAAATTAAACTTGCCACCATACATACCCAAGTTTGCAATATGAACAGAGGAATTGAACCAAATTGTTGTTAGGGATCATAAAATGCATATCAAGTTTTCATGTATGTATTTCCTGAGTTTTCCACTTTTTATTATTATTTTATTTTAATTGAAGACCAAACAAGATGTTTCTATTCATATATGCTCTTGAAGATAGGTTTTCTTTATACTTAGTAGCATTTTATGGAAATATTGTAATTAATGGTACAATTTACTTATAAGTTCCATTTGCAGTGACCACCTTTTTTATATATACCGTATCTATTTATTTAAAAGTATCATTGATCTTTTTCAGGAATCCTATATGAAGTACTTAGAATGTGTTTTGAGAATAAGTACAAAGCTGCTACAAGATGCTAGACTTGGAGGTAGAGTTGATATTTTTGATCCCCCAAATGACCCACTTTCATGAAAAGCAAATTCTTTTATTTTTAAATGCTTGTAAACTGTGATATGAGTGATAAGTGTTATGGTTAGCATTAAGGCTTTACTAATATGCCCACCTGATGATATGGAAAAGAAGGCATATATTAATTCATGACATTAAATCCATAAACATTTGAAAATAAACAAAAATGCTTTTATAAGTGACACTGTGTTCTCCATCTTTAAGTCATTGCGAAGAATTCTTAAAATCAGTTTTTTATTGTGCTATATACAAATGTATTAACTTTGTGGGATGTGTAAATACAAAGTCTCATCCATAAAATGTCAAACTGAGGATTTAAGATTATATTCATGAGGGATACCAGTAGTATGTTATATTCTTTGGACTTTTAACAACCCTAAGGAGGTGTTCAATGTTCTTTAGATGTACAATAACCGTTGTAAACAATAATTCTTTGTGATATGTATCCCTTTGACTGCTGGATGTATAAATACAGTCATGTCCAAACAAGGGATTCCATTAAGAGCAGGCACTCGTTGATTTTTATGTCGTATATTGCTATCACGTCGTCAGCGTCGTTGTCCGAAGACTTTTGGTTTCTAGACAAAAACTTTATTTTAAGTGTATGGATCTCTATGAAATCTAACCAAAAGGTTCAATACCACAAAAGGAAGGTTGGGATTGTTTTTGGGGGTGATAGTACCAACCGTTTAGGAATTAGGGGTCAAAAACAAGCATTTTTCTAGTTTCAAGACAGTAACTTGTGTATAAATATTTTGATTGCTACGAAATTGTACCACAAGGTTCAATACCACAAGTAGAAGGTTGGGATTCATTTTTGGGGGTAATTGCCCAAACCGTTCAGGAATTAGGGGCCAAAAAGGGTCTAAAACAAGCATTTTTCTAGTTTTCAGACAACAACGTGTTTAAGTGTATGGATGTCTCTTAAATTGTACCACATTTTACAATAAAATGCTTCGCCAAGCGCAGCCTGATACGACTGCAGAGATCGAACCCTGAACAGTTGGGGCAAGTTTGGACACAATATTCAAGCTTGATACTGTCTGAATTTGGATTGTGATCAAATTTTTGACATAATTTAGGTTTCTGACACAAAATAAATGTGGTCAAAGATCTTAAAAATTTGAAATGGGACATTTAATTTACCTAGTATGGTCCAAGTACACAGTTATTTCGTAGTGCATTTCTTTTAGACAATAAATGAAAATTAAAAAAATCCCACCTGCGCTTTCTCAATAATATTTTTACAGTGTGTTGTACTACTTTTGGGACAAATAATATCAAAATTATAGAAAACTTCATCGGCTCTAACTCAAAATATGGACAATTTTATGTTAAGGGGGTCTTGAAATCTTTTGACAGCTTCAGATGTGCTTATTTTTAATCTTTTTCAGCTGGATCAAATCACTACTTTACTTTAAAATTCATGACCCAAATTTTTTTACAGTGTAATTTCATCCCCCTACTTGCTATTTGAGGCATAAAACATGGAGAAATAAAGTTGGAAGGGGTATAAAAAAAATTGGCAAGTAACACACTATCCACACTAGGGACTATATTTGTGGACAACGAAAATCAAAGGACGATAACTGTGTACTCGGACCTAATATGGTCTGATATCCAAAATCTAACAAAGTGGTTAGATTCAGCACATAAAAAAACACCAAAAATTTAATTTTAGATGAAATCAAACACAGTTTAATTTTGGAACCTTCAAACCTTAATATGGACTAATGTGAAAACAGGGCCCAAAATAAAAAATCTAAATGCACAATAAGATTCAGCATATCATAGAGCTGCAATAATTCAGTTTTTGATGAAATCAAACAAAGTTTAATTTTGGACCCTTTGGACCTCAATGTAGGGTAGACCAATTTAAAAATGGGGCCCAATATCCAAAACAGTAATACAAGGTTAGAACCAGGCATGGGGTAATGCAAATTTGTAATTGTAATGCATGGTAATGCATTACATTTTTCCAAGTAATGGCATGTAATGTGTAATGCAGCAATTTGTGCATTACATGTAATTGTAATAAAATGCATTACTTTAGCAAAAAGTTGTGTAATTTCATGCATTACATGGCATTACATGTCATTACTTTTTTCACATACTACATCTTTAACATATTGTTGGAGTTTTAACTAAACCAAATTTAAGATTTCTTGATTAACTAAGAATATGTAAATCATTAGAATACATTCTTTATTTCATCTTATTTCATACATTTCCCTGCATAAAAAGATTGATATTTGAAAAGCATAACTGTATTGTTGTCATAAGATCAAAGAATATCTTGTCTTGCTTAAATAAAAGATAATTAAACTTTGTTATAAAACACTAATTAGTTTGTTTTACAATCAATACTTTCACCATTTAGACAATTGTTCATTAATTAAGGTCTATGTTTATTTTATAATTAGGGAAGTAATTCACAGTAATTAAATATTTTGTTTAAAATTAAAAAAAACAACAAAATGTATATTTATAAAAGTAAAAGTCAACATTAAGTTAAAATAATTAAAATTGTAACAATCGAATTAAATAGACTTTTTACATGTTTACTTATATTCAATTCACGGAACAGTTACGGCAAATGCTAGAATCTTTTGTGACTTCTAGTTGTTTTTCAAAATGATTAATTTTTCTATTCACTTAATAAAATTTTCAATTGTAATGTGTAATTCAAGGCATTACTTTGCAAAAGTAATTGTAATATAATGCATTACTTTGATAAATGCATGTAATTGTAATTGTAATATAATGCATGGTTTGGTCAAAGTAATTGTAATATAATGCATTACATTGCAATGTAATTCGCCCCATGCCTGGTTAGAACCACCCAAAATTAAAGACTTTAAATTAATCCCATTAAAATTGGTTGAAAGATTTGTATTTATTTTCAATTGAAGATTTCTTACTATTGCGCAATACTGTGATATTGCGCAATACTGTGCTATTGCCCAATACTGTGCAATTGAAGATTTCTTGCTATTGCGCCATTCTGTGCAATTGAAGATCTCTTGCTATTGTGCAATACTGTGCTATTACCAAATAATGTGCTATTGAATTTGTGCAATACTGTGCAATAATTTAAGATTTCTTGCTATTGATCAATATTGTGCAATTGAAAATTTCTTGCTATTGCACAATAATGTGCAATTGAAGATTTCTTGCTATTGCGCAATACTGGGCAATTGAAAATTTCTTGCTATTGCGCAATACTGTGCAATTGAAGATTTCTTGTTATTGCGCAATACTGTTAATCTGTTATATAATAATTTACACACCCTGTTTGGTGTGTATCTCTTGCCATATCAGTATTTATTGCTTTTATATATAAATCAGAAATAATCAATGTAAAAATGGAAAATATTTAGAAACAAACCAAAAAATTATGAAAACCCCCCCCCCCCCCCCAAAAAAAAAATTTGAAAGTTTGAAAAATCTTGAAGAAAAAAAATATGAATCCCCAAAAAATTGGAAAAAAAATCCCCTCCAAACTTTTAGAACCCCCCCTTGGAGTAATTACCCCCCTCCCCCCAAACTCAATCCCAACCTTCCCTTAATGGTATGGAACCTTGTATTACAAATTCAGAGAGATCCATACACTTCAACACAAGTTATTGTCTGGAAACTAGAAAAATGGTTGTTTTTGGCCCTTTTTTGCCCCTGATTCCTGAACGTTTAGGGCAATTACCCCAAAACTCAATCCAAGCCTTCCCTTTGTGATATGGAGCCTTGTGGTACAATTTCAGAGAGATCCATACACTTACACACAAGTTATTGTCCTGAAACTACAAAAATGCTTGTTTTTGGTCCCTTTTTGGCCCCTTAAATCCCAAACTGTTGGTAGCATAACCCCAGAGTTCTCGAAATTTTTTTTTTTGCCTGGTGGTCCTTGAAGAAAATGTGAAGGTCCTCACTATCAAAATTGTGTTGGTCCTTCCCAAAAATGTGGTGGTCAAATCCCTAGGCCCACCACTTATCGAGAACTCTAACCCACAAAATCAATCCCAACCCTCCTTTTGTGGTATTGAACATTCTGGTAATGTGTCTTCGGACGACGACATGATACCATTATAGGAACTCCATAATTTTTTGTGGTCGTATAAAAAGAAAAGTTCTTCAAATATTTTTTTTTTTTTTTGAGGGGGGGTAAAAAAAAATTTTTATGGGGGTGGGGATCAATTTTTTTTCCCTCAAGATTTAAGAAATTGTCAATTTTCCAAAGAAAAATTGGGGGTGACGGTCACAATTTATTTTGCTAATTCTTTGTATATAGTCTGAAAACAGATTTACTAAGTATTGCACAACAGCATGAAATCTTCAATTGAATATAAATTCAAATCATATAACCAATTTCAAGTTCTTTGACTACATTTATTCTGTGTCAGAAACCTATAATGTGTCAAATATTTAATTACAATCCAAATTCAGACCTGTATCAAGCTTGAATATTGTGTCCATTTTTGCCCCAACTGTTCAGGGTTGGACCTCTGCGGTCGTATCCAGTTGCGCTCGGCGAAGCAGTTTATTAACCACTTCATTTAAGTTAAATAACATCTGTACATCCAAAAATTGTTTTCCTTTCTCTAACTTTAGTTTGCTTCAACCAAATGTTATGGATAATGAAACTTATACACAATGCTTATTACCATAAAACACAGATCAAGTTCAAATTTGGGTGGCATCACTTTTACATTTCTCTAGTTAAAATGTCCCTTTATAATGTTATATGCAGTTGGGGGCATTATCTGTGTCCCATGGACACATTCTCTATTTAATTAAATAGATTTCCATAAATTCCAACTGGAGATAACAGAGCCTCAGTCTTGGTATCATGATAATTTTGTTGTTCACTGTGCTATTTCTGCAGTTTTTCAATACAAACTTGATATATTAATACTGTTATTGAAAACAATCAAATGTTTGGTGTTTATTTCATTGAAATAACTTACTTACTTAAGCCTTAGAAGAATAGAATATTAGTTATTTCCTGTTCATATTATCTTAGAGAATTGAGCTTCACCTGGGCTTTATGCCCCTTGTTCTTTGACCACTATGCAACTTCCACATGAATTTTACCAGAAATCACATATAATTTATAGGTAACTTAAACATCATCATTGGGAAAGACACAGTGAAGATGGTTAGACTTGGTCAGCAGTGCATGGAAAGGGTTGCTGCAGTTGTTACTCAGATTGGTAGGCGAAGAATGTTTGTGGTTAATTATTCTGGTTCACAGCCACTTAATTTGGTCTGACTTTATAACAAATTACTGTACCTTTACAGGTGCAAATACTTGTAGTTAACTTTCTTTGAACCCTTACAGGAGTAATGTAATTAATATATGGATATTCAGAATCAGATTAAAACTATAAACAAAAAAAATGAAATTAAAATACATACCGGTAGATAACTTCAGATGACATTAAAACAATTTTATTTAAGAATAGACTTAAAAATGTTTCATCATACAAATTTAATTAAAGAATGGTAAAATTCTTAAACTTTTACTGAAGTAATTAAGAATGAAAGTAAATTTTCAAACCCTAAAGAATTAACACTGACAAATAATGTTTCCTTTCATTTTTAAAGGTATTGACAGCCTAATTATGTGGATTTGTCAAAGATTTAAAGCATGTTATGAATGAGAAGTCTTAATTCTTTATATATTGGGTTTGACTTTGTTTTCCAGATGCAGAGAGCAGTTCATTAGATAGTTTACAGATAAAACCATCATATAAACCCAGCGGTACCAAATCTGAACCATGTACTCCATCAGATCAGTTCCAATCTTCTAAATTTAACACATTCCCTGATAGTGTCCTTATGTAAGTAATTTGACAAAGGATATGTTGCTGAAATTAACATTTGGTTTCAATTACTGCAACACATCCATTAAAGTCCCATGAAATCACATTTTGTAAAAAATTTTAATCGCGAATAGAAGTGTTTCTTATTCAAATATCTTTATGCTACATGTATTACTATAAACAGAACATTTTTTGAATATAAGGTTTAGAAATGTTTATCTTAGAATATGTTTGAATAGTTTTTACTGTTTAAGGCTTTGTCTGATTGCCACACTTCACTCAACATCCAAAAAAAGTGGCCATTGTGGAATCAGGGGAATACATATGTGATGAAGTTCATTTAAAACTTGTGGGTGATTTTAGACTAAAATTGTCAAAGTGTTTTACGTGTGATCAGTAATCTGATGTTCTGTAAATAGAACAGTTTATTCATCTTTAAAAAATAAAATACTGTGGCTTCATTATCATTCATAGGATACCAGTTTCGTAGATTACAAGGGTACAGGTTAACCATGGATTGTAAATGTTCAACGGAGTACAATTTTTCTATAGGATTATATGAAAAGTAATATGAAACCACGAAATAAAAAATCACGGAAAGTACAACTTTTCTTCATTTCTAAGAAAGTTGATATCAATGAAAATAAATGAATCCGCAGTACTTGATATGGCAAGGGATAATACTTATTTTCAGAAAATCATAAAGTAAGTTGACAAGTCACCCAAGACCATGATGTCTTACTTGTATGAATTAGGGTGTAAGTATTTGATTTTGATACTGATAATATCTTTTTTATTTCATTACAGTCCTAAGGAACAGTCTCCAATAGAACTAGCCTATAAACAGAACCAACAATTAATGATGGCCTACAAAGCAAGGTTGGCTAGACTGGACCCCAAGAGAAGAACGGCTACAGACTATGTAATGCTTGTTTACTAAAGATACCAGGGGAAAATCTGTAACAGGAATTTATATCCTCTTAGTTTCTGTTACACCTTAAATTTTCTTACAACCCAGTGTACAGCTGGAAAAATGGCCTTTTTCTTGTTGATGAATGCAACAACTAGAACACAATTGATGTCAAAAATATTTCCTTGTATTAATATGTAATAATTTTTATCTCACCTTATTTATGATTTTTTCCAACTAATATATAATTCAGTAGTTGACAAGATCATTTATAATCTTTTGAGCTATAAATTAATTTTGAACTTCATTTTTTTCAATTTTTTTTTATTATTATAGGGTAGGCACTCTGAAATCTCAACTATGGGTAGGTGTCAAGTACACTGAAAATGTAAGTGAAATTCTAAATTTTCCTCTACATAAAAATAAGGAGATGTGGTATGATTGCCAATGAGACAACTATCCACCAAAGTTCAAATGAAGTGGATGTAAGCAATTATAGTTGGTTACCCCCATTTTGAAAGTGCCTTCTTTGGGAAACATTAATCTTTAAATGGAACAGCCAGGCAGGTTTAATTTTATTTGTGCCTTTTTATTTTATACTCTAAGTATATATATAATATATGATATAAAGCTATGTTGTTTTTTTCAGAGCCTGACAGTTCAAAGGAAAATGGCAGAAAATTTAGCAGTTGCAAAAGTACAAGAAGAAGCAGTATCCTTGTTCTAGAATTGTATAATTAAATCCATAACAGTTGTCATAGAATACAAAAGTTTTACATAATGTGAACTGTCAATTCAGAGTTTAATGTTTGCATTTATTAATGTGAGTATCTAACAATCAACACTAATACAGGATTACTTAGGGCTATTCCATTAAAATGTATGTGGGAGGGTAGGAAGGAAAGTTTAATTATTGAATGTGGGTCATGGGTCTTTTTTCAGTATGTGTCCATTACCATTGTGCAAAATTATCTAAAAAATGGTTCTTGGTTGTAGGGATATTTTGAAAGTCCCTTCCTACCCTCCCACATACATTTTAATGGAATAGCCCTTATTTGATTTTTGAACTTGTTGCAATAAGACTAGCAAAATTCAAATTGCAGGTCTAAGTTTTTGTGGTGTCTTTTGTGTTAATGTTTTTGGTAGAAAGGAATTAATACTGCATTAATTATTAAAAGTATATTGATATAAGACTTGGTCTTTATATAACTTTCACAAAATTTTAAAAAAATAGTAAGACATTTTTAATATTGCATGTGAAAAAAAACGTGTTGTTACTGAAAATCCAAAAAAAAAGTAAAATTTTGTTATAATTGTTTGCTTCACTATTTCAAGAAATTTGTACTTTTTTATGCTCTGCCTACTATAATGAAGGACAGAGGGATTAGTATTCCAGTCTATCCGTCCATCTGTTCATCGTCAGGTATTGTCAGGTATCGTGGAAGAAAAGTTTTTGTTCTAGGTAGTATACCTTGGAGATGTGGTCACATAAACTTATTTGTTGTTGGCAAGGCATGGTGTCTAATGGACATATTCCTGTTGAGGCTTATTGTTTGCTAATAAATTCTAGTTGGTTTTATTATTTCTGTAACAATGAAACATATATTTATCCTTTAACTTTGCCAAGCTAAAGAAGAAAATGAATGAAAGACAACAAAGATTAGAAGAACAAGCTGCAAGGTATAGTTTTATTTTTCTAATATGTCTTCCATGTCCTTTAACAACCTGTAGAATTTTATAGACATATTTGCACTTTACTATCTGTATTTGGCAAAAATGGATCACATAATTTATGTTGCATAAATGTTTGAAAAATGTAACAATCTTTTAAGCTGAGAAGTATGCCACAAAAGGAAACCATTTTTAAATGAAAAGTGTCTATTTTCCAATAAAAAAATGATGATGTTAAAAAAATGTAGAGTTAAGTCCATCACCATTGGTAACGAAATACAGAGTAGACTCCTTTGAGATCACAAAGCACTGCCCTTTGTTGTACTGTGTCCTAAACCCAAACATTCATGATTGTATTAATACAATCATTTATGTATCTTCAGTGTTTGGCATCTGAAGAAATTACTGGATCTCAGATTTAATTTAAGCATATAATTACAAATATATTAACATACAAAAATAAAGAATAATATTAGGATTCAGAAACAAGCTTTACATAGTTTAGATAATCTGTTTCCTTAAACTGTATTTCAGTTTTGTAACTCACTCTATGAGATACTAAACACAAACACTGGAACATGTCAAATTAACTCTATGTATAGAAGAACATTCATTAAGTTATCGAATCCATATAAAATGATTACCATTGATTTCAGGAGATTTGGAACACCAACAGGGTTAACAGATGATGATAAAGAACAAAGACAAATTTACAAAAAAGTACTGGAATTTGAACAAGAGCATGTAAATATTTACATAAATAAGTGCTTTTTCTTAATGGGGGTAGAGTGCATGCTTTATGATAAGAAAATAGGGTATCATATATTTTATGAGTTTTTAGTGAGAGGTCTAACAGTAAAAATGTAATTCTATGAGAAAAAACCTCACTCTTGCATGTGCCTATTGTAAAATCATGACTAAAATGTAAATTTGGGTTTTCCAAATAGGATATGTTAAAAAAATATTCTTAATCTTTCTGTTTGTTATTCTGAAATTTTCAATTCCAGAAAAAATTTATATTTAATGATTGGAAGGCACTTTTTATAGATACTACATGGACGATTAAGTTTGGAACAGTTTTTTGCACTAAAAAATGCACATTCATTGCACCTCACTCAATAAAATCTTCATATTATATGTTTTCACCTTTCTTAGGCGAGTGACTTATTTCAAAAAGACGCTTAGTTAACGACTTTAATTCACCCACCTAACACACGGCTGTATTATATATCATTCGAAAGCTAATAATCTGTACTTTCTGTTTTGTCCGGTCATAAAAAAATCGTACAGTGCATTTTCTGTTAAATCAAGGTCAAAGGTCATGAAAAAACATTCCAATTTTTGCGATTACTAAACAAAAAGCCATTTTCTAATTCTTGTACCATAAAATTTTTCAAAAGATCATATGACTTTATATAACATAATACATTATTTCCAAATCAAACAAAAAATAAGAGGTTATATGCGCAATATTTCCCGAAAATTGAAATTCATCACAAATCCTAAAAAAATGAAAAATTGTTCCAAAAGCAAAATATATCTTGGGGGATCGATATTTGTATGCCAAAAAAATAGATAAATAATATGTTTTAGGTCAAGGAATATTTGTTTTGTAATTTTAAGATGCAATTATTAATTATTGTTCATAGAACAGCCTTCTATTGAAGTGTTTGCAGTTGCCCAAAAATCTGCCATCTGCAAATAGCGATCATTTTGTTATTCTATGTTAAGATAGCACATCCCTTATTGTCAATATCAGGAGGAGAATGATTTTCCATAATAAAAGAAGGGGTATTTAAAGTTCGAAAAGAATATATACGAGCTATAATTGAGGTAAAAATATGTTTTTTACGAAGTCAAACTTATTTACTTTTTTTAATCATGTTTAAATGCAAACATGATTTTGCGACTTAATCGTAGGCAACATTGAAATAAGTAACCTTGTTTAGAAACACTTGGTTGTCTAAAGCTGGATGTAAAAGAACTACATATAATGCTGCTGCTTCTTATTTAGTTTAAAATCGTGTTAGACATATTAAATGTGTTTAGAAGTTTAATCTCTTTAATTATTTGAATAAAAGATGCTTCTATATATCTTTATTCTCACAAACCAAATTTCAAAGGTATAGAGATAGGATTGAGTATTTTCAACATAAGCTTTTAAAATACAAATGCAGGTCATTGTATATGTAAAACACTATAAGCAGTTGTGAAATAAAAAAATGAAAAAGTTGAATACTTTCCTGACCTCATAAAATCATTCGCTGTGATCGTTTTCATGCTGTGCTGTGTTTTGTGGACTGTTGTCCGTCTCTTGGACTTTTATTTTATTTTGTTCATGGCTTTGATTCAGTTTATTTGATTCATGGTTTGAGTAGTTGATTGTCCCTTTGTTATTATTTCACTTTAAAGATATTAACTTGCAGTAATGAAAATCGGCCAAAAAATCGCCTCAAAGTAAAGTGAAGAAGATTTACGCAATAAGACAAATATCCGTGAAAATAACTTAATTTGCTCACGGTGATATATATATAGAACCAAATCGTTATCATGATACATTTAACTACAATGATCTACAATTTTTACTACTTGAAGAGTGACGAAATATATCAAAGGGACATCAAACTCATAATTGAAAACGAACTGACAAAGCCGGGCAAAAAACGAACAAGACAAGCAACAGTATACAAAACACAACATATAAAACTACAGATTGAGTAACACAAACCCCCCAAAAATATTTGGGGTGAACTCAGGGCTCCAAAAGGGTGAGCAGATCATGTTCCACATGTGACACCCGTCTTGTGGCTCGTGTAATTCCTACCTCGGTGCCAAGCCTTATTCGGTAGGTGACATTCAAGGCAGAAATGACGGTATTTTGGTTACGTCGATTGGAACTTATCAGTCGTCATCTGGCAAAACAGATATTTCATAATTGTCAACCAACTGGTAGTGGCGTCCATAAAATTTTCAAAGGGATGATTCCAATTTTGCATTTGAACTCTGGTTTAAAACCATGTTCAAACCACCATTTTTCTTCAAATGTCCTGTACCAAGTCAGGCATATGGCAGTTAATATCGAATAATCTGTTTCTTTGTATGTTAATGTTTGTTTTTGTAGCAGTTCAGTGTTTCTGTTATTCCGTTGTGTTCCTCTTATAGTTGATGCGTTTCCCACGGTTTTGGTTTGTGACCCGGATTTGTTTCAGTTACTAGTAAATCGATTGATGACTATTGAATAGCGGTATACTATAGTTGCCTTTATTTAATATCTTCATTGTCAGCAGTTACGCACTATCACGACAATCGTGAAAGTAAATCCAAGCTCTGGAATATTGTATCAACTTGGAGATATATACTCCACAAGAAGATGCCACGAAATCGCGTTTCAATTGGGCAAGCGTTTAAATAAAGAGTTTTATTTAATTTTGCGGGCAGTACGTCGACTGAGCATGCAAAGACAAATTTAGGAAATGCAAAACCCTACATTTATACGTCATATAATAAATATTCCGACTTGTTATTGTTTCAGAGGAGTTGAGGCTCAATGAAATCGGTCTCCTCCTTTAATAGTATAGTTATGCAGGTGTTGCTATAACGTTGCTACATAGAAATGAAAAGTTTATAATTGTTTAGTAAGGAGTGTTTTTATGGGTTGATTTATGCTCATCTGTTTTGTCGTAAAACTTTTTCTCAACCAACCCTCATCGTCGATTTCAAGATAAGTGGTAGAGTAAACTATATCTGTTGAGTCTTTTTGTTTAATTTCAATGGAAAATACGAGTCCAACATTGTGACACATTTGGCACTATTCAGCGAGATGACATCATCTATATAGTGGAAAGTAAAGTTTCAAGATAATGGTAGCTTCTTTTCAGTCGTCATCAGAAGCTCTTGCATGAAGTCATTCTCGTATGAAAAATGAACTAGTCATTCAAGCTATTCAGAAAGTCTAGTTGTAACTAGAATCGTTGTGTATTAATGGATTGTTTTCTTCAAAATTATTCTTATTTGATGAATTAATGCATTTAAACAATGAACAACACAATTTAAGCAATCAAGAAGTCAAGTTTTATAATGTGTTTACTGGTTTTTAAATTCTTTTAAATTTCAATTTTCATCAATTTATTTTTTATTTATTTTTGTCTAAATTTTCAATTTATTTTTTATGGTTCACATTAGATAAATAAAAGGTCTTTTCACTACATCAATATTTATAATGAAGCTACAAATCAAATAATTAGAAAAGTCCAAAGATGTTTATTTCAGTCTGGTAGTTACAATGCAGATTGCAATCTCTTAGTTTCGCCCCCTTTATTTCAAGCAATAGTATGATTCGCACACATATTTTTTTACTTTAAATTTTTCAGATTCTTAAGAATTTGTTTATTAAATCTTATATTGACCACATACAATGTTTAAATAGGAAGAAATGCTTAAAAGCTGTTTTTTTCGCAGATGGCGGTATTTTGGGCAACTGCATGAGTTGTTATGATTTGCTGTTTGGTTAGAAGTAAGCATAATTTTAGGAAATTTATGATGTCAAAAACTTCTTTGATAGTTATTACAAGGTTTTACTTAGTTTTAAGTGATTAGCAGTTGCATCAGAAAGAAAAAATTGGGTTTTCACACATTTTGTTAACTTTTACTCGAATTTCAGGAAACATATGCTGTCTATCAAAAACACGTTTTAAATATTTTAAAATGCATTTAATTAATGACCGTTAATCTCTCTGCTAAAAGTTTAAATGGTTTGCATATGTGAATTTAGTATATAAAAGTCATATTATGCAATCAAGCTGAAATCTTAGAAAATATGCACTTATTGGTCCTTGGCCTTTGATCTTGATTTGACGGAAATTGCACCGTACGATTTTTTTACGACCGGGCAAAACAGATAGTACAGATGTGTAGCTTTCAAATGATATATAATTTAGCCGTGTGTTAGGTGGGTGCATTAAAAATTAAATTTTATGGTTAAAGTCACTCGCCTATCTTATTCGGTAAATAAATTGTGTCTGAAAAACCTCAAATTAAGGGACATAACTTATTAAAATCTATGAATTAAGAAACAAATTGTATAGACTGCAATGTAAATAGCAAGTTCATAGGATATAACTAACAAGTACAATAAACAGCAAAACTTATTTTAAGCTCACCTGGCGTCCATCGTCCGTCGTCGTCGTTGTCTGTTAACGTTTACAAAAATCTTCTCCTCTGAAGCTACTGGGCCAAATGTTACCAAACTTGGCCATAATCATCATTAGGTATCTAGTTTTAAAAATGTGTCTGATTACCCTGCCTGCCGTACCAAGATGGCGGACATAGCTAAAAATAGAACATAGTGGTAAAATGCTAGTTTTGTCTATTATTTTGAAAACTGTTATAAATAGAGAAAATCTGACAGGTGCAGAAATGTTCAGAATGTTGAGCTCTACCAATCATCCATATAGTAATAGGAGTTATTGCCCTTAAATGACAAATTTTACCATTTTTTTTCATTTTTGCCTATTATCTAATAGATAGAGAGAAACTTTAAATTGCAAAAATGATCAGCAAGTCAAGTTCTTTAAATAAGTCAACATTGTCGAAATCGTCATTCGATTTCTTATTAGAGTAATTGCCCTTTGATGAAGATTTTTACCAATTTTTGGGGTTTTTGCCTTATATCGTAAAAATTATAATAGATAGATAGAAACTTAAATAAGAAAAATGATCAGCAAGACAAGATCTACAATTAGGACAATATGGAGGAAATTGTCGGACGACTCCTAATTGGAGATATTACCCTTTAATGACGATTTTTAACATTTTTTTGGCGTTTTGCCTCATATGATAAAAATTATAATAGATAGACACTTTAAATCACAAAAATTATCAGCAAGGCAAGATCTACTAACAAGTCAAATTTTACTGATATAGTTAGTAGACTGTCACTCTTTATTGGAGTGATTACCCTAAAATGAGGATTTTTTTTACCCTCTTTTGTGTTTTGAGCAAAAACTAAAGAAGATAGGGAGAAATTAACAGACTAAATGATCAGCAAATATACAAGATTAACAACACAGAGATTTTTGTCATGAATTCTATTCTTGTCTACAATGTTGAAGAGTGTACTTTGTTGAATATGCACATATACCAAGATGAGCTGTGGTTCAGTTCCTTTGGTAAAAATTCTTACGGAAAATTTTTCAATAACTAAAACAAATTTTTATAGTCTATTGTGTTCAAGAGTCAAAATTCTAGTGTTGAACTTTACAAAAATGTTCATGAATATGCAAATCTATATCCTAAAAGATGATTTCTGATATAGGAAAAAAGGAAACACCATTAAAATCTGCATAGTTATTTCAGATAAGTATTTGCCTTGCTTTTAAAAATTGTCTTCATGATCATCAGTTACTATAGTTATAGGATTGCATGTTTCATCTTTCATTGGGCAAAGTCAAGTTTTTATGAATAGCTCATTTTCACTGCTAGCATAAGAAATGATTGTAAGGGACATGTATGTCTAACAGGCTTAGTCTATCCAATGCTTCATTTTCATTGAAAAACTTTTAAAAACTTTTCATAAGATCAGTTTCTTAGTTAATATAAATAAAAAGTAGACTGACTTTATTAGGTCTTTTAATCATTGTAAGGTGCACATGTATGTCTGTCGGGATTCATCTGAGCATGACCTCATTTTATTGGTTCATTAACCAATGTAAAACTGTGATACATGTAGTAAGACCTTGAACACTAAAACTTCAACACATAGTTCAGTCATAATCAGCAAGCAGGTGAGACATTTCAGTGTGTCTTTTATTGTATACAGCAAAACCAGTAAAAATCAATTCCTTGGGGACTGACAATGAAAGTTTTGTTTAGATTAGACAGTAGTTTTGTATACACACACTAAATTACTATAGAATATCTTTAGCATGATAATAACGCTTTACGAATTTGGTGTGACAGAAGCGTGTTGCAGATTAACCTTCAACACCCAAACTCAAAATTGTGAAAGCCAAAGATGTATAAATACTTGATTACTTGATGAACTATATAAACAAATGAGACCTAACAAGAATCTTTGTCTGATGAATTTGGAACCTTACTTAATTTCTAACTTTGTCAACAAAGAATTAAAAGAAGGGTATTTAAGAAAACTGTCTGAATCCTAAAGGTTTGTGTTTTAAATATTTATTTACAAACACATGCATTGATTTTATTTTCCAGCTTGTTTTTAATAGTTGGAGGAAAAAGCTTGAGGAAAAACCAGATGATTCTGAACTTATAAATAAACTGATACAAGAGATTATAAGGTAATCATAAATAATCATTGTAGTCATACTGTTCTCAGAGAATCAAACTTTAAAGAACAAGGCTTGATCAGAGTATATCATTTATAGAATAGAGGTAATGATACTGTGTTTATTTATGAGCACTGTAATTATGAAATACCTGCCAAGAATAATGTTTATATAGACATGAGTTTTACTGTATGGCCATCTCACCCAATCACTTATCAAGTGTGAAGGTTGACACCTAATTACAATGGTGTGACATTGATCATGCTTGAGCATCTGGCTACTATAGGTGTTGCTGGGCCAAAAAATTTAATGCATAATCTGAGAAAAAGCTAGGCTTCAAAATATCAATGAAAAGTTATAAAACTGGCACAGAAAACATCATAAATCTTTGTCTATGTTATGATAAAACTGAAGAAGAAATTGTTGTGTTATTTTCTTTGCAGAAAAATTTGTAGTTTTTATGCTGTTCAATTACCAGCCAAAGGGGAAAGTCTACAGTCATGTGCTAATTTATCTCTTAAAACAATATTGTCATTACTTGTAGATCTGACAGTCTGGAATCAATAGAAGGGAGAAAACAAAGAATATAAGAGTTCATGTTTGTAAGATTTAATTCAGTTTTACTTTTAGATAGTCTCAGTCATTAAAGCAACAGATATTATTTTTTTAACATAATAGTAATGATCTTAATGATTTGTTAAAATGCTTTTTTATTGCTTTTTTCTTTATTTTAAGATCTAATGAGCACCCATTAACACTGAAGATGAAGGCACTACAGAAAAAACTATATGATAAGTTACAACACATTGTCAATGAGAAAATTAATATTGTTGATCAAATTAAAGTTCCATTGTCAGAGTCATTGTATCCTGCACATCACTGGGACAAAAGCAAACAACAGGATAACAGTAGCAAAGACTCCAAAGGTACCAGTTATTTGAGAAGTGAATGTGAAAGTAGAACTGATGATGGAAATGACAGTACAGATGATAAATTCCAAAGTGAAAATAAAACTGACAGTGAAAGGGAAGTAAATAATGAGAAAATGAAAGATACACATATTTTACAGGAGTTGGACAATGAAAGAGAAAAGTTGCAAGAAGTTAAAGAGGAAAATTTAGATGAAGATGAAAAAAGAGATAAATGGGAACCAGATTATGCCACTGATACAAGCGACATTTCTGAAGTACAAACAATAGTCAAAAAAGATTTGAAAAAAGCAATTGACATGAATGAGAAAGAAAGTGAAAAATTGAGGGATAGTATCAAAGAAACAAAAGGCATTCTTCATCAAATTTCACAAGAATATGACCAGTATAATCAAGATAATATGGATGAACTATTTGATGATGAAAATTCTGATGAAAGTAAGGATGATGCAAAAGATGATGAAAAGTCTGAGAAGAAAAGTATTCAAATAGATGAAGAAGATCAGAATGATTCTGGTAAACCTTTGAAGTCATCTGCATCTTTGTCAGATTTAAAGTCCATAGAGATGAAAATAAAAAATCTAAAAAATGAGGCTTATCAGCGACATATTAAAGCAATATCCCAGGATATTCATATGTACCTGGAGAAGATGTTAGTGCTGTTTACAATCTGTTATGAACAGTTAGATTGTATTGAAGGCAAGGACCAGTGTTATGCTTGTTTGGAGAAATCCATATTTAAACCAGTCTGGAGATATTTATTAGGACTTTTCAGGTAAATTGACTGTCAGTATACTTTCTTCATTGAAAAAAGACAAGTGCCCTTACAATGCATCATGTATAAAGTATAGACAAAATAAAAATTAGTTCAAAAGAAACTCCAAAAGATCTGTCAAAAAATCAACTTTTTTTAAAGGTCAAAATACATGTATCATATGAACAGTGACAACCACTGATGATTTTCCTGGACTTGAACAGGGGTATAAAATTGTGATTGGAATCATCAGATTGTCCTTGATTTTTAGTCAATCTGTCAACAAATTGATTGTAATATGTACAGCTTTTTTTTTTGGCTGGATTGCACAAAGTACAAAACTGGCTCATAGCTGGGCAAATGCAGGCTGACGAGGAAAGGACGATACCTGCTTTGAGCAATTAACTCCTTGTGTATCTTTGAGCCAAAAGCCATTAAACTTTACAATGCTTGTTTACTCTACTTTTTGTACACATTTGGAGAAGTGGACAATAGGTTTCCTTAGATTTTTTAATTTGACGTCTCTCATCCTTAGATTTGATATGCTTTGAAATTATGTTTTGAGAATATACAATTGTAGATTAGCTAATGAACCAAAAGAGTTGACCTTGGCCTATGTGATGACAGAGAGACAGTTGTGTTTACCAGCAGACTGTAGTGTCAAACTAAAGCTTCAGATGACAGATTGTGATGAACCATATAATATTGCAGTGACACATCTAAAAACACTTCCAAATCAGCAAACACTTCTGGATAAACTAGAATGTTTAGGTAAATTCTATGACACATTGAGTTCAATATTGATGTATCTGAAGACACTGTCATATCAATAACAACTTCAGGTTCAACAGTGAATACTGCAACACATTGTATGTAACAGTAAGAAATCAGTTAACACTTGTCATGTATCATAAGCTATTTCCAGTTATTATTCAGGTAAATTCTATGACACATTGAATACAGCATTATTCAGGTAAATTCTATGACACATTGAATACAGCACTATTCAGGTAAATTCTATGACACATTGAATACAGCAGTGACAGATCAGTAAACACGTGCCATGCACAAAAGATTTCTAAACTCCTCAATATTAAACACGAAAAATTCTAAACCAACTAGATTCTAAGAGTATTTGGGTACAATGGCACCAGTCTTCATGCTTGACCACAGGCACACTAGCCAAGGCTTGTCAAATTTCTGTGAGGCCATGCAAAAAGATCATTGGTTTCTCCTAAACCTACAAGGTTTTTTTCCCTCCAGATCAATTCTCTTTTTAACAGATGAAAAAATAAGAGCAAGACTCTTTTTTAAGATAATTATTGATGAGGCTTTAATGGTCTGATAATTCTTGTTTCATTTATCATGTTCATCATTCTTTAAGTTTATTTAAGCTTACATCACAACATAGATCAAGATATAATGTCAAACAAGTTGTTTTTTCAAGAATTCCTTGCTAATTGTTTAAGAAAAGTTTTCTGTAGACCGAAACTGCATGTGCCTTGTTTGATTTTTTCGCAAAAAAATTAAAAAAATTAAAAAGTCTTTCTTGCCTACTGACCCTTTAAAATTTCTTTGTGTTAGGGAAAACCAACATTCAATTTACAATGCCATAAGCAATTTTACTACATGGCGAAAGAATTGATACAAATTTTCCAAAATATGAGTGTCAGGTCTGTAGCTGCAAAAGTTTATCTCGAAGACTGTGACACATAAATTGATTACAGATCTCGAAAGACTTATCTCAACAGACATTTCTATTCAAATCAGCTTGTTTTGTATACACACTTCTAGGTGAACTAGACTGATTAAGTAAATTCTGTGACACATGTTATACAAAATCATAAATACATTTAAAAAACAAAGTTATATAAGCAGACACATCTAGGCTATATCAATACAAATAGTTCAGTTACTGTAATACATCATATACAGCAATGACACTCATTTATGACAAGTTAAACAAACAGATAGTAATGAACTGCAGATGCAGTTATGAGTCCCAGATCAAATAGCTATATATGGATTCTTACATTGGTACCATTGGCTTATCAGATTAATCCAGTCAATATAGTTAAATTATTGAATTCTAAAGTCAGAGACTCAGCAAGGACTTTAAAATTCAATAATTTGACTATCAAGATATGATAAATCTGACAATCCACAAGTAACTATGTAAGAATCTGTTTCTCTAATGATTTCAAATAAATTTCCATTTTTGATAAACGAAAATCCACTTTGAGTGCCTTCCACATTCCTGATTTCTACCTCATATAAATATAATATTGTCAATTTCTCCCACACCTGTTAGCACATTTCAATTCATCCAGAGAGCTGGTAGTTATTATCTTTTAACTTAGCCAATCATATACTGAAATCATTGGCAAACACACGTTGATTATTTATTTTAAACAATGGGTCCAGAAAGGGTTAAATTGCCAATGAATTAGAGAATTACTTTTATTGTTCACTTGTCTTGTATGTTTTTATAATGTTTACTTTCAGTGAAGTGTTCCAGATTAGTGTGTCAGTGTATTGAAGATTATTTCAAAAATCTGAAAATTCCTTCTATGTAAGTTTCCATCTATAGATTTTGAGCTATTTTTCAAATTAAGAAATCAAGTGATGAGATATTTTTATACGACCGCAAAAAAATTTTTGTGGTCGTATATTGGCATGACGTTGGCGTCGTCGTCGTCCGGCTTCGTCCGAAGACACATTGGTTTTCGTACTCTAACTTTAGTTTAAGTGAATGGATCTCTATGAAATTTTATCACAAGGTTCAATACCACCACAAAAGGAAGATTGGGATTGATTTTGGGGGTTATGGTACCAACAGTTAAGGAATTAGGGGCCAAAAGGGGACAAAAAACAAGCATTTTTGTAACTTCAAGACATAACTTGTGTGTTAGTGCATGGATCTCTCTGACATTGTACCACAAGGTTCCATATCACATGGGAATGCTGGGATTGATTTTGGGGGTAATTGCCTCAAAATTTTAGGAATTAGGGGCAAAAAAAAGGGGCAAAAAATAAGCATTTTTCTAGTTTCATGACAATTACTTGTGTGTGAGTGTATGGATCTTTATGAAATTGTACAACAAGGTTCCATATCACATAGGGAAAGCTGGGTTTGAGTTTGGGGGTAATTACCCTAAACGTTTAGGAATTTGGGGCCAAAAAGGGGCAAAAAAACAAGCATTTTTCTAGTTTCCAGACAATAACTTGTGTTCAAGTGTACAGATCTCTCTGAAATGGTACTGCAAGGCACCATACATTGTAACACAAATGGAAGGCTGGGATTGAGTTTTGGGGTGATGAATCATAAGGGGGTTCACAAAAATTTGAAGGGGGATTTTTCCCCCTTTTTTTTCTTTAAAATTTTCCATTTTAAATTGGTTATTTCTGATTTATATATAAAAGCAAATAATAATGATATGGTTTGAATAGGCAAATGAAAAATTTTTAAGTTCTTAGACCACATACATTGTGTGTCAGAAACCTATGCTGTGTCAAATATTTTATCACAATCCAAATTCAGTGCTGTATCAAGCTTGAATGTTGTGTCCATACTTGCCCCAACTGTTCAGAGTTTGACCTCTGCGGTCGTATCAAGCTGCGCCCAGCGGAGCATTTTATTAATGCATTATATTGACAAATAGAACAAATTGGACAAAATATCAAAATGGTGAGTCTGGCAAAGTGGGTCAACTGGGATGAAAGATGGGAAATATGGACTGCCACTTGAGTCATCCATGAGGCTATATTCAAGGGATGCTAATATTCATGGATTTTATGGTTTACAAGGGAAACAAAGAATTTAAAGGGTTAAAGAAATGCTGATTTTAAGTTGCATTGATAGTTCCAATGTACCAGTTGTTAAAACAACAAAATAAAGTATTCTTGAAACAGAAATTTTTAATCTTTAGAAATTAATTATTACGAAAGAAGATGAAATTTTGCTAAATGTATCATTTTGAAATGTCTTCTGTAAACCCTCAATTAGACTGCTCACATGAAAGTATTTGCTGCTAAATCATATGGAAATATTTGTTTAGTGTGTAACTGTCTTATCTAATGGAAATATTGATGGTAGCTCCATGCATGTTTTGAAATTATCTGAGAATTTGACCAGTTATCTACTGTAAAAATATTTTATTGATCAAAGTGTCAAATGTATTTCATATACAAAACAAAAGGATTCATATTAATATACATATGATCTTTAGGATCTTTAGGCATCTTTATGTAAATCCATTTCTAAACTAGTGAACTGATTGTTATACATTTGTGTTTTACAGTGGAGCTGATGATTTGTTACCTATCCTGTGCTACGTTATCATTAAAGCTGGACAACCACAGATCTTATCTGAATGTCTGATACTGGAAGAGTTTATTCATGAAGGGTAATGATCTTTTGCATATTCATGAAGGAAAACAGTGTATCACATATTCATGAAAGGTGCCAATCTGTAGCACATTTATGAAGGGTAACAATGTATTGCATAATCATGAATAGTGACAATTTGCAGCACATTCATGAAGGGTAACAATGTATTGCATAATCATGAATAGTGACAATTTGCAACATACATGAATGGTAACAATTTGCTGCACATTCATGAAGGTTAACAATTTGCAGCACATTCATGAAGGGTAACAATTTATTGCATATTCTTGAAGGATAACAATATTGCATTGAACACTGTCCTTATACTATAAAAAAGTTTCTGTTTCAGTGGAAATGCAGGGTCCATTTATAGCTGACTATGCGGTATGGGTTTTATTCATTGTTGAAGGCCGTATGGTGACCTATTGTTGTTAATTTCTGTGTCATTTGGTCTCTTGTGGAGAGTTGTCTCATTAGTAATCATACCACATTATTTTCTTATTTTTATATTTAAAGATAAAAGAACTTTTGATAGATATCCTTCTTCATAGATGTCCTATCATTAGCCATGAAATTGTTATTAATTCACTGTTACTCTTTCTTCACTTCAGAATTTTGTCTTAAAACACAAACGACAGTACAAAGTATTCATCTATTTAATATCATCAATATTATATAATTTTAAACATTTAGAGGGGCATTAGCTGTCAAATTCATGTTCACCAATTTGACTCAAACTCTTATATTTGATCAATAAGATACTAAAATGCATATCCAAAATACAAAAAGTTTATGATAAACAATCAACAATGCATGGACTCGATAATATATATCAGCATTTTGTATGTATTTTAGTCTAGATGCCATCTCATTAACCATCGAGATGACCTCCAAAGTCTCTGACAGTCATATAACCCGATGTTAACATAAATATAAATATAGATAGCAACCACGTGCAATTGGATTTTTCTAGGTCTGTTTGATTTCATGTTATAGGTTAAAACAATATGTTAATCATCGATTTTACCTGTATCATAATGATTTTTTGTGGATTGAATCAGTCAACGAAATGGTACACCCTTGTTTCACTTTCAATGTTGACATTCTTTTCCTTTAAATAGCTGAACACGCCTATTACATGGCCAGCTTAGTGGTTAAATTGAAGTTCACATGAATGAGAATTCAGATGAGGTCAAATTATTCACTTGCAAGTGAAAAATACATCAGCAATGTTTTTTTCGTGAATGAGAATTCACATTAAGTCAAATTATTCACTTGCAAGTGAAAAATACATCAGCGATGTTTTTAGTTTATTTTGAAAAATTTGGGCCAAACTAAGTGCTTGTAACGAAATGTTATTTCAAAATTCCGCTTTTATTAATACTCGAAACAAAAAGAATCGTTTTTTATATTTTTGTCTAACTTGTAGCTAATGCCCCTTAAAATTGTGCAAGTGCCTCATTTGCTCTTAGTTTTGAGTCTTTTTCATGACAGTAATCGTGAGGTTTATAAATTCCTATATTGTACGATAATTCAGTTTTTGTGGCTTTCCTTTAAATGGCTATGTTAGGCATTGTCTGGCGTCCAGGATTTTTTCTCATTTCCATCTTCTTTGAAACAACTTGTCAAATGTTAACTAAACTTGACAGGAATGATGTTTGGAAAGTCTCATACAAAGGAATCTTCAGTAGGACCTGATCAGATGGAAAAACTAGTTAGAGGCAATCTATGATAATGATGGGACAATTTTCAAAAATCTGAATTTACGTGTTGAAATGTTTAGAAACATTAGGAGATTAATAATAGGAAGACCCTCACCAAACTTTCCCCATTTAATTTTGATCAGATGGCAAACTCTACCTTATGAAAACTGAAATATTCACTATTGGCTTATATCCCAAAAATTCATAAATGTGTTTCAAAAGCTAATTGTTGCATAATTTTGGGGAAATGCCATTTTGGTATCCTTTTGGTGGGCATTTACATACCTTTGAAAAGCCAAAAAATGCCATTTTTTAAAACTTCAGTAAATCTGAAAAGTTATATGCATAGATGCCACACAAATGATCATATCTCCTTTGATGTTCTCATTTGGATATTTTTGCAGTTTTGATATTGATCAAAGTTGCAGATTATACTTTCTAAATGCATAAAATATATTAAACTGACATTTTAGCTAAGGGTTATTCCAGAAAAAAAATGTATGGGGGTGGGGGGGGTTTAGAAGGCAGTTTGTTTCTGCACTTGCCACCCAGACAATTGTAATTGAGAATCATAGTGCATTATAGTGTGAAAAGTTGCTCTGATACCCATCACCCATGTATTATTAATATATATAGTGCCTTCCAACCCTCCATACATTTCTTTCTGGAATAGCCCTTAGTTCAATTTTCCGTACAGGCTATTTATTATAAATAATCAAAACTACTGTTGATTCATTATTATTGATGGATACCAACTTTCGTGGATTTCGAAGGTATAGTTTAACCACGAAATTAAGTGTTCAACTAAGTACAAATTTTTCTACTGGCATATATATATATATTGCAAAACCATGAAAATAAATGAATCCACATTAAATGTTTTATGTTCCTGTCACTTTTTATCAAAATTTACCAAAGTTGCTCACATATGCATGTTTTATTTTCCCTAGGTATATAATGGGCGAAGAAGGATATTGTTTGACATCCATACAGACAGCTGTAGGTTATCTGGTATCCCAGGGAATGGCTGCATAGACTGGAGACCTGCTCATTTATAGCTTTTGGTTGTTATTACCTCCCCTGATAAAGACCTACATATAATTATTAATGTAAAGAAAATATCAGTTTTGGGTTGTATGGCTGTGATATACAGATGCAATGTTGTGTACTGGTAAAAGATTCCACATCATTTGTGTAGTGGAAGTTTGTTTTTTATTTGATTTTGATATCATTTACAAATAAATGTATAGATATGTGCCATTTCTTTAAAAGAACATGAATTATATGTTTGTTATTCATGAACGAGATATTGGAAATAATATTTATTTTCATACTGATGTATTACTAAATAAATTTCACCTGATTAGGCAATGCTTTTAAGAATAGCTATGAAAGAACATAGTGTGTGAGTATTCACCCTAGAATGTTCAGTAATGTTTGAATTATATTAATCAAAGGATCTGAAAAAAAATCACTATATTTTGTTTTCTTGAAAAGAACATCCCTCAATTATCCATTTGTTATATTAAAAGCCATGTGCAGTCAGATGAGATTAAAGCAGTGATGTATATCTGTTACATTTTCACTATTGTGAATGTAAAGTCAATTGTTTTTTTGCATAATAGAATTTGAAAAAAAAATTTCTATTTTGCAAAATCAGGGTTCTCCTAGTATGGGAGAGATGCGAAGCATTTATAATGTATCATGTATAGGTGGTTGGATTTTGTTTGACTTTTTAAAGGACAAATAAATGTCATATGTATCAAATTAAATTTATTTACATCGGTGGTGGTTTAGATAAAATAAGTACCTACAACCACTGCATACATTTTCCTCAATGAACTTTTACTTGCAGTTACTGATGAAATTAGTTAAGTCTTTAGTACACTTTACTAACTCTTCCATAAAATAAATGTTTTTTGTCATGTCTGTTGCTTGAACTTTTTTGTAAAAAGTTGTAGTATCATATTTGATAATAATCTATTGTCTGTGATATTTAAAATGGACTGACTATACTTTAAGTTATAATTTTTTAAGAGACAAGGGGGTGGGTATTAACTTTTGTTAAATTATGCGTTTAGAATAGTCTTATTTTCTTTCAAACAACTTTCAAGAAGGGACATTACTGTGTCCATCCATATGATGTAGATTTTTAAAATTAGTAGCAAACATTTATCATATATCTAGTATCATTAGTAGATATAAGTACACTGTGAAAATAAACTATGTCAATTAATTCTATAAACATATAGAATAAGTATTAGATAAGTGCCATATTTTATAAAAGATTGTGTATTGCATATTTTTACTTGATTTATTGGGAAGTTGGTGCAATACTTATTTGTATTTTATAAAAGATTCAGTCTAAATGACCAGCATTATTTTTGCTTGGTGTTTAATGCCATTTTCAACACTATTGTGCTATTTCGTGGAGGTCAGTTTTTATTGGTGGAGGAAGCCGGAGTGCCTGGAGAGAACCACAACCTTAGGTAGGAAAACTGACAATCCAAGTTAATTAAGATTTGAGTCGAGCGCACATGCCACATGCGGGATTCAAAGTCACAACCTAAGTGTTGATAGGCTAGTGATACAGTATTTGACTACTTAGACCACTTGGCCACCGAAGTCATTTGAGCTCAGTATGTTTATTTCACTTTGCCAGACATTGTAGGAAGTATAGATGATTGATAGGTGATTCCAGATGTGGATGGTTGTGAATTATTTCAAATTCTATTTTAAATTGTGATTTTGCTATTATTTTCATGGGTAGTATGGTTTAGAATACAGGTATCCATTTTTATAGCAGACTTTGCCAGTTCAATATACCTTTATTGTAGGTGTGGATGTTTTGATTTTAAGAGTATCTTCCCTGTTGGTATTACAATGTTAACAAACACATACCACTGTAGTAATTGTCCATATTCTGATTTCATATGTCTTCACCTGAAAGATGCAGTAACAAACATTTTATCACATTTAACACTATTTACTTTACTTGTGATACATGTGATTCTTCTTTCTATATGTTCCAGACCTTTTGTCTCACCTGTAAAAACTACTATTCAGCATAATATATCTTATATAAACACTTACAGGGTCACTTGAATTCATGTTATCATGCACTTGTACTGTATATATTGTATTAAGAGTTATTAATCAGATTTTTATAATACCTAACTCATGGTAATTTGATTTCTTTAGAGACATTTATATTCATACATTGTTAAATTTTCATGTGTAGTTTAAAATGGTTGTGAATAATTCAGTCTGATTAAACTGCAGATATTGTGTCACAGCTTTGCTTACAAGGATCTGACAAGACTCTGTTTTACTTTCTGTTCTGGTAATTATTACATTAGCCTATAAAATTCAAATTTTTGAAGGTGTGTATTAATAAGAGAAAGCCAGAGGATCCTGAAAGTTCTTTAGAACAGAGAGTTTTCAGATCCTTGCAAGCGAAGCTTGGACCCAGATCTGTATTTTAATCCTATAGATGAATAATTGTATGTTAACACTGTATTTGCATAATTAAAGATGCTTGTATGTACATGGCCAGTGTAACAATTTATATGTTTGACAAATGATCCATGGTTGAATTATCAATTCCCATTATATATGTTACCCTGTATTGTCCACTCTTTTAAGTCCAACCCATAGGGAACTATATAATTATATTCCTTCTGCTCGTCACACTTTTAGTTTTCTGCACTTTTTTCTGATATGTCTAAATTTATTGATTAGATATTTGATTTTTACCGGTTTATGTTTTACCTACTACCTTGAAAACTATAGTAGATTGAAAGAAACCTTAAATAGAAAAAATTATCGCCACAGACTAGGTCTACAGTAACATCAAATATGGTCGAAATTGTTAGAATACTCCTTATATGAGTTATAGCCATTTAATGGTAATTTTTACCTATTTTGCAAAATTATATAGCAGATGAAGAAAAACTAAACAGTAAAAATGATCAGTAATATAAGAATGAGAAGATGTGGTAGGATTGCCAATGGACTATCAACCAGAGACCAAATGACATAGATGTAAGCAACTATAAGTTACTGTAGGACCTTCAACAATTAGCAAAACCAATAACGTATAGTCATGTTTAAAAGTCACCGAAATGACAAAAGACCACATCATTCTATATTAGTTTAAATAACTGAAATTATCAATCCACTCCTTATAGGAGGTATTGGCCCTTTAATGATGATTCTTACCCATATTTGCATTTTTAGTACCCTTAGAAAAATTAAAAATTAAATTAAACACAACTGATGAGCTAGACAAGATCTACACATATATTTGTAAATCAACATACCCAAAATTGTCAGTACACTCTTTCAATCCTCAGGTGCCCTTAATGAAAACTGACCCCAAGTGACCTATAGTATTATCTTTTCTTGGTGTCCCTTGTCTGTCATAGATCATCTTTTACAATAATCTTCTGAACCTACTGGGCCAATTGCAACCAAACTGTGCTTTAATCATCGTTGGGGTATCTAGGTTAAAAAAAAACCAGTTGGATTATCCTGCCTATGGCCAACATGGACAACATGGCTAGAAATAGAACATTAGCAGAACAAGATCTACAAACATGTCAAACATGGCAATAATCATCTGTTGAATCCTTATAGGAGTTATTGCCCTTAATTGAAGAATTTTTCAATTTTTAGCTCAGCTGGCTGAAAGGCCAAGTGAGCTTTTCTCATCACTTGGCGTCCGTCGTCCTAGGTTGTCGTCCTTTGTCCTAGGTTGTCGTCGTCTGTCTTCGTTAACTTTTACAAAAATCTTCTCCTCTGAAACTACAGGGCCAAATTTAACTAAACTTGGCCACAATCATTATTGGGATATTTAGTTTAAAAAATGTGTCCGATGACCCCGCCAGCCAACCAAGATGGCCACCATGCCTGAAATAGATAATAGGGGTAAAATGCAAGTTTTGCTTATTATTTTGAAAACCGTTATCAATAGAGAAAATCTGTAATGAGCAAAAATGTTCAAAATGTTGAGCACTACCTATTGTGCATTGATGTCTAAACTGTCAAACGACTTCTTATAGGAGTTATTGTCCTTAAAAGATGAATTTTACCATTTTAAAACATTCTTGCCTATTATCTGAAAAAATTAAATTATTTATTGAACTGCTTAGACCATTCAGTCCTAGTGTTACTGAGATTCATGGATTAATGAAAAGTTTTAGGAAAGTTGATGCAACAAGTCCTTACTATGAATATGATCAATGACAAATGATTTCACTTGATGAATCCTTGACCAGATGGAAATATCATACAGAATGTTATTTCACTGATCATAGAAGTCCCAGTCTCAGAGCAAAGAACACCCTTAAATAAAATGTAGGTTTTCTGTTAAGTCTACCTTTAAAATATAAACTTTGTGTGTGTATAACTTAACCCCAGTGTCAAACTAAAGGTACTGTAAGTTCAAATTTATACATTCTTTTCATTGTATTTGTCTTAATACAATGTATACAGTTTTGTCATTTCTGGGCCTTTTATAGCTAACTATGTGGTATGGATTTTACTCATTGTTGAAGGCCTTACTGTGACCTATAGTTGTTAACTTCTATGTCATTTTGTTTCTGATGGAGCATTGTCTCATTGGCAATCATACCACATCTTATTTTTATATTGAACAATACTATCAATTATATCTTTTTAAAAGCATAAAAATTTGTGAGTGAAAAGACTTATGTTTGTGACCTTGACATTGCAGAAACATTCCAACCTCATTTCCGACACACCGTCTGGGATGGGCGAAATTCATCAAGTATCATTAATTTCCTTAAAGGCATTCAAGAGAGGGACGAAAGATACCAGAGGGACAGTCAAACTCATAGATCGAAAACAAACTGACAATGCCATGGCCAAAAATAAAAAGACAAACAGACAAATAATAGTACAGATGACACAACATAGAAAACTAAAGACTAAGCAACACGAACCCCACCAAAAACTGGGGATGATCTCAGGTACTCCGATAGGGTAAGAAGATCCTGCTCCACATGTGGCAACCGCTGTGTTGCTTATGTTATTACAAACCGGTAAATAGTCTAATTTGGTAGGTGACATTCATGAAAAGGGAAGGGTATTGTAGTTATGTCATAAGGAACATATCCGATATCATCTGTGAAACATTTATTCCATAACGGTCAACCAACTCGTGATGGCGTCCGTTCTGAAGTTCAAAAGTTCTGAACTGGCAAAAAATTGCAAGAATAGCTATGGTAACTCCTATATTACGTCAATTATGGTTCAAATTAGCCACGAGTATTGTGACTTTTTTTTTTTTTTTCAATTCTGCTTTACTTGTGGTTGAATTTATGTTGAAATTCTGTAATATAAAGGTTTTACTACAAGTATCACATAATCTTTCTATAGACCAAATAAAGTGGTTCTATTGCTTATAGTACCTGGTAAACAGACAAAACCACAAAAACTAAACATTGACCAATGAACCATGAAAATTAGGTCACTGTTATATGAACCCTGCCAGACAGACATGTACACCTTGCAATCATTCCATACAACAAATATAGGTAACCTATTGCTTATAGTATCTGATAAACTGACAAAATTACTACTTGACCTATTGCTTATCATATCAGTGAAATAGACCAAACCACAAAAACTGAACATTGTCCAATGAACCATGAAAATGAGGTCAAGGTCAAATTACACCTGCCAGTTGGACATGTACACCTTACACTATGTTGAACCCATCTATCCCATTGAACTTGAGATAAAGGATACAACAAATACAGTTAAGTCTGCTTCATATCTTGAATTGCATCTAAAAATTGACAATGAGGGTCCGTTGAAAACAAAACTTTACGACAAAAGAGATGATTTCAGCTTCCCAATTGTGAACTTTCCATTTCTATATGTAACAATATTCCAGCAGCGCCTGCATACAGAGTATACATCTCCCAGTTGATAAGATATTCCAGGGCTTGTGTTTCCTATCATAATTTCCTTGATAGAGGGTTGCAGCTCACAAAGAAGCTTTTAAACCAAGAGTTCCAAGTGGTGAAGTTGAAGTTGAAATAAAAAAAATGTTCCAATTATCGTAACTACAATCTCTTCCCCATTCCCCTTATGTGACCTACCGAATTAGACACATCACCGGTTTGTACTTACATGAGCAACACGATGGGTGACACATGTGGAGCAGGATCTGCTTACCCTTTCCGGAGCTCCTGAGATCACCCCTATTTTTTGGTGGGGTTCGTGTTGCTCAGTCTTTGGTTTTCTATTTTTTTTGTATACTGTTGTTTGTCTGTCTTTTTCTTTTTAAGCCATGGTGTTGTCAGTTTATTTTTCGACTTGTGAGGTTGAATGTCCCATTGGTATCCATCACCTCTCTTTTACAATCATAACATACATCAAATATAGTAGACCTATTGCTTATAGTATCTGAGATATGGACTTGACCACTAACACTTAACCTTGTTCACTTATCCATGATATGAGGTCGGGGTTAAGTGAAAACTGTGTGACAGACATGAGGACCTTGCAAGGCACACACATACCAAATATAGTTATCCTATTACTCATGATAAAAGAGAAATTAACATTACATAATTTTTTTTTTTTTTCAAGCAGTCACTTAACCATGAAAATGAGGTCAAAGACAATGGCTATATGACGGATGGAATCTTCGTAACATAGGTTATCTGCATACAAGGCATGAAGAATCCAGGTCTTCTACCTTCTGAAATATAAAGCTTTATACAAATAGTTTTCATCACCGCCACCTTTGCCAGATAGTAATACCTATGTCTCGCATACTGTGACTTTCACCGCAGGCAAGACAAAAATCATTACTGTGATAATGTTTTGAAAATTTGATGAAAACTTATGTTAAATTATCCTATGGTTTCAGTTAAAAAGGATTTTCACAAATTTCGTCATAAGTGATGTATTTATGATGTCATGAATGTAGGTATAGTTTGTTAAAAACCTAATATGTCAAAATTTATGGGAGTTTTCTGAAAAATGAACAGTGGAGCCAACCTTTGTCAACAAATATTTTTGCTGAAATATTCTTTATATACCATATTCTTTATTATCAACGAAACTTTCAATGGGTGAGGGGTGGCGCCACAGATGAAATCAGGAAAAAAGTTGGAGAAAAAAGTTACAAATTCATAGAAAAATGGACTTAAATGATATCTATTCCTAATTCAGGGTAACATATTTATGAATATGAAGCATATATACAATATGTCTTATATCCAAAAAAAAAAAATGAATTAAGCAATACATACACTTGAAATTTACTCAAACAATTGAAGGGCTGTTTAATAGGTTACTCACCTGGAGGCTCTACTCCTTTGCTATAAAAGGACATTTCAGGACAATTACTCTAAACTGGGTTGTTCAATTTTACTGAAAATTTCATGGTAGGTAGTTGACCTGCTTATCCGTTTTACTCAGTTAATTTTGCTCTAACTATATTAATTATTGTAAAGAAAGACAAACATGGCAATTTACACCTATGTTAATACTTTCATGCATGCAACAGCAGCCATGTTTTTATGGATCATATCCAAGGATACTATTTTCAATCTAAATTCCCTAATGAACATTCAGATTGAGTTTGCTTACATTTCCAGAACTTCAAGTTGAAACACAATTTGGGCTATGTGAGCTATTATCACATGGTTTCGTCGTCGTTGTCTGTAAGTGTTGTCCATTGTCGTAAACTTAGAATAGCTCATGAACACCAAGCAAAGCCCATAAAATGATACCAGCCCAGGTATTCATCTTAACAAAGTAATTGGCTTGAATTTGCAAACATTCTAACATTATGAATATTCATTCAGAAAAAAATCCTCATTGCCCATCCCCTAGATGATATTTTTTTCATTTTGAAAAAGCCTCTGTTCAAGTTTCAGAACATTCCATGAGGGTTTAAAATAGAAATAGATGTCTAAAAAATGCAATCCCAGACTGTATGTTCATGTTAACTGCAAAGAACTAAGTATTGGTAAAATACTATAAAGTCAAGAAAAAAATCAAACATTATCTCTTATTAAGGTAGATAGGATGTCTTCAGACATCTTGGAATTGTTAAAAAGCAGAACACAAGACTTTTCATTTAGATAAAGAAAATAATGTGTTTTTTCTAATTATAACGACTGATTTAAAATAAAAAGACAGAACTTTTTTGTATCATTCAATTTTTTTAAAACTTTTGTCATATAAGGGGAGATAACTTAAATAACCTTACTTTTATACAGGAATGTGTAAGGAATTTACCGATTTTGTTTTATAGCAAGAAAACAAGTTGGTGACCCGGATATTTCTTTTTACTTTCTGTAAACATATTATAAGAATTATCTTCTCATATTTAATCTTAAAATGCTACTGTTTAGTTTTCTTCCTATCACACAAAATTGTTTTTTCCATGTACAATCTATTCAAAATCTGACAATTTTACACAACCTGTAACTTGAAAAAAGTTCTGTTCCCCACACTTTTTATTATATTTTCGAAAAAAAGCAAGATAAAAAGTTCATTTTGGCAAATTATTGAAAAAGATGCTATTGATTTTAATTCATTTAGACCCCTCATCTACCTTAATCACACAAAAGCTTCTGCCAAAGTTTCATACAATTACAGAATGTTTGACAAAGTTACTGATGTCTAAAATAATGAAGTTTCTAACTTAAAATGTTATTTTTCACAACGATAAACTGTGACATATCTAAAAAAGATGCATTTTTTAACAATTTTAATCATAAGCTTGAAAAATGACATTTGGCTTGATTATGTATGAAGATTACTTTTTCAAATTTTTATGAACAAATCATAGATGAATTTGTTTTAAATTCAATAAATATACAGCACATTAATTGCTGATTTTTTTTCTAAAAGCATGAAAATTTGCAGACAAGACAAAAGTATCTAAGGATCCTTTAAGAATAATACCATATACATTGCAAGGGAGACAAATGGATTTTTTTTTTGCAGTTACAGCTATGTGTAGGTCATATTCCAGTTGTCATTTGCTGAAAGTTTTTAAAATTGGAAGAACAATGTGATGGAAAATTTATCCTCATTACCTTTTGTGATTTGGACAAGAATGCACGTAAGTAATTGCCCTGCTTGTGTAACTGAAGATAATTCTATGTGGAAAGTCTTTCAGACCAATAATGCAGGTTTTAATCAAGGTATAACAGAACATTTACATTATCAATGAACCATGAAAATAAGGTTAATTTAAGACAAACCCTGTCAGATGGATATGTACCCCAGTTTTTGGTGGGGTTCGTGTTGCTCAGCCTTCAGTTTTCTATGTTTTGTTTTTTGTGCTGTTGTTTATAAAAAAGAAGATGTGGTATGATTGCCAATGAGACAACTCTCCACAAGAGACCAAATGACACAGAAAATAACAACTACGGTTGTTCATCATACCCTCAACCACAGAAACCTCTTCCCCCTTCATTTGTCATCTAGACATAAATAAAATATAATATTTAAGACTGTTTTCTCACATAAATTTTATTTTCAAATTCATCTTTATTTTATCATGCATCATGATACAAAATACCTAGCTGCGGAACTGTAGCTCATAGGTCCTTATTTAGATATTTTAATATCATAAGAACCTATGAGCTACGGTTCCGCAGCTACAAAATACCCAGATGAAACCAGACACAATCAGCTTCATCAGGTGTGTATAGATATCAAAGAAATTATAATTAAGTAATAAGCTTTTGGAACCTGCTGTACATTATCTTTACAATTAAAAGGAGGAAAAGGATCTGCATCATTGGTTATGTATCATTATTAAAATATTACAATTATAACAAAATAACTGACATTTCTGAGGATTCTTTTGTATTTCCTGGATACCAGTTCTCAGACTGATTGTTATAGAAAATCATGTCCGTCTTGAGATACATGAATTATATTTTTTAAAAGTGAATTTTTTTGGCTTGATATATAAACTTGAGGCTTTCAATTACTTAATACCAAACTTATAAAAAAAATTATAGATATCAATAAAATATATAAATCCTCAGTTTGTCTCATACTTTAAAAAAAAAGGCAGTTCAAAAATATAACAATTTTTATACAAAGGAAAACTATGGTAAAAACTACAATAAAAAAGAGTTTAAAAATACATGAATCAAATTCATGTTTGAGGTGTACTCAACCTATTTACTGTGTAATTAAAATGAACTAAATATCTTGATATTTGCAAAAATTATTAGATCACCAATGCAAGGAAATAGTTAACTGCATTCAACTCCTCATTTTTAACCCTAAGCTGTTTTATTATGTATGCAGTTTCTTTTCTAATCAATGTTAATTTTGTACTTTTTTCCTAGGAAGGGGATAACAGTACCAAGTTATTTGAAAGTCTGATTTATCTATTAGGAAATATGTTATCGTGAGCAAGGTTGTCATCTGTTTGCTTAGCTATCTACAACTTTCAGCCACAATTAAAGTATTAAATGGACTTTTTCTTAACTTTCAAATAATCTTCAGTATCTGACGACATTGTGTACCATTTTTTTCACTTTTTAAGATTCTCCAATTGAAGAATGGATTTTTTTCATGTATTACATCTTATTAACCTGAAGGATAGGATGGTTCAGCTGATATCAACATAGTTTAGTTAGAGCAGATTCTGAACTTACATCCATAAATCTTGCAATTTTGTCAATCTTCAAGGACTGCATGCATCAATAGTTAAATTCATTACTCATTACGTAAATAAATATCTTGTATTGCATGTATAAACAAAATCTAAATTTTCCCCGTAAATTATATTAAGGCTTGGTATAATAAGATTTGATAATAAAAACAAATAAAATTATATAAAAACCACTAAAATAATATAAAATCAGATAAAACACAAATCTTGTTATAGCAAAACCTTATAAAGTTTACTTAAAAGATACAGTGGTAATATATTAAAGTCTTGAAGCAGAATTTATTCTAAATTCTTGTTAAATGTTATGAAAATTTTGTCATAATGAGATCCAACTATTAAAAGCAAGATTAAAAACAAACCAACCTATCCTTCACATGACGAAATTTTGGTGAGAAGTTAATTATTCCTTCCCAACTTAATCAAAATATTCAAAAGGTCCATTCATTTCAATTGGGAACCCCCAAATTTCATAATAAAATAAAAAACACACTGCCATTAGTTAAAGAAGATAAACTGAAAGTTTCAAAGAAAACCTTCCAATATAAGCTGTGGATGAGAGATTATGACAGACAAACAGACAGACAAATCTTCTTCAACAGCCCATTTCATGCTCGCCTCGCGTGCAGAAGGTCATGGAATATGATCCCCAGCTGGTTCAAACCGAAGAATTAATAATTGGTATTTCATGATCCTCTGCTATATATAAGCATGCAGCATTTAGGAGTAAGAGCAAAGACTGGTTCCTGATTAATCTTGGATGGGTAAATAATTCTTAAGAAGTTGAGTACAATACTCAAAAAATAAACCTTAAAATATTCCTCAAAATATAAATAACGATGAATGAGAAAAAACATAAAAAAACAATCTCATAAAAATATAAAAATATAACAAACTGTAAAAATTGTGTAATCATTTTCACTTGAGTGGCCTACGATGCTGAATAATGCATTTATAATATATAAACAAAACCAATAAATAAAACTGACAGCCATTAATTTGTATAAATGTACAGAAAGTGGAGTAAAACCAGACCAACTAACCAAACATTTTTATTTGTAGTCATTAAAAATGCATAAACTTAATCTCAGTATTTAAATTGTTTAATAGGATTTTTTTTATATTCCCTTTAGTTTTTGGCCATCAAAGTCCTACTTGATTGGTTTCTAACCTGCAAAATTCATTTCAAAAAGCACTTGTAAGACTTGCACATACATAACTTCAAAAATACATGTTAACCAATGTAAGTCTAATGGGTACTTTGTGAAATCATATAGCATACCTTTGGGACCCCTCAAATAACAATAATTTCACTGTTGTGAAATATTCCTAACAATTTTTTATGCTTAGTTACAAACTCAACTAAAAATAACAAAAAGTTTGAAAAGATATATATATCTATTAACAATAGGGAAACCAAAAAATAAATTTCAATAAAATAACATAAATTTTTTTTTTTTTTTTTTTTTTTTTTAGATTCTCCATTCTTTACCTACTGGAAGTGTTAAAGACTAGAGTCACTAAGCACTGACCATTATCAATATATTTCACTTCACTTTCAAAGTAGGAATTAAATCTGGTCACAGGCAAAAAAAAAAAAAAAAAAATAATGAATAAGATCTGAGCTATGAACTCATCATTACAAAACTACATACCAAAAACCAGTTCATTAACCAACAACTTCAAATCTTGTTGAAAATGAAGAATCTTTACATATTTTTTTTTTTTTTTTTTTTGTAAAAAATCATAAACATTTTCTCAAACTGTAAACAGTGAAACATACACAAAAATTGTCTGAATTACATTCTTTACTGTTACAGTTATATCACACAATCATTTTATGCAGCCACAGTTACCTGAAAAAAAATATACATATATTAAGCACATGTCAAAAATATATGGAAACAATATTTAATGCAAAAGAATAATTAATAAGGCATACCAATTATAATGCATACAACATTTCTTTTACTTTGTTTTAAAGTGATTTGTTGACAAAGTTTAAACTACCAGTCTTTATAGCAAAAAAGGATGAACAACAAGTCATTGGTAGATGTCTGATATATTTGTTTTTCCTTCATTGTTTTATCATAAATTAGGCTGTTGGTTTTCTCATTTGAATTGTGTCATATTTTGTCATGATGGGGACTTTTATTATAGGTTTTACTCAATGTTGGAGGCATCAGATGACCTTAAGTTGCTAACATCCACATCAGAAGTTCTCTGATTGATAAATGTCTCATTAGCAATCATACCACATCTCTTTATTTGTATATATGGAGACAATTTTAGATAACAGATAAGATTTCCTAAATTATAATTTTTGACATCTTGATACCTCCTTTGAGATAATATATTCAATTATAACTAAAGAAAACATTATAATGTAAGATCTGCATCTGTGCATCATAAAAAATCTTGGGTATTAAAATGCTCTTTGAATTCATAAATCTTGTATTGGTTCTTACCATAAAAGTCAGCTCCAATGGCCATTCCCAGCCTCAATCCTAAGACAAGCTGTGATGCTTATCTGAAATATGAAATGCTAAGTCATTAAAAACTGTTTGAAAGGATCATTGTTGGTATACTCTGGAACTTATAAATAAATGTATTAGTCCTAGGTATACTATATGTATATTAAATAGAAATAATCTATAAAGGTAATATAGATGTTGAACATATGGATAAGACAGCAATCCAGCAACCCCACAAACTTTTGCATAACATCAGATCGACCTTAAATTTACTCATATATTGGTACTGATAAAAGAAAAAGGACTTCTGACCACTCTTATAAACCTTCAAACCTATAGCACATAATATTTTCAAATTATTTTTATAATACATTTTATTTCTTTTTCAAAACAAGAATAACTTACTGGTGCCTACCTATGTATAAGCTGTACAAGACCACCAAGTCTTATTCCCAAACCATGAAAACATATTGTCACAGATAGTACCTAAAAAGAATTGAAAATTGACACATTATATATCTTACAAATCCATTTGTCCATCTACCTAAAATTTATTAAATTTTGTTCTTATTTCTTACTACATGTACACAATGGTATATCATAAACACCTCTTTCATAAAATTAATATAAAAGATGGAAAACAAAAAAATAAGTCAAAGGTTTATGATTTGAATTTCAACTGCACAAAAATCATCTACATATTTTACAATGAGTTATCTCCCATTGAATTAAAGAATCTTGCTGTTAATTTTACTTGTCTCCCCTTGAAGTTTTATTCCTATTTTGATGTTTTAATAGAAAATCTTGTTCATGTACATGGCAACTTAAAATATTAAACGATGTAATCTAATTCTTCAATGGTGTTTTGCATTTAGATATGGATGCTGTTTGTTGTCTTAATACGCACTGTTCATCAAACTTTTTTAGAGAATGTATTATAGAAATTGTTTGGCTTAAATAAACTTGCCTTATTATTTTTCATGTTAATGCCTCAGACTTGGTTTAAGATTTAATTGACCATCTTCCTTAGAGCTGTTCTGACTGCCAAGGTGGCTGTCCTCATCTAATTGTTGATGTAATTTGTCCATTTTTTTTTTTAGAAATAATGATATACCAGGGTAAATATATTATATATAAAAAAATCAGATGCACTTTCAGCTAATTTTTAAAAAAATTCAACAAATAATTTTTAGTTAGCCTTGATTTCTCCCAACCCACATATCTATTACTTAGAGCTCTGCTTACATTTTTTTTTCATTACAAAGCTCTAAATAATAGTCAATATTAGCTAGTATACATCTGATATGATTTTTTATTATATAAACATAAATATCCAAGTAAAATAAAAGCTAACACAGAAGGAGATTCAAGAATGAGGAGTTAAACAGGGGGATAATAAATTCCTCCCTTTGACCTAAATTTCACCCTGTTAGGACTCCACATCATTGCTATATTTAACAAAATTACAAAAAATAATATAATTAAAATTGAAAAATAATTTAATGACAAAAAACAACACATCTTAATAACATTTCTATTACATCAATTTTCACCTTCGGGCCTTGATGGCAGAGAGTTGAAACCCAGCATGTGGAAGGTGCGTTCTACTAAAATTTTTATCGACTAAGATTGTCTTTCCTGCCTAAATGTGGTGGTTCTCTCTCGTTACTCTGACTTAAACCAATAAAAAAAAATGGTCACCAGCTTTTTAGCTAAAAATAACAAAAAGTTTGAAAAAATATGTATCTAAACCATTCAGGAAACTCAAAAAAAAACATTTCAATAAAAATAACATTTTTTCTCTTTCTTCATTTCTCTTTTTTTCATTTTTTTTTTTTTTTTTTAGATTTTCCATTCTTAACCTACTGGAAGTGTATTGACTAGACATGGACCATTATTAAGATGTCTTTAGTAGGTCAACAAGTAAAATTGTAAAATTGGTCCATTTTACTTCATTTTCAAAGGACAAATTTAGTCTAGTCACAGGGTAAAATAATAATGGTACGATCTGAACTATTAACTCATCTTTACAAAACTACATACCAAAAACCAGTTCATTATCCATAAGCATGACACAATAATTGTCAAGACAATAATGGACATGAGTAGAGATACCAGAATATAGCCATGGGTTATAATGGAAAAAAGATAGAGGCATTTTAAAATGTCAAATACAAATTAACCTACAACTTCCAATCTTGTTAAAAATGGAGAATCTTTACATGTTTATTTTTTTTTTCTTTTGGTAAAAAATTATAAACAATTAATTGCTCAAAAATACACAAAAATTGTCTGAATTACATTCTTTACTGTTACAGTTATATCACACAATCATTTTATGCAGCCACAGTTACCTGAAAAAAAATATACATATATTAAACATATGTCAAAAAGAAATTGAAACAATATTTAATGCAAAAGAATAATTAATAAGGCATAACAATTATAATGCATACATTTCTTTTACTTTGTTTTAAAGTGATTTGTTGACAAAGTTTAAACTGCCAGTCTTTATAGCAAAAAAGGATGAAATACACTTAGTTGGTTAATATCTGACATATTTGTTTCTCCTTCATTGTTTTATCATAAATCAGGCTGTTGGTTTTCTCATTTGAATTGTGTCATATTTTGTCATGATGGGGACTTTTATTATAGGTTTTACTCAATGTTGGAGGCCTCAGATGACCTTAAGTTGCTTACATCCATGTCATTTGTTCTTTGGTTGATAATTGTCTCGTTAGCAATCATACCACATCTCTTTATTTGTATATATGGAGACAATTTTAGATAACAGATAACATTTCCTAAATTATAATTTTTGACATCTTGATACCTCCTTAATGAGATTATATATTCAATTATAACTAAAGAAAACATTATAATGTAAGATCTACATCTGTGCATCATAAAAATCTTGGGTATTAAAATGCTCTTTGAATTCATAAATCTTGTATTGGTTCTTACCAAAAAAGTCAGCTCCAATGGCCATTCCCAGCCTCAATCCTAAGACAAGCTGTGATGCTTATCTGAAATATGAAATGCTAAGTCATTAAAAACTGTTTGAAAGGATCATTGTTGGTATACTCTGGAACTTATAAATAAATGTATTAGTCCTAGGTATACTATATGTATATTAAATAGAAATAATCTATAAAGGTAATATAGATGTTGAACATATGGATAAGACAGCAATCCAGCAACCCCACAAACTTTTGCATAACATCAGATCGACCTTAAATTTACTCATATAATGGTACTGATAAAAGAAAAAGGACTTCTGACCACTCTTATAAACCTTCAAACCTAGAGCACATAATATTTTCAAATTATTTTTATAATACATTTTATTTCTTTTTCAAAACAAGAATAACTTACTGGTGCCCACCTATGTATAAGCTGTACAAGACCACCAAGTCTTATTCCCAAACCATGAAAACATATTGTCACAGATAGTACCTAAAAAGAATTGAAAATTGACACATTATATATCTTACAAATCCATTTGTCCGTCTACCTAAAATTTATTAAATTTTGTTCTTATTTCTTACTACATGTACACAATGGTATATCATAAACACCTCTTTCATAAAATTAATATAAAAGATGGAAAACAAAAAATAAGTCAAAGGTTTATGATTTGAATTTCAACTGCACAAAAATCATCTACATATTTTACAATGAGTTATCTCCCATTGAATTAAAGAATCTTGCTGTTAATTTTACTTGTCTCCCCTTGAAGTTTTATTCCTATTTTGATGTTTTAATAGAAAATCTTGTTCATGTACATGGTAACTTAAAATATTAAACGATGTAATCTAATTCTTCAATGGTGTTTTGCATTTAGATGATATGGATGCTGTTTGTTGTCTTAATATGCACTGTTCATCAAACTTTTTTAGAGAATGTATTATAGAAATTGTTTGGCTTAAATAAACTTGCCTTATTATTTTTCATGTTAATGCCTCAGACTTGGTTGAAGATTTAATTGACCATCTTCCTTAGAGCTGTTCTGACTGCCAAGGTGGCTGTCCTCATCTAATTGTTGATCTATTTTTTGTCCATTTTTTTTTAGAAATAATGATATACCAGGGTAAATATATTATGTATAAAAAAATCAGATGCACTTTCAGCTAATTTTTTAAAAAATTTCAACAAATAATTTTTAGTTAGCCTTGATTTCTCCCAACCCACATATCTATTACTTAGAGCTCTGCTTACATTTTTTTTTCATTACAAAGCTCTAAATAATAGTCAATATTAGCTAGTATACACCTGATTTTTTTTTATATAAACATAAATATCCAAGTAAAATAAAAGCTAACACAGAAGGAGATTCAAGAATGAGGAGTTAAACTGGGGGATAATAAATTCCTCCCTTTGACCTAAATTTCACCCTGTTAGGACTCAACATCATTGCTATATTTAACAAAATTACAAAAAATAATATAATAAAAATTGAAAAATAATTTAATGACAAAAAACAACACATCTTAATAACATTTCTATTACATCAATTTTCACCTTCGGGCCTTGATGGCAGAGAGTTGAAACCCAGCATGTGGAAGGTGCGTTCTACTAAAATTTTTATCGACTAAGATTGTCTTTCCTGCCTAAATGTGGTGGTTCTCTCTCGTTACTCTGACTTAAACCAATAAAAAAAAATGGTCACCAGCTTTTTAGCTAAAAATAACAAAAAGTTTGAAAAAATAAATAACTTAACCATTCAAGAAACTCAAAAAAAAACATTTCAATAAAAATAACATTTTTTCTCTTTCTTCATTTCTCTTTTTTTCATTTTTTTTTTTTTAGATTTTCCATTCTTAACCTACTGGAAGTGTATTGACTAGACATGGACCATTATTAAGATGTCTTTAGTAGGTCAACAAGTAAAATTGTAAAATTGGTCCATTTTACTTCATTTTCAAAGGACAAATTTAGTCTAGTCACAGGGTAAAATAATAATGGTACGATCTGAACTATTAACTCATCTTTACAAAACTACATACCAAAAACCAGTTCATTATCCATAAGCATGACACAATAATTGTCAAGACAATAATGGACATGAGTAGAGATACCAGAATATAGCCATGGGTTATAATGGAAAAAAGATAGAGGCATTTTAAAATGTCAAATACAAATTAACCTACAACTTCCAATCTTGTTAAAATGGAGAATCTTTACATGTTTATTTTTTTTTTCTTTTGGTAAAAAATTATAAACAATTGCTCAAAAATACACAAAAATTGTGTGAATTACATTCTTTACTGTTACAGTTATATCACACAATCATTTTATGCAGCCACAGTTACCTGAAAAAAAATATACATATATTAAACATATGTCAAAAAGAAATTGAAACAATATTTAATGCAAAAGAATAATTAATAAGGCATAACAATTATAATGCATACATTTCTTTTACTTTGTTTTAAAGTGATTTGTTGACAAAGTTTAAACTGCCAGTCTTTATAGCAAAAAAGGATGAAATACACTTAGTTGGTTAATGTCTGACATATTTGTTTCTCCTTCATTGTTTTATCATAAATCAGGCTGTTGGTTTTCTCATTTGAATTGTGTCATATTTTGTCATGATGGGGACTTTTATTATAGGTTTTACTCAATGTTGGAGGCCTCAGATGACCTTAAGTTGCTTACATCCATGTCATTTGTTCTTTGGTTGATAATTGTCTCGTTAGCAATCATACCACATCTCTTTATTTGTATATATGGAGACAATTTTAGATAACAGATAACATTTCCTAAATTATAATTTTTGACATCTTGATACCTCCTTAATGAGATTATATATTCAATTATAACTAAAGAAAACATTATAATGTAAGATCTACATCTGTGCATCATAAAAATCTTGGGTATTAAAATGCTCTTTGAATTCATAAATCTTGTATTGGTTCTTACCAAAAAAGTCAGCTCCAATGGCCATTCCCAGCCTCAATCCTAAGACAAGCTGTGATGCTTATCTGAAATATGAAATGCTAAGTCATTAAAAACTGTTTGAAAGGATCATTGTTGGTATACTCTGGAACTTATAAATAAATGTATTAGTCCTAGGTATACTATATGTATATTAAATAGAAATAATCTATAAAGGTAATATAGATGTTGAACATATAGATAAGACAGCAATCCAGCAACCCCACAAAATTTTGCATATCAGATCCTTAAATTTACTCATATAATGGTACTGATAAAAGAAAGAGGACTTCTGACCAAACTCGTATAAACCTTCAAACCTAGAGCACATGATATTTCCAAATAACTTTTATAATCAATTTATTTTTTTCAAACAGGAATAACATACTGGTACCTACCTACATATTAGCTGTATGAGACCACCAAGTCATTCCCATACCATGAAAAGATGTCACAGAAATAACCTAAAAAGAATCGAAAATTGATACATTATATATCTTACAAATCCATTTCTCTGTCCATCTAAAATTTTCTAAATTTTGTTCTGATTTCTTTAATACTACATGTACACAATGGTATAACATAAACACATCTTTTGTAAAGTTATTATAAAAGATGGAAAACAAAAAATAATTCAAAGGTTTATGATTTGAATTTCAACTGCACATAAATCGACATATTTTACAGAGTTACCTCCCATTGAATGAAAGAATCTTGCTGTTAATTGTGCTAGTCTCCCCCTAGTTTTATTCTTATTTCAAGACCTACTCGTTTTAATAGAAAATCTAGTTCCAGTACCTGGTAACTTAAAATATTAAACTGATAAACTAATTCTTCAATGGTGTTTTGCATGCAGATGATAAAGGTGCTGTTTGTTGTTTTAATATGCAGTGTTTATAAAAAATCACTAGAAAATGTATAGAAATTGTTTTGCTTAAATAAACTTGCCTTATCATTTTTCATGGTAATGCCTCAGACATGGTTGAAGATTCATTTAATATGTATATCATCTTCCGTGGAGCTGCTCTTCTGGCTGCCTAGGTGGCTGTTCTCATCAAATTGTTGATCTTTTTTTTTGTCTGTTTGTTTTTAGAAATAAAAGTTATATTTATAAAAAAAAATATCAGATGCACTTTCAACTAATATCCTTTTTGAAAAATTTCACCAAATGATTTTAAGTAACCCTTGATCTCTCCCACCCAGATATTTATTATCTAGAGATCTTCTGACATTTTTTTTTCATTACAGAGCTCTAAATAATAGTCAATATTAGCTAGTATACATCTGATATTACAAAAGTTGTACAAATGTAAATATCCAAGTAAAATAAAAGCTAACACTGAGGGGGTTTCAAGAATGAGGAGTTAAACAGGGGTATACTAAATTACCTCCCTTTGACCTTAATTTCACCCTGTTAGGACTCCATATTATTACTATATTTAACAAAAATACAAAAAAATAGTATCAAAATCAAAAATAATTTAATAACAAAAAACCAACACATTTTAATAACTTATCTATTACATCAATTTTCACCTACAGCCCTTTGTGGCAGAGAGTTCAAACCCAGCAAATGGTAGGTGCATTTGACTCAAATCTTAATTGACTAGGATTGGCAGTTTTCCTGCCTAAATTTGGTGGTTCCCTCTTGTTACTCCGATTTCAACCAATAAAACAAAATGGTCACCAAATTATAACAAATTGGGCTGAAAGTGGCGTTTCACACCAAAAATCAATCAAACAATTTTTGTTCACCAAGATGTTCCTTTACTATGCTTTTAGTGAAATAATCTTATTTTTTTTAGCTAAAAATACAAAAAGTTAGAAAAAAATATATATCTAACAATGCAGGAAACCCAAAAAATACATTTTAATAAAAATTACATTTTTTTTTCTTTTTCATTTCTTCTTTTCTTTTTTTTTATATAGATTTTCCATTCTTAACCTACTGGAAGTGTTTGAAATTCAAGTTAACTACAATTTCCAATCATGTTGAAAATGGAGAATCTTTACAATTTTTGTTTTTTTTTTTTTTTTTTTTTTTTTGTAAAAATTCTCAAACATACACAAAAATTGTCTGAATTACATTCTTTACTGTTACAGTTATATCACACAATCATTTTATGCAGCCACAGTAAAAGTTACCTGAAAAAGAAATAGACATTCTTAAACCTATCTGTCAAAACTATTTGAAAATTGAAACAATATTTAATGCAAACGAATAATTAACTAGGCATTAAATGAGGGTAGAAATGCCCTTTACCATCAGGCGTCAAACAGTCATTTTCAGCTACTGTTAGCGTCAAATTGGTTAAAACTTTATCATTATTCGTCAAACAATCATTATCCTGATTTGTCAGAGGTCTCAAATAATTATCCGTTACCATTATTTTTGGAAAGAATTTAAATTGAGTAAAAACAGACAATTTTTTATCGTCATAAAGAAAATGTACATTTTATTGTCATGCACCAAAAATTATCGTTGTCATTTGGCAAGATTTTTTTACCAATATTCGTCATGAAATTACCCCCATTACTACCCTCTTACAATTATGATGCATATAATATTTCTTTTACTTTGTTTTAAAGCGATTTGTTGTCATAATTTCTAACTACCAATCTTTATAGCAAAAAAGGATGAACAAGTGAAACTGCAAGCTACTGCTCACTGATGATACCCCTGCCGCAATTGGATAATTTTAATAGTGTAAAAATATGTAAGTGTTAGGTAAACAGGAAGTTGTTGAATGATGAATCTGAAAACGCATCACACAGTATAGCTGACTAATATAAACCCTGGAACCAAATTTCAGAAATCCTTGTATTGTAGTTCCTGAGAAAAATGTGACGAAAATTTTCAACTTGGCTATCATGTGTAAAATGATACAAGTGTTCGGTAAACAGGAAGTTGTTGTGATGAATCTGAAAACGCATCACATGATATAGCTGACTTATATAAACCCTGAAACCAAATTTCAGAAATCCTTGTAATGTAGTTCCTGAGAAAGATGCGATGAAAAATGTTCATGGGACGGTAGAACGGACTGAAGGACTGACGGATGGACAGACGGACAGACAAAGGTAAAACAGTATATCCCCACTTTTTTAAAGGGGGGTATAAAAACAAGTCATTGGTTTATGTCTGACATATTTTTTTCCTTCATTATTTTAACATAAATCAGGCTGTTGGTTTTCTCATTTGAATTATTTCATGTGGTGGACTTTAATAGTTAACTGTATGGTTTAGATTTTACTCATTGTTGAAGGCCATGCGGTGACCTTTTGTTGCTTACATCCACGTCATTTGGTCTGTGTTTGATAAATGTCTCATTGGCAATCATACCACATCTCCTTCATTTTAGAAATATATACAATTATAAACTTGAGAAAACATTAAAATGTAAGATCTACATCTGTGCTTTATAAAAATTTAGGGATTTACATGCTCATGGATGAATAGTTCATAAACCTAAGCATTGGTTCTTACCATAAAAGTCATCTCCAATGGCCATTCCCAGCCTCAATCCTTACGGACAAGCTGTGATGCTAACCTGAAATATAAATTGCTTAGTCATTCAAAATTGTTCAAAAGGATCATTGTTGGTTTACTGTTTGTATGTATAATTATCATAAGGAAAATGGGTTATATAAATAAAATAGATGTTGAGAATATATCAATTAGACAGCAATAAAACAACCCAACACAATTTTACATAATTCAGATCCTTTAATTTACTCATATAATGGTACTGATGACTTCTGACCAAACACTTATAAACATTCAAGCCTAGAGCAGTCAGGATTTTACTTCATCAAAATTATCTCCCCATTACGCCACCTAAATTTTTCAATCATAAAATTGGAAGCCAATGTAGTGATGACACGCTGTCAATTTAGCTCTTGAAAACCCATAAATTTATCCACATAGTATCATAAGATCCATATATGATAGTTGTATCTTAGAAGACATATGAATCTACTAACTATTTAGCATCCTTTAAAGTACTTTAAGGCCTTTGGTCAACGTAAAACTGATTGGTTGTCATGGTGAATTTTCAAAAGCTCAAAAACACTAAAAAAATTCCAATTAAATATTTCATGGAAGGACACTCTCAAAATTTTCAAGTTAAAGATTACCCTAGATAATACACACAAAAATTGAACTTTTTTTGAAGTTACTTATTTCTAAGATCTACTTCTAAAGTCTGTTGTCAAGTACTTTCAGTTAAAATTTGTTAATCAAACACACCTACTCTGTTTTTATGACTCATTGGAAAAATATTTCACCTGATCCATACATTTCAATTTTTAGTACTGTAAGTTTTTAATGTTATTATATCAACCTGTAGCCTAAATATATAAAAAATAATAGAATCTGAAGTGAGAGAATTTATGCCTATGCACAAAATAGATCCACATGTATTCGCACCTACCAAAATCGACTGTTTTGTGGAAATTTGTCTTTAAATTAAAAGTGTACTAATATCTTGAAGCTCATACTTTAAGTAAAAAACACATATATATATAAAATCCTAAATTATGCACCTACATTAAACTTTGAAAGCCCAAAGAAACAGATGTAAACAATTCAAATATACCAACTTGGCCTTTTTAATCTTCCCTAATAAAGAGTTCCATTTCTTTTGTGTAATTTCAACTGGATATCACCCTGAGAGCACATACTATGTCCATATATAGTTTTTATAATACATTTATTTTTTTCAAAACAGGAATAACATACTGGTACCTACCTACATATTAGCTGTATAAGACCACCAAGTCTTATTCCCACACCATGAAAAAATGTCACAGAATGAACCTAAAAAGGAATTAAAATTGACACATTACATATTTTACATTTCTCTGTCAACATAAAATTTACCAAATATTATTCTGATTTCTTACTACATTGACACATAGTATAACATCAAAACTGTTTGTAAAATTAATATAAAAGATGGAAAACGTAATTTTAACCTCAACTGCAAATAAATCAGTCCAAATTAGTGAAATTTTGTATGGCTTTTAAAAATATTTTATTTGGGGCGCCCAGGAAGGCATAACAGCAAAAATCAAAAATAGCCATTCTAGTTGTAACAAGTTATCTCCCATTGAATAAAAAAATCTTTCTGTTAATTGTACTAGTCTCCCCTTGAAGTTTTATTCCTATCTCTGGATTTACTATTGCTATTTTGAGGAAAAATCTTTTTCATGTACCTGGTAACTTAAAATATTAAACTTGTCAGTTTATTAGTCAATGGTGTTTTACACACAGAAAATAAGGATGTTGCTTGTTGTCTTAGTCTTAAGGATGTTCGCTACTCTTGTTTTTGACTTCTTGTCAGATTTGCCAATCCTCTAGTTTTTATCCATGTAGTGCCAATACAAATTTTGCTCCCTAAGACCCTAACCCCTACTTATTTTTTCATTACATATAGTTTTAAATAACCATTTTTTAAAAATCTTATACAATCCTCGTTATCTTTTCATTGTATTTGAAACGAAAAATGTGCCAAAATTAAATGTATGAAAAATCTAGAGGAATCATTTCCCGCCAAAATTTCAATTGATTATATCTCAAAAACAAAGACACAGACCTGTATTTTTTTTTTAAATCTAAGTTTTGTTATTTTTACACATTGTACCACCATTTAATAGGTCTTTTGAAAAGCTTGTGATTTTTAAACAAAGGAGCTAACATCCTTAATATGCAATTTCTATCAAATATTTCTAGTTAACCCATTTCTCTGACGTCAGTCTATTGTTCTAACTGTAGATTATTTTTTAACAATCCACTGACCACTTTGTTAACTTTGATTTGATTTTTTATTTTCTTTTTCATCATAGCAAATGCTTACTTATGGTTTTATTTTTTTAATGCTAGTATTTAGCTATCAATCAAATTTTCGTTGCTTGATTATAAATGGTCAAAAAAACATCATGTCAACATTGAAAGAATATAAATAAGTGTAATATAAAAGCTACGTCCGTAAAACTACTTCTTTGACAGTAAATAACAAAACTAAATTATCACCATTATATGCAATCTAAATATATAATACCTTTGAGATTAAAATAATATGTTGCTTGAGAAATAAATTTCATTTCAGGTACAAGGTTCGAACTTCATACTGTTAATGTCAATCATAACGACTTTTGTTACCAACGACTAAATGATCGCGGCTATATGAGCAGCTTGATTAAAACTTTTAAAATTAACATAGTTATACATCCAAAACTATTAAACATAGTTGATCCTCCACAATCCAATAATAAATTTTGGTTGTATAATAACTTAATAATTGCCTTAATATTGGTTATACCGAATGTTTAACAGCTATAATTGAATTCGCTCTCCAAACAATTGCAGAATCAACCTGCAACAGGTGTTTTTTTTAAATTCTAAGTTCTATTTAACTTTTGTTAACTTGTCGAATGCCTAAATATAAATGTGAAACATGTGGATATAATCATTTCCAAGTATTAAAGAATAAAAAAGACAAAATATGAAATTATCTTAATAAAATTCCGTTGATTTATTGTCAAAATGTAGAACAGACAGTCGTTTTACCAGAAATGGGTTACGCTAAAGAATTTAAGTAGTGGATTCAAAAACGATAATCAACTTGCGACTATCCTGGCTCATTGATTATCATTTACAAATCCACTTCTTCTTATAAATTCCTTAGAACAGAATTTATAGAAATTGTTTGGCTGAAATAAACTTGCCTTTTTATTTTCTTGGTAGAGCCTCAGACTTGGTTGAACATTTATTTAACCATCTTCCTTGGAGCTGCTATCCTGGCTGCTTTTATATGCTTTTCAACATTGGTTTCTGAATCCATTTTATCCAATTAATGAAATGTCCTCTGAATCCATTATATTTCAAAAAATATACAATAGTCACCAGAATGTTCCAAAGCATCTCACAATATTTTCTTTTTTTTCAAATTATGGCAATTGGAGAAATTCTTCATGTAAAATACAAATAATTTTTAAATTCATTCATAAAAATACTGTAAAAATACCAGATATGCTTTTAAAAAGGTAACTTGTATTTTGAAAATTTTCCAAATGTTTTCAGTACCCAACAATTTCTATCACCCATTAAAAGTATTATTTAGAACTATGTTTACATATTTTTTTTTTATTTACAGAGCTCTAAATGAAAGCTTTTATATCAGTTAGCAGACATCTGATATGTAAATACTTATACAAATGTTATAAAAAAAGACAGTATAGTAATTGCCCAACACCTATAAATCACAAACATTTTTTAATATTTTGAAGCATAGTTTCTTTTAAGGTTTACTACACATGTTTATCTGTGTGAATGTGTGCTCGATTCTCATGGTATAGTAGTCCTTTATATCCAAAAATTGATCAAAGCCTTAAATGAGGGGCCTGATGGGTTATTTTTGTTTTTCGTGATCGGCGCATTTTCGCTATCGTGATCCGTTTTTCTACAGATTTTTTTTTTTTTATATTTTCGTGATCCGTGATCATGGAAATTTATTTTCTGTGAATCGTGATTGACAAAAAAATCAACTCATGAATCGTGATGAGACCCCCCCATCAGGCCCCTCTTAAATAGCTGATTTGTGTAGATTGTTCTAAAATAACAGAGAATGGTCTATACTGAAATCTAAATATATGGAAATATTAAAATTTAAAAATGGGAGATGATGCTCAACCTCAATAGATTTGCAAACTCTCTGTGAAGTTCCAAAGATATGGGTTAATAACAAAAATTGTTACCATCTTTTGAAATTTTTGATGAAAAAGTTCCCATATCGGGAAAAATTTGGAAAAAATTATCCAACAATTTCATAGAACCAAAGTGTACAACTTGAATATTTGTGCAATCATTGTGTGAAGTTTCAAAGATCGTGATTGAAAAGGGCAGGAGTTGATTACACAAAATTGGTACTATCTTTGTAAATTTTGATAAAAATTATTAAAGTCACAAATCTTGGAAAAATGGGGGAAAATTCCTCAAGCAATTCCATACTAGCAGGTTCACAACTACAACATGTGTGTAATCTTTCTGTGAAGTTTCAGTGGTACAAGAAACACTGTAATAAAACAAAATACAAATATGATGCAAAATGGTACTATGTAGTATGAAATCTTTAAATTTTGGACAAAATTTAGTAAGGAATAATAAAAATACTGATTCCTTATAATAAAAAATAATTTCAAAATTCAAATAGTGTGTGATACTTCAATAAATTTGTTTTTTAAACTATAATACTTAAAGACAGTTCCAAAATTTACAATTCAAAAAGTTATGTTTTTGTTCCCAAAGTATGTTTGATAGCATATTGATTGGCAATATCAAAATTTGTTTTTCATAAGACTGCTTCTGTTGGAAAAGATGGGAAATCACTGATATCTTGACATTAGTAGAGATGGACTGACACAAGGTAACTCTTGGGAATTACTGGTTCCTTAAATGGATAACAGTCAAAAAAGAACCAGCTGCAGTCAATATACATACTTACAGGAAACACCTGTTATTTGCTATTGGGAAAAGAAAACAGATCCCCAGTTAAATCTAACATAGTCTGGTTTCCTTTAACTTAATTAATGATTTTAAAAATCCCCAAAGTCTGGAACAAGGTCTAATATAAATCTTAAGTGCTTCACAGTTTGGTTAATAGAACTGATTGTATGCAATTCTAAAAATTGTTGGGAGTCTTGAAAAGGATCCTTATTATAATGGAAGCAGTCCAATATGGACTATTATGGACTAATGGGAAACTGCTTTGAACTAATGAGGCTAACTTGGGATCCCTGTTTAAGAGTAAATCTCTCAGATCCTCTTGGACTGGCCCAGAGTTATAAAAAAAGGATCAAACTAAAAATAGCTGCAGTTAAGTATCAATAATTAGGTTTTACTAAAAAAAAAAAAAAAAAAGTATCTTATGATGGCAAATGCATTCTTTACCAATACTATAATTACCAAATACACATTATGGCAAAATATTTTGCAATGTTGTCTGAAAAAAATAAAATGGTTTGATTCCAAGGAGCAAATTAATTTATGTTGTAATTCATAAACTATGATATGGTTAAGATCAATATAATACCTATTTCAATTAAAGATCTGAATTGTTTAAAATACAACTTTATATTTTAACAAACTTATGACAATTCAAATAGTAAATGCACATTCGTTTGAACATGTTGCCAAAAAACAATTTTTAGAATCTTGAAATTAATCTTAAAATCAACATTTGGAGCAAGTTCCCTTACTACATAGTACCATAAATTTGAGTCAGCAAAAAAATTCTTTACGCTTGTATGGAAAATTGGTCAAAACCGTAGTTCAAGTAATTAAAGTAATCATTCAATGTCTGAAAGAAAGCCTAGTGTTAAAGGGAGTTGAAAATTAACCAAAGGTTGAGATGTTTGAAGCAAAGAGAGATAACTACTGTATGATATCATAAATAAAAATAATTCTTGCAGATGATGATAGTTTCAGATAACTCAGAATGAAGTTTTGATTGTGTATTGGAAATTATTATTATTATTTTCAAATATTTTCTATTTTTCTAGTCAAAACATTAAGTGATTACAATATATATATTATAGAAATTTATTATTGTTAACTAAAAATTAAATACTTTTACAAGTTTTCAGTCATTTAAGAACTAACAACCCTTGTGCTTATGTTGATTCTTCTTAAAAATTGTTAAACATCAAAATATTTTTTGTAGGACAGAAGTTTTGTCATGGCTTGACTTTTTAAAATGTATTTTTTCTTCATGATTACCTTGATATCAATCAGTGCTTTGAAGAGGTAGACACCCAGAAAC